GAGTCTGGCACTTATGAAAGGTTGGCCGATGCAAATGGTCGTGCTATCAGTGGCCTCCAGCCGAAGATCACCACCTGGAATACCGGAGGTAAGTATTGCTGACTGGCATCTCTTCTTCAATCTGCTGAGAAATTATCACGCATTCTGACATCAAACCAGACCATGGAAACAGTTCGTCAGATTCAATGGCACCGATTCGGAATATCATGCAGGGCCTCCCTCCTATCTTGAGCACAATCCATGAACAGACCGGGATAGCGCCACCATCATGGTTTGCTGAAATGCCCAAGACCAAGGATGTGAACGGCAAACCCCAGGAATAAAGTGGCTCATCTAGCAAATGATACCCTTCTGAACCCTTAGAACATTCCCTGCATCAAGGTAAAGGGATGGTGTGGGCTGGATAGCCGTTCTTAGCCGCCGAACTATGTGTTCTTTGTATTGTCTCGTATATTAAAGCGATTGCTTAACATTCCTTACTGCCACAAGCAAACCATCAAGAGCAGGAGGGCTACATTATTGCTATGGGTAGTATGCCTCCGCTTGGCCAGATAGTAGCGATGTGTTGAAGATGTTTGCTAGATCATTTGTTCGCTGAATAGTTAATGAGATACCCCTAAGTTGGTAGTATTGAAACCAGAGCAGATATCCGCAGACTTTGGAGAGCGACACTCGATAGACCCCTTGCTGCTTTTATTTCCAAAGGAGAGTTACATGAATCACAATGTAGCACGCTGTATCTACTCGCTGGTCGGATTGCTTTCCTTCCTGACCCATCTCCTCGTCTGTCACGTGTTGTCCCGCCTTCCCCACATGGACAAACACTGCAAACTGCTCCTCTATAGCATCATCGGGGAGGGGCAGAAGAGCAAGAGCAGCATTACGCAGTAAACTCCCCCAGCAAGTTCAGAGTACCGTCAGTCTCCTGAGCTACATTCTCCACACTTGACCCGGGAAAAATTTGTGATAAAACAAACCCTACCTAGTCAGAAAGTTCTGTTCAGGTATGTCCAACTACTACTACGATTGTTTGCCCTTTTTGGCAACGGTCTCGTTTGGCACCTGCCGGAGCTCCTAGAGCTTCCCGCCTCGAGTCATTAAGCTAGAGTCGGGCAGCATTCTCATAATTTCTATGTTCAGCACGGAGAAATGCTATTGTCCTAGGGCTTATTATCCGGAGAAGTGCAATAGACACTAATTCCGGCTCAATAGTGTCGATCATCATGGCTCCTCGCTCTCAATTGGAGATCGCCACGGCATCTGTCGAGCGCCTGGTCAAAGAAGAGGCCTCGTACCACCGTGAGCTGCAGCAGCAGACGGAAAGAGTTAAGAAGCTGGAGTCCCAGGAGGGCGGCGATGACGAAAACAGAGAATATACACTGAGGCAGGAGGTAAGTAACTAGTACAGTGGATATGCATAAAGGAGGTCGCTGACAATTGTTTTGATAGCGTCTGGCTCTCGAAGAAACCAAAAAGGTTCTCCCGACATTGAAGCAGAAGATCGAGGATGCCATAGCCAAGCTCAATAGTTTGCTGGTGAGTGACAAATTTCCCATAGGCTACTATATACAATTTATCTTGTGTTGTCAGGAGGACTAAGCTTCTAAATTTATTGTTAGGTCGAGGAAGGAAAGAAAGGCTCCGAAAGTAATGTCGAGCATATTAATGCTGCGAAGGAAGCCATCGCCAAAGCCCGAACAGCGGAGCGGGAGATCGCCTGAGATAGCTCATTTTCCCATCTACTGGCACATGTACTTAATCCACAGCACGAAAAATTATTCAATAAATTGCCCCTGAGAAAAGCAAAGCCATTGTTGCATTGTGATAGTTACCCTAATGCGAACGCCACCAACCGAACTCCTTGCTCAATGTGTGGTAGAGAAAATTCTCCGATAATCAAGTAGTGTCCATTTTGTCTGCACGGTCATCCTGGACTTCCTCCCCTTCTTCTAGCTCTTCGGGGACCTCGCCTTCATCTTCCATTGAGGTGTCCTGATCGGGGGTGGTCTTATTTTCGTCGTCCACCGCAGTCATTTGTCGCAAGGGTGACACCGCACCGGCAGTACCCGTCTTTTCCACTTGCAAGCCCGCTGGTGATCGTCCAAGATCATCATGGCCATGTTGAGAAGGAGTCAGACTGTCTGACTCGTGACGAGGGGTATTAGCTCCACTGGATTTCCCCTTGGAGGGAACATCCCCGTCATCTCCATCTTCCTCCTCTTGCATGCCTTCTCTGCGCTCGACCTCCTCCTTCTCGTCACGGATGAGCCGACGAAGTTGCATTCCTTCCTCGACAATGCGACCGAACTGTTCTCGCCGTTCCGACCAGGTGTGTGCGTATTCTTTACTCTCTTTCTCCAGTTCCGTTATTTCCGCCTGTAGCTTTTGTAAATTGGCCTGTTGATCTTCGCGCGGCTTCAAGAGTCGGTTGCTGGTAATCTTCTCTGCCAATTCATCGTAGCTTTTGCGCAGTGCTAGTAGACGCTGGGCCTCCTCGAGCTGTACCCGCAGCTCTGCGGTATTGTCACGCACCGACTGCATTGTATCAAGGATTCGAAGCTTCTCTGTCGCATAGCGCTCGCGCTCCTTCTCGTTACTCGTCAAGAGGAACTGGATGCGCGCGATACTGCCTTCAAATGCGGAAAAATCCAAAGCAACATCTTCACGGAAATGGCGCCATTCCTCGAGCCGTCTCTGTTTCTCCGCCTCTGCAGCTGCTGTTGCATCGTCGTCTGCACCATCTGGTGGAGGGGTGGGAGGGAGCGTCGCGTTGGACACTACGGTTGAATCGTTGTTGAGGAGGCGTTTTGAAATCCGCTTGAAAGGCTTTTCTTCGACGTTCAAAAGGCGCGACTTGTGGAGACCATCTGGAAGGGCATTAGCATGGTGACAGGGACCGGGGGCGTGTTTCTAGAACCAACCTTCGTCTGGTTGATCCAGTAACCCGTAAGACGTCATGATGGTTGTAAAAATAAAATAGAGTATTTGTCAAATGGAAATCCAAATCCGCGTCGGGGAGGAGTCGAACTGGATCGCGCGTCCTCCTCTTCTCGGTGGCCGCGTGAAGATGGTGCAAGCCTTCAAAGGGAAAAGGGCCGGATGGGCCGATGTGAGCGGTCGGGGGATCCGCGCTAGGCGGACGCCGACCTTCAGCTGCTCCTCCCGCCCGCAATTTAATGCGGGCAGCGTCCACTCTCCTATTTCCGATCTGATACTATTGCGCTTCCTTCTCCTCATCTCACTTCTCCAATCTCACTTGTCAAGCAATCACTGCAGCAGGTGGTCAATCGACCCTTGGAGGGTCACAGTCATCCCTACAGCTGCTTCCCCTCTTTGAAGCTGTTGGTCGCTCCAACTTCCATTGGCTCACGGCTCAGATCGGCTCTATCTATGTTTCCCTGATTGGCTATGGTTGTCAAGAGTTGGGATCGTCAGTAGGAATTAGGAATCTTGCATTTACGCGCCAAACAATGCCGAATCTATCGCCCAAGGAAAACGTCGCTGTCTTTAAAATTACATGAGCCAGAACGCTTCACTGATGGGAAGTATTGCCGACACCGACCTGCATATGTTCCGCTCGCGACACCGTTCTGCATCGTGATGGCGGAGATGTACTCGGGGCTCCACGTGGGCCAACGTTTTAGCTCGTTGGAGGAATTTAAAGGACTGGTTCGAAGTATCTCCGTGAGACAACACTGGGAGCTTCGAGTGACGAGAAGCAACAAGAAAAGCGTCGTCATAGGTTGTCGATCATCGAACAATTGCTACTTTCGTGTTGTGTGCCGCGCGAACAAGAATGCAACTTACATCAGCAGCCTTCAAGACAGCCACAGTTGTCGGCGCAATGCGACTTCAACCTCGAAAACACCAGCTCGATCGGAGGCATCGCATGTGCGGTTCCTCCTGACTGAGATTCCTAAGCTCTTCGACATGAAAAACAAAATTAGGGCGCAAGACGTTGTAGACGCTGTGAAGCGATACCATGGCTATGACATCTCAATGCGACAAGCGCAACGAGCTCTTATTCGCCTACAGCAACATGAAGCGCAAAACCAAAGCGAGAGCACCAACACTCATGACTCTAGTGGAGATGACCGACAGGACAGCCAACCGCCTCCTTTAGAGAATCAGGCGGAGAGCTCGACCTTCGGCAGTCTCTCTGGTCAAAGATGGATTACGGATACTCTCCAGACCACTATCATCGATAACATACCTCAGGATGAAGTTCACCGGGATCAGACTATTTCGGCATCGCAACTTCACAGCCAACCTGTACATCCGCCGCCTCAGGTACATCACCAGGCGCAGCCTACACACCAAGCGCCGCCTCCTGAAGTCCTGTCACCAGAACAGACACCCCTAGGCCATAGCCTCCATCACCCTGCAAATGCCCAGCAGTCTCCTTATTCGGTTCCTGCTCCTGATCCAGCACCTCCTTCGGACACTGGGCGCCCCAAAAATCCGACTCTACCGCGACCAAATGATGGGCAGCTTACCAGTCCACAATTGGTTCTGACAAACTTCAAGATCGAATTTACGTGCGCCACATGTGGTGCACCAAACCAGAGCTTCTTTCCTAATCACGGCAACGTCACTGGTGGGCATTATGCCCCCCAGCACGCTGGTCCTAGTCAGGGTGCGACTTCAGCCAGCGCGGGTCCTTCGATACAATCAATTCAAAATAGTGATGGTAGTAGCCGTGCTGGAGGCGGACCAGCGTTTGAAGGGACCTCTGTGGCAAGCACACGTGGCGTACAACAGCCTTGGACAGCAAGAACCCTGGAAGTTCCACTTACACATGCGCATCCATAGCCCTGTATAGAGTTGGGGCGATAAAAGCTCCCTTTCCCCTTTGCTCCGATTAAGAGAGCGTTAGATACGTCTCTCCGATCTACGTTAACCTTACGGCTCGTGACGAATCGCGGCCTCGTCTGCAATCTTGCGGTATGTTGCTGCAAATCCGATTGGGTGGCCGGCATACACCCCTGCAAATCGCCGCTGCAATGCTGCCTCTCAAGGACATATGTACGATGTAGAGCGAGCTCAGACGCCATAGTGCGGACCAATATGCCTCGCAAGTTGATACTTGTCACTGCCCTCCCTTTAGAGACCATTCCTTTTCGATTGGCGATTATTTGCGAACTCATGGTGTTCGTCATTGACAGTATATGCTGTTTTCTTTATCAGGATGGACTAAATTGCGACCCCAGCTACTACCTGCCGCCCTCATTTTCACCATCTAAACAATTAGCCAATTAGCTGGCCCAGCCACAAACTCAGCAAACGGGTTGTCTACGTCGGTGCTCAGAATCGACTGAGCCTGGATCTGAGAAATCGGCCGCAACTTGCAGGGGTTAGCAAAGAAACCTACGGGATTGAGCCTTGGCGGTCTCCTTCATTGTGAGTCATGTTCAAAATCAGGCTGACGAGACCGGTTGGGATCGGCCTCTTTGGACGAGATGCAGGAAAGAGTTATCTATGATGTTATCGCGGGTACGGCAATTGGGCCGACCAGCATTTTTTTTTTCGGATGTCCGATTAGCCGGCAGCCAACCTCCGACAGTGGAGATCCACTTTTACTACGACTGTCGCCAACTGACTGGCAAACCCGACGCGGAAAGAAGCCGCTGGCATGGCTTGGTTCGTAAAAGAACCAATGAGAACCATGGGATCTTATCCCTGTGCAGTGGGCCATATGGCAGGAATGCTGGGTCTCGGTCGTCTCTGCTCGGCGGTGCCTCCGATCCCCTATGAATTTAACAGGTTAAAGACTCGGACGACGCATGCGGCCAAACGTTGATAAACCAGCACTTCTCGTCCCATATATTGTGCAAAGCAGTTGGTTGGCGCGGAATTGCCCTGTTCTCATCAGTTATTGCATATATATTTGTTTTGCATCTAGCCTGAAACCGAAGCTGTACACACTCAGTCGACAAGACTCGGTTGCTGACAGGCATCCAATTTGGTCAAATTTGGTCACCCGATTGTACAGTTTCCCATTTATCTTATCTATAATACCATGTTCGGAATTCCTGCCTCCATAAATCCTATATTGGCATAGACAGAACAGAACAGAATGAATCGACAACAGGCTGCGGAGAAAGCCTTGCATGACCAGACTAATATCTTGCCTATCGGGCAATTGCTGGTTGTATTTACGGGGCTCGCAGTTTCTCTGCTGATCACCTTTGTGGATCAAAATGGTATCAGCGTTACTCTTCCCACAATTGCCAGGGATCTCAGCGCTCAGGATACCATTTCATGGGCAGGCACATCCTCCCTTATTGCAAATACCATGTTCACGGTGCTTTATGGTCGGCTGTCTGATATCTTCGGCCGAAAGATAGTCTATTTGTGTGCCTTGGCACTGCTTTGCATTGCCGATCTATTGTGCGGTCTATCTCAGAATGCTCCAATGTTCTATGTCTTTCGAGGATTGGCCGGTGTAGCTGGCGGCGGTGTTACCTCCCTAACGATGATCATTGTGTCTGACATCGTTACCCTCAGAGACCGGGGCAAATACCAAGGAATCCTGGGTGCGGCCCTAGGGATGGGCAACGTTATCGGTCCGTTCATCGCTGCAGCATTCGTCATGGACTCGACATGGCGAGGTTTCTTCTGGCTCATTTCTCCGCTCTCTGCATGCTCCATTGTCGTGGGCTATTTCCTTATTCCAAATAATGCGCGGAAGGACAGCTTCCGGAAAAATGCCCGCAAGATTGACTTTTATGGTATCTTATCTTCGTCCATTGGAATCATCTTCTTGTTGATCCCTATATCGGGAGGCGGCTCTTACTTTAACTGGGATTCGGCGATGGTGATTAGCATGCTCACCATCGCGGGCTGCGCTTTGATTGCATTTCTCATAATCGAATGGAAAGTGGCAGTATTGCCTATGCTTCCAAGTATGTCACCAATTGAGCCTCGATACTTAGAACCGGTAGCTAACCCTTGAGCAGTGGTATTCTTCAAGAACAGGGTGATCTGCACTCTGTTTTTGCAGAGCTTCCTTTTTGGAGCTGTGTACCAGTCGTCTCTCTACTACTTGCCCCTGTACTACCAGAACGCCCGGGATTGGTCCCCGATTGTTTCTGCTGCACTAACGGCCCCGATGGTCGCCTGTCAGTCTGTGGCTTCCGTCTTATCTGGCCAGTATATTTCCCGGCGCAAACGTTACGGGGAGGTGATCTGGGCTGGCTTTTTCTTCTGGACGCTGTAAGTGACCCGGCCGAAGTCTAACCCAATATTTGATATCTTTGTTCTGACAATTTATCCAGTGGAGCCGGTCTGATGCTTCTATTTGACCGTCACACCAGCCCAGGAGCTATTGCTGTTATTGTCGGTATCGCTGGGATAGGCGTTGGAGGCGTCTTCCAACCGACCATGGTCGCTTTTCAGGCGCATTGTACGAAGGCCCAGCGAGCTGTTGTCATCTCGGACCGGAACTTCTTCCGCTGCCTAGGTGGTGCATGTGGTTTGGCTGTCTCAGCTGCGATCTTGCAGGCAACGCTGCGATCCAACCTCCCTGTGGGATACAGGGATATTGCTGAATCGTCCTATTCGCTCCCGTCGAGGGCCGGGATCCCCGATGCCGACTGGGAGCAGATCCTTGACGCATATGCTAAGGCTTCCCACTCGGTGTTCATCTTCCAAGTCCCGCTGATGGGGGCATGTCTTCTTGCCTGTGTTTTTATCCGTGACCGGGGGCTGGAGAGGCCTAAGGATCAGTTTGAGATAGAAGAAGTGAAGAGGCAAGAGGAAGAGAAGCGGCGGCAAGAACAGGCCCAAGCACAGGCCGAGAAGCAGATTGCAGCTGGTAATAGTGAAGCCGAACCGGAGCAGGTTGCTGAATCCCATGCCAGTGGTGAGATGGAGAGTGCATCTCGCTCCGAAAAGAAAACGGAACCAGAGCCGTAAGGAGGTTATGAGGTGCAATGAATCTACGAATGATATAAGTCCGGCATAGATGGCGTTTCAGCGATACAAAAAGAAGTCCACTGCGGTGATACGCATCCATTGGTATATGATATAATATTCTTTAGTATAGTGGGAATACACTTGATAGTACAAATATAGACGAGCAATCCATATTGAAACCCACGCGATGTGTCTATCTTTCTCGTACTAAAACATGGGCTCCAGGCGCTAACTGGCGGGTCGAGCCGAGATGTCTTGGCGGGGACGAGCAGCTTCCCAACTTCCTCTTCCATTTATTCCTGACTCATCTTCTTCTCTTCTACATTTTCCGATTGTCGAACAAATCCAACTTTCCCTCTTCCTCTTCTTCTGGATCAGGGTCAATATGAGATAATTAGTATGGATATTGCGAGCACTTCTACTCCCACCGGAACCTCTTCTCCTTCGCGGGACTACAATCCCCGGAAGCGCGGCAGAACGGCATGTACGCGCTGTAAGACTAGAAAGCAGAAAGTCAGTAGACGGATCCACCTCTCGATGGAGACCAGTCGGTGTTGTAGTCGTCTCCAACTTGCTACCCCAGGGCATCAGTCAATGCTAACAGCCGAGTCTTAGTGTGACAATGACTACCCTGCGTGTTCCAACTGCCAAAAGGCCGGAGCGATATGTGACAAAGCCACCGTACGACAAGAGAATGGCACCCAGAACGAGTGGGATCCCTCTTCCCCACCTGACTGGAAACATATTACTTCTGGAGTACTGACGATTGTAGATACACCCGTGCGTTGCAGGATCGCATCGCCTACCTTGAGTCCCAGTTAGAATCGAAACCCATGAGTAGCCGGGCCAGCAGCCATGTCGCCCATCCAGTTGCTGCATTGCTGTCCCCTCCCCATCCGGAGACTCCCACTAACTCAAACCCTCGCCTGGATCAAAATGCCGTCGGGGAATTAGTGGGATTTCTTGCACTCAACTCCTCGGAGGCGCCTGCATACGTAGGTTCCAGTTCGGGCCTCTCCTTGGCTACGAATCTTGGGGAAATGGTCCAAGCCACGGTCTGGAACCAGGCTCTGTCTTCAGCTCGAGCAGCGTCGTCAGGTAGATCCGGACCTGCAGCGGGACAAGGATCCACGGGTCTGCCTCCCCAGCCTCCAGGCGAGAGGGCCGGTCATGTCAATGATCGAACTCGACCACCACCACGAGTGGAGGAGGTGTTGGTGAAGAGCAGCGAGCCTCCTGACGATGAAATGGGATCCAGGATTCTTCATGCCTATCTAACACGGATCCATGTTCGCTATCCGTTTCTCGACCGCACGGAGTTGTGGCGACTGCATGAAGCGCGCTGGCGACTGGCGCAGAAGAAGCGGGAGGAGCTGACCAAGGAGGAACGGGTAGGCATATTCAAGCTGTATCTTGTATATGCCATCGGGGCTACATCGATTCAGTTAAGTGAAAACTACTCATATACCACGCCTGAGGTATGTTGCTCCTGTGGTACGCAACTTGTTTGATCTAATCACCTCACCAGCGATTCTACCTGACCGCTCTGCAACAACTACCAAATATGTGCGAAATGCGATCTATAGAGAATATTGAGGCTATGACCTTGCTGATTGTGTATCACCTTCGCTCAGCGTCTGGTCAGGGCATGTGGTACATGGTAGGCCTCGCTATGCGTACCGCTATAGACCTTGGACTGCATCGCAAAGCAAACGAGATCAACATGGATTCCTTCACTGCGCAAATGCGGCGGCGTCTTTTCTGGACCGTTTATTACCTAGAGCGTGTCGTGTCAATGTCCCTGGGCCGGCCATTTAGCATCGCAGACAGACACATCGACCTTCCTTTGCCTGCAGACATCGACGACGATGTCCGCGATCCTGCCTTGCTAGCCGCCCCTCCAGCTCCGACTAGAATCACCACACTGACCTTTGCCATATTCCTCATGCGCCTGCGGCGCATCGACTCCGAAATTCAGCATAAGATCTACCGAGCCGATCGACCACTGCACACTTTACGCTCGAAGATGGACCGACTCTTTCTCCAACTCGAAGAATGGAAAGAATCAGCTCTGCGACGTTTCACCGGATCCGACCTGGACTATCCAATGCTGCACTACCACCGAGCCCTACGACTCCTCATCCAGCCATTCTTACCCTCACTCCCCCTCTCCGACCCATACTATCACATCTGTCTCCGCGCAGCCGGAAACACCTGCCAAACCCACAAGAAGCTACACCAAACCCTTGAATACGGCCACTCCTTCCTGGCTGTGCAGACGATCTTCATGGCTGGGATCACCCTGCTCTACGCCCTATGGACCCACACAAGCGACGTCTGGTCCGTCCAAATGAGCAACGACATCCGCGCCTGCTCGACCGTCCTATTTGTGATGGGTGAGCGCGCCGAATGGGTCAAGAAATACCGCGACGCATTCGAGCTGCTCGTCAACGCCGCCATGGAGAAACTAGAGGGAAGCGATGCATCCAAAAAGGTGGGCATGGCGGAACTAATGACAGCCCAACACAGTAGCAGTGGTGGTATAAGCGCAGGAATGTTCAGGGATCACCATAATCTCACCACCACATGCAGCAACAGCAACAACTCCACTGGCGGCATGGCACCAGATATGAATAACACAGCGGCGGCCAACATGGCCGCTCAGACTGCTTCTGAACCCACTAGCAGTCAGGACCATGGCGTGCGCATGGCATTGCAGATCGCGCCCTGGATCGACCTGGAAGAAGATAGCCCGTTCTGGATGCCTGATTTCGAGACGCTGGAGAGTTTGTCGGGGAATTTATGGGATAGTGGCGATTTGGCTCCGTTTGGGCCTCTTTAGGTGCAGATCTCGGGACATCAGCCAATGAATTGGTACTGAGGGATGTGGCTGCCCCTCCAGCTAATCCTCTATCTGGGTGGTTGTGTGAGCCCGTGTCACCTACGTCTGCATGCAAAGTGCGATCCCTGCATGAATCGCGATTGCGGTAGTCTAGAGCTGAATTACCGATACGCTCGAACGTACAGGAAAATCCTATCTCTAATCGATTACATCTCTAGGCAACCATCGTCAGTCGGTAACACAACAGCTGTTTGCCATCTCAGATCTGACAGGGCATGGGATCCCGAGTCCGGATTTGAACGGATCACTATGCGATGCAAGGAGGACAGATTCCCCTCGCTATTCCAGACACAGCGAGTGCAGGTTCAAGATGATTAAATAGACTCAATCGGGAAACTATTGGGTATCACACCAATTCTTCCCCATCAAGGGCGTCAAGGATTGCCATTTTCGATATACTCTCTATAGAGGCGTCTAAGATAGCTATCTAAACCACTGAATAAATGTACAATATCACGTCCCGTGAAGCGAAGGGGGAAAGAGAGTCAGAGAGTGAGATAAATAATTAAGGAATAACATATCATAACTCGTCCTTCACCGGCGGAGGAGGCATAGGCCGACCACTATCGCGACCCAAATCAACCCCGTTCTTCTTGCGCCATTTCTCCCACAGCGCAAAGAAGTCCTTCTCCATGCCGCTCTCCATCTCATCCGGCAGAATAACGGCATACTCCACATACAAGTTCCCAGGCTCCTCATCCTCATCCTCATTATCATGAAGATGCCCATCCGAGTAATGCGGCATACCCTCGCCCTTGATCGTCTCAACCGACAACGGCTGCACGACCTCCCCACGCTTCCTCCCCAACTGAACCACATGACCATCCAAATGCGTGATATTGCGCGTCCACTCGCCCATCCACGCCTCGCGCAGCGACAGCGCCTCCTTCCAAAACAAATCCTTGCCCTTCCGCCGGAAAAACGTCCCATCCGTACGATGTTCCTCGGCGTCGCCCAGCTCCGGCTCCTTCTCCTCAAGAATCAGCACCAAGTCGCCCGCGATCCAGTCCGGACTCTCGTCCGCCTCGTTCTCGTATACCAGCCGCATCCCCTTATCCATCCCCGGCTCGACAGTCGCGTGCGTCTCGACCTCGCGGCGAACTACCCGATGTCCATGACATACGGGACACGGCTTCTTGATCATCTTGCCCTGTCCGCCACACTTATCACAATGCATCTGCACCTGCTGGAACATGCCCGGCGCTAACTGATGCTTCTGGATGACTATTCCGCGTCCAGAACACTTATCGCAGGTGACTACCTCCCGGTCCGCGGACCCTGTGCCCTCACAGGCATCACAGATCTGCTGCTTCTCCACACCGAACGAGAATTCCCGTCCATTGTAGAAATCCCTTAGCGGTAACCCGACCCGGAGCTCCATGTCCGGTCCTCTGCGATGTCCCGGCGCATGGCCGAAGTGGCCTCCGCCGCCGAAGAATCTCGAGAATAGGTCGAACGGGTCGTGCGATTGTCGGCCGCCTTGACGGTGCTGCTCGAGTCCTTCGTGGCCGTATTGGTCGTAGATCTTGCGTGTCGAGGAGGTGGAGAGGACGTCGTAGGCTTCGGCGATTTCGACGAATCTCTTTTGGGCCGTTTCGTCGCCTCTATTTTAACACATGTTCTAGCATTAGCACCAACAGAAGAAGAAAGAAATTTGGGAGAGGGAGTTAACGAACGGGTTCTTATCCGGATGGAACTTCTTGCTCAGATGTCTGTATGCGCGTTTAATGTCCTTCTCCGAGGCGGATTTATCCAGTCCCAGGATCTTGTAGTAGTCTTCTGCGGCGAGGACCAATTGGATGAGACAGATGGTGAGGACCACGAAGAGGGCCACGGTTCGCATGGTGGGGAACATGGTCGGTTTGGTTTGGTTTGATTTATTTATTGATTGTTGGTATGGGATGTTGTGAGCTGCGAAGCGTCGCAGCTCAAGTAGGCGTGGTGTTTGGTTGTAGCGCGGAATGTGGTGTCGGCGTGGTTATACTTTAGAGTGTTTGTTGTGATGGAAGTATAGAAGGATGTCGATCGGCCAAGAAGGATGTATGTTATGTATGTATGTGTATAGATGAGGAAAAGAGAGACGAGAAGGTAGAGGGGAGAGGGCCGGACGGAGGTGTAAGAAGTGAGGAATGTTTGTCCCTGGCGGGAGCTGCTCAAGATCAGTCAAGACCTCAAGAAGCAGACGTTGTGTTTGGCCAGGCTGTCTGTTATCGCGGACTCGAAGATGCAGGTGGAGGATGTTCGGCCAACCACATAAACCGGTTAGGTGGCCGCAACGCCGGCCGGCTTTACTGTTCGTCCGCGACCGGGTCACGTGGGATTATCGCACAGCAGCATCAGATAAGAGTTCATGAATTGTGTATGGAATCGCTATCAACGCTCATTGCTAGCTAAAGTAAAAGAAATAGACTATGGCAAATTCCCCGCTTCCTGACTACGATCCCACCGGCGTCGATCATCCAAGCAACTACGGAATATGCACTTTTATAGCGCGGGGACCTTGACGGTTGAATGGACCAAAGGGAACAATCATAACTCGTGATGGAAATAAGCGGATGTCCTAGGTTCAACGTCTGGGCACATCAAACACTTCATTACGCCAGGTCCGTCCCAGGCCCTGGCTCTCATCGCCTTCTTCAATGACCTCAGGGGCCCGAGATGCCTCGTCATGCCAGACTTTGACCAGACTGCCCGGGGCGTACACACCCTTGAAGACACCGCTACCAGGTGGCTCAAGGCCAATACGAGTCTCGACGTCGGTGTCGGGGAGTGATTGCAGTCGTGCCAGCACTGCCCGCACGAAACTTGCCAGGTCCCGAGGGTTGGCAATGCGGGCCGCCCGCAAGCGCTCTCGGGCAAATACCAGCTCTCGATTGAGCGTGAAAGCAGCCTGGACAATATTCTCCGCGATCTTCTTTTCCAAGACTCGGCGGACTAGGTGCTTGAGGAAAGGCTTCGTCAACCATATGAGCCACTTCCACTTGCTGCGGTGGACTTTGTAATCCAGCTTGTGGATCCGCACACGGACACCGCGCAGAGTGAATATGTGTTCCAGCCGCTCTCTTCCAACCTCTATGTCCAGAGAGATGTCAATACCGCGCTTGTCCAGGTAGAAACTGGCAATCCCCTCATCTTTGAGGCCAAACAGAAGCGCTGAATGGGTCCGCATCCAATAACCAAATTCCTGGGCACTGATGTTTAGTCCACATACTGTTGCCGTGAATGTGGTTTTGAGATCAGTGGCGGTTTTCTTGGAATGCTTCTTCACAATGTCGATGTCATTGCGCGTTGGTACATGCATACGGTATGGCAAGAATGAGGAATAATTGACGGTGTGGCCAGGTTCTAGGATGAGGCTCTCCAGTAACAGATCGACCTCTGGTGCAGATATCTCCAGTCGCGGGATTGGTATGTATTGAATAGTGCGGAGAACTAGGGGAAAGAAGACTTCGATTATGTCGGTGGGCAATTGACCCTCCCGGCTGTTGTAGCCGTCCCAAGCATCTTTGTATAGCTTGTTCGTCGCGTCGAAGAGTTTAGACACGGCTTTGTCTTGCGGGACTGTCCGTAATGCCCGTCTTGCTTGTGCCAGGAATGCATCCACATCCTGACGGATACTTGATCCTGTCTCAATTTGCTTCGACTTTTCTTTGAGCTCATCAATCTTCTCTTCGGCCGAATCGAAGAATTTTGGATCAGTCAACATTTCCTCGACTAGGGAACCTGTCTCAGAGACGAATTTCTCGAACTCTGGATCTTTGTTAGAGTGTTGCATTACAGTTTTGAAACGCTCCTCTAGGTTCTTCCATTCCTGAGCATCGCCAAACGACTGGACCAGCAACCAGAAGTGTTCCATTGCCTGCTTGAGGTCCTTATTGACGTCGACTTCCTCTTCTGCCGTTGTGACGACATCCGAAGCTGCACTTGCATACGCTTTGGCATATCGCCCCAGCAGTTGGCCTAGCGTGGCAACAGAATCTGTATAGTCAGAACGATCCCGAAGGTTCATCACGGTTTTTTTCAACCGATAGAGCAAGGCGTCTTTTTCCTGTCCTGCTAAATGCTCTTTGGCACTCTGGACTGCATCTTTTCCGGTGCGAGCAACACCATTGCCTGTGACTTTCGCCACAGTAGCTGCATCTTCACGTAATTCCTCGTTCCCTGCAGAACGACCCTCATCGGCACCTGCTCCCTGAATAGCATCTACATTTTCCTGAGAGGGTTGAAGCTCCTTTCCAATCTGCTGCGACGTGTTGGACAACGAGAATGCCGTATCGGAAAAGATCTGGCGGCCGACAGTTGACAAATCATCAACGAAGAGCCGGAAGTCCGCGTTGGTCAGGAGTAGGCTTCCCACAGTGCGCAGGCTATCATACGCTGGATGACAATTGTTAGCTCACTACTTGATGCCCTGTGGAACCCACAGCCTGGTGCATGAACAGAAAAAGAACGGAAGTCGGTACCCGCTTTCGTATCCGCCCTTGCCTTGGTTTGATTGGCTCGCTGCTGTATCTTGTTGGGGTCGATGGAGGCCCTGGAGCGTGATAGGTGCCACAGAAACTCCTGGAGCTTATCATCACCATTCTTCTCTTGCAAGAGCTCGATGAACACTTGGATCCAAAGGCGGCAGTCGCGGACAATTTGACGGCCGACGGTGCCAACATCGTGGGTGTGAGGGGAAAGGACATCGGAAGCCAACAAGGTGCGCAGATTGATGATGGCTTGCTCCGTAGACGGCATGTACCCATCCGAAAGAGCACGGATCATCTGGTATGTGTGTAATTTTTGATGCAGGCGACGCTGGAGGGTCGTGTCCTCCCGGTAGCGAGGGAGGAGGGGCTCGGTTTCTCCTTGCGGCATGGTGAAGGATGCCTGGCGTACTTGGATGGCTAAACAAAACAGAACACAGGGCTAGGTACCTGGTGATGATTGATGATGATGAAGATGGTAAATGCACACAGCGAACGGAGGGGAGATGAGGAGTATCTGCAAACCTGGCCTAGCAAACAATGGAGAAAGGAAGCAGGAAAAGAGGGGAAACCGGCAGCTGGTTAGCTGATTGCAAAGCTTCCCGGTTGTTGTTGCATGTCTCGATCACGGGCCCTGCGCCTAATCACCATTGCGTCACCGCTACTGGCCGGGTTCGGCCGCAGTCAGGTGACTCGCCTGCATTGTCCTATCATCGTGATATCCTTATTATCTCCCAATGTATTCTGTCCAGTCCAGATACAATAATCAAGCAACAATAGCTGGATTATCCCGAACGGAGCATCATAAAGGCCGTTGTGTCCTGTACATCTGCAAGAATCCGCAGGGATGACTGAGATCTGATGCCGGCTCACTGATAGATACCCCATCGCATCAGATCCTCGTCTCAGGCTTGACAATTTGTTGTAACTCATGCAAGGCCTGTGTGATTTCAGAGCTGTAACATATGGTGTAATGCAATGAAACGCTGGCATCGCAGTCCTTTAATGATGTAAGGGTGAACGAGATCTCTGTTGCCTGAATAGCCGGTAGAGGGTCCGATAACATTGGAATATGACTGTTACATACACCTGCAAGGTTAGCAACGATGGCCGCGGAGTATGGAATGCTTTTCGGAGTCCTGTCCGAAGAGTCAAGCAGGGCCTCAGTGCCACCACGCCGATTTCATGTCAAACAGGTTGGGCGCTGTGAGATACAATGGAACCAAGTCTAGGAAAAGCATCGTTACACATGTTGACGAAGCCAACAGTAAATAGCCCTCAGACTCCAGAGTGTATGACCTGTATCACACACATCATGGACCAAAGTAAACCAACTTCTTTCTCCCTTCGGGTGTTCAATGCGGGAGGTGCTGAAAGGCATCTGAGGTATAAACCGCGGCTAAACCGCTGAATCCAAGGAATGAAAGGATCAGCACCAGTCAAGCTTTGTGATCCATGCAGCTCGGATCCGGGGCTGGTCGAGGAACTGCTGAAGTGGGTAACCCGGTCAAGGCCTGCATGGTTGCGTGGATGGATGCGCGGGATGAGGTACAAACTTCAGCCACCGAGTCAAAAGTGAGGGATAAAATGGGCATAATAAACCGCTCGAATGGGCATCAGGGTCCAATGGCTTGAGAAATTGCTCAGGACAGCCCACGCTATCGTGGCTAGATGAGTTGGAGATCAACAATAGTAGCTCGCACGCGACTACGATAGTAGTAGTAGTATATCGGCAAGAGCGCCAATGGGGGTGGAGTCTCTTAACCGACATCTATACTTTGGACTAAGGAGGATATACTTAGCACTAACAGTGCACAACAATCATTATTCCATAGTAGTTGATCACTAGCTCAAAACTAGACACGTTTAGCTCCCACGATAATTTCTCAGTTGACAATTAATAATGAGACGAGCCTCGACCTCGTAAGCTGGCCGTGTGCACGAGACGAAATTTTGCGTGCTTCCGACGGAAACAGCACGGTTCACGCCTACACTACTAATTATACTACTCTCCACTGTAGGAGAGCAAGTCGAGCAGGAGATGACCAATCATAGGGGAAGGGTTACTGCTTCAGATATTGTTCACTGAATGCTACGGAAGATTTTCGCACTTTCGCAGGAGTTGACTCCATCGGATGCTCCATCGGTCGGGACCGATCGGCGAGGCGCAAGGCCGTTTGAAGTTTCAGACTTTTTATTATTGGGCAGCCAGGACCGCGAAATTTGGAGTCAAAAATTGGAGACCCGACGATAAAAGAATTTTATTCTATTTTTCCTTCCTTATTTTTGTTTGATTTTTATTTTATTTTATTTATTTATTTTTTTTTTTTGGCTGACCTTTATTCGCGCAATTCTGATCGGCGCAGTCAAGTAAATGCGCAATGTGTTTCGAAGGGTAATCGGGGATGGGGGCGACGAGCTTCCTTTTTGCATTGCGTCTGCACCACGGAGTATTCCGGGTACGATTGTTCACCCTTGCGAGGAATACTCCGTGGTGGATGGATCAACATACACCGGGCAATACGAGTCAATGTCGGGTGACAAAGCCAACAAGTTGAGGGATTTTGTAAGCTTTGACAGAGCGTGAAGATATTCGTATATGTGTGTATATCTGGCAATCGGCCGACACGACACGAAACACAGGTGCGGGACTACAACAGACTCAGGATTTGTTATGTATGTGTGCGTATGTATGTGTGTGAGTGAGTGAGTGAGAGTGTGTGTTCTGGTGCTGGCTTTGCAGCCGCTGACAAGACCCGAACTCGGCCATTGTCCGGGCCGCGTTGCTGCGGGGAATGCTAGCGGCGCTAAACTAGACTAATGGCTGGCACAGCATGAATAACATCCGGTCCAGAATCCTTCCTGGTTCAGTTAGATCGTCTGGAGACTTGGGGCCTGGCAGTTAGCTTAGGCAACTAAGCTGGCTTAGTGGGCGTAGTTTAGCCTGTTTCTCTGCCACATGAGACCCGATCCACCTCAACCACCATGGCTGGACCCTTTGCTCTTGTTGGCTTAGTGTGTGCTGCGTGATTCCGATGTCTACGCTGAATCCTGACTAAATCGGGTCCACCATCCGACCAGCAGAAAGGATGGAATCGGGTTTGCCATCTCGGAAATCGGGGCCCGTAAGACAGTATAGGGTATAGACCTCCGTCGTAGGGCGACGACGACGGTGATAAGAAGTGTTGTCCTGGACTTAAGGAGACTAGTCCACCGTAAGCAGGATATAATGGTTGATAGATATCACATTCTTTGGAATTGATATACCCCCATGCTAGTTTCTACACTGGTAGATCTCATACTTTCGGGTACTCGGAGTATAATTGTACATAGTAAGCCAGTAGTTGCAGAGGGATTACCCGATGTGCATCTGGATGAGCCAGAGGACTGACAAGTACCCCGTACAATCCAGACTGATGATGCTGGTGACTCGATCAGCTCTCTCAACTCACTCAACTCACACCTCTAATTCGTACTTTCTCTCTCTCTCTTCTCCCCTGCTCCCCCAACAATACGCATTGATCATCAGGAATCCTGTTTGATTCTGGTGTAACTCTCGTATAGTTCTGGTATAGGTCTGTAATTATTATTAAACAAAACAATTCACAGAGCAATAGGTATCCATATCTAGAACCATCCTTTTCCGAATCAAGGGGGAATTTCCGTAGTAGGTATGTCAGCTGCTATCAAATCCCAACGGGAAAGGAAAAAGAAAATGAAAATGAAAAAAAAAAGAAGAAGGTCCCTCTTTTCTCCCCCCACTCGGACTTTGGAAAAAGAAAGAAGATGTGTAGTAAGTAAGTGAGTTGAGTGATTGTGTGTAAAAGAAAACCAATCAATTAGGAATAGAAACAAAAATACCAACGAGAGCAACAAGAGTACAACAATAATACCCGAAACACATGGAATAAACACAATAAACACCTCAAATCGAACAGGTCGTGTGTCGTGTGTTGTTGTATTCGTTGTACTCGGTACTACAACGTAGCCGTCGTCCTGGAACGAGAAATACCTCATATTTCTCCTCACCTTCTCTTTCTCTTTCCCACCCCCCCAAACACCGAAATCGACATCTGGAAGGTCCAAGCCCCTAATGGGATTTGTCAATTTAATGCGCCTTTATTAAAAATTTCTTTTTTTTTTTTCCCCATCAAATACCACGAATTGGAGCTGAATCAAAAGCACCAAAATCAATCTGTGCGTCTCGAATGTTTTTCAATTTTTCTCCGCATTTGTCGGATTCGGAGCGAGCTCCCGTTTAGTTTACTCCACACCCGTCCCAATCTGACCCAATCTGACCCGTTCAATTTCCACCTTTCCTTCCCCCCCAAGCTTCGCCTTTTTTTTCTCAGTTCCCACCGCAGAGAGTCTGTGACCAGCGACCCAGTCGAAACGGTTCGCTGCCATGCAACCATTGTACCCCGATACCCACCGTACCGGTCCCGGTCATCCTGAGTGGTCCCTTGCATCCCGATTCTTCCCGATTGCTGTCATCCCTAATCAATCCACGGCCCTGGTTCATAGTCTTGACGACGACCTCGTTAGAAGATCACAACCGCTGTTGAGACACTTACTTGGTTGAACTTCGGCATGCGGTGGGTTCTTACTCAGGGGGGTTCAATGCGACTAGCCCACGGAATACATAAAATCAGACTGCCACCAGTCGTCTCCTCGCCTCAATTGATCCTCTCCTCCACTGCCATCACCTCTGCTGCCTCCTTCAATCTCCCCTCTTCTCCTGATATCGTTGTTGGTGTTCGTTCCAAGAGTATCCTGGCCGTGACTCAGCCTTCCACCATGGCTCGATTTCCCGCTCAGCAAAGCCGTCCCGTCCACGCGACCTCCTTGGTGAACCATGCGGCACCGGTGTAAGTACCGTCTTTTGCCTCCCCCCGTCTTTTGACGGAAACATCTACCCTCGACTCCAAGTCACACATCATCAGCTTGTGCCTGCTGCTGTCACGGTTACTGACAATGCCTTCCGCTACGTCTAGTGACGCCAACTATGACACTGCCAACCCTGCCTACATTCGCAAGTATCTCCGCACCTACGGCTTGACTCCCCCGCGTGCGGAGTCGTACGAGACCCAGAAGACTCGCTGTGCGTACACCCGTAGATGAGGAATGATGGTTGAAAGGGGGCTGGAAGCTAATGGAGTTGCAGGCCTCGCTCAATTGGCTCTCAAGCAGACCCCTATCGACAAGTTCCTCTACCTCAGCACTCTCCGTAAGAACAATGTTCACCTGTTCTACCGTCTGGTCACGGACCACCTGAGGGTAAGCATGCAGCTGCAGAACCACATTATCGTAAGCCAATGAGCTAACTCGGCACTAAGGAATTGACCCCCCTCATCTACACTCCCGTCGTTGGAGAAGCCTGCCAGAGATGGTCTGAGATCTACCAGCAGCCCGAAGGTGTGTGGCGAATCCCTGTCTAGCGTCCTTGTCACGGGCTGAATCGGCCGCTAACCATGCACGTCTAGGTATGTACCTGAGCTGGGAGGATCGCGGCAACCTGGCCGCTGTCATTGCCAACTGGCCCCAGCCCAACGTGGAGATCACATGTATCACCGATGGTTCCCGTATTCTCGGCCTGGGTGACCTTGGCATCAACGGTATGGGCATTCCCATTGGCAAGCTGGCTCTTTACACTGCCTGTGCGGGTATTCGCCCCGAGGCCACCCTGCCCTTGACTCTCGATCTGGGTACCAGCAACAAGGCTTTCCGGGAAGACCCGTTGTACATGGGTAGCCGCCGTGACAAGGTGACCCCCGAGGAGGAGCGTGAATTCTTGGATGAGCTGATGGCTGCTCTGACCGAGCGCTGGCCTGGGTAAGTAAATCCCCATGCATGATCGACCCGACTGCATCGTTGCTTACGCGTTTACAGTATTGTGATCCAATTTGAGGACTTCAAGAACCCCTTCCCTGCTTTGGAGCGTTACCGTGATAACTACACCTGCTTCAACGATGACATCCAGGGTACTGGTGCTGTCATTCTTGGAGGTGTGATCAACGCCGTGAAGCGCTCTGGCCTTCCTTGCAAGGACCACCGCGCCGTCTTCTTCGGTGCTGGCAGCGCCGGTGTTGGTGTTGCTAAGCAGATTGTTGACTTCTTCGTCCGCGAGGGCATGACCGAGGATGAGGCCCGCGCGTGCTTCTACCTGGTTGACACCAAGGGTCTTGTCACTGCTGATCGTGGTGACAAGCTCGCTGATCACAAGGTCTACTTTGCCCGTACGGACAACAACGGCCTGCAGCTGAAGACCCTGGAAGATGTTGTTGACCATGTGAAGCCCACCATCCTGATGGGTCTTTCCACCATCGGCGGTGTCTTCACCCCCGAGCTCCTGCGCAAGATGGCTGAGTGGAACACCGCCCCCATTGTCTTCCCCCTGTCCAACCCCTCTCACAAGTCCGAATGTGACTACGAGAGCGCCGTCACCAACACCGATGGCCGGGTGCTGTTCGCCTCCGGTTCTCCCTTTCCCCCCATGTCCTACACCAACTCTGCTGGCGAGACCCGCACCTACTACCCCGGCCAAGGCAACAACATGTATGTCTTCCCCGGTATTGGTCTGGGTACCATTCTCTCCAAGTCTGTCAAGGTCACCGACAGCATGATCTACGCCTCGGGTGAGGCCCTTTCCAAGGCTCTCCTTCCTGAGGAGATTGAGCGTGGTCTTCTCTACCCCGACCTGACCCGCATCCGTGAGGTCAGTGTTGTTGTGGCCCGCAATGTCATCCGGGCGGCACAAGAGGCCAAGGTCGACCGTGAAACCGCTCTGCGCACCATGAGCGACGAGAACTTGGATGCCTGGATCAAGGCCCGCATGTACAACCCCCACACTGAGGTCTTGGCCTTGGAGCGGGAGGTCGGCTCTATCCTGGCTAGCCTGGGACCCAGCGCCTTCTCCCTGGAGGCTCTGACTGAGGAGGCTGAGAAGAACTCTAAGCTGTGAGCTTGGTCTCCTTTGCTTAGCTTTTCGGCATCCCCTTCTTCTTAAAATACTGGCTTAGTTCTGTTTTCGAGCGCTTTTTTGTTTCCCGGATCCTGCTTGGAAGGATGCGCTTTTGTATACCCCCATTCTTTCACGGATTCTGACCCCTCTTAATGACGATTCTGTTGTCGGATACCACCGATGTCGGACTAGTTTTGGTTAGCATAGATGCTGGTCTTGTGATGGATAAAACGGATGATTCAATGATCAGATCTTTTTCTTCGGGCTATAGTTTTGCCTTCTTCCCTGTTTGGAATCCCGCTAGACGGAAACTCGTAGCTTCATCTTCCGACATCACCCTTGTGGTTATTACAGTGGATATTGGTCTACTCCATGATTCCGAATCAACCCGTTAGCATCCCTTTTGTGCGAGGATCTCGTTGCCGAATCGGGCATGGATACCCCCTGCACCTGCAGTCAGCGTCATGTGATGAGGGGGTTCCTCACCTCCCATGCGGGGAAGGACAACTACATCTGCCAGTGAGTCACCACCTCACTGCTTCACATGTTAGTTGTCCTGTTGTTGCTAATCATCTCCTGTTTAATCTATCCTAAAGACGGAGTCTAGCCACGTCCAGACGAGCGATGGTCAGGCTGTCCGGCGACCAGACCATGATATCTGACCAGGATCCATCAACCTAGGCAACATCACTCACTGGCATGTGAAGTGGGGATAAGATGACAGACTGACTCCAGGCGCAGGGTCTTCTCCATCGCGGACCGTACAGATAAGCTTCTGCAGGCTAAGCAATAGAGCTGCAGCTCGTGCAGACCCCTGTCAGATCGGCGATGGATTCCGCCGTCACCTCCCCGTCCGATCGGTTCCACTGGGCTGAAGTCCCTAATTGGGCGGGGGTGAAGCTGTAGCTCATTTCGACTCGAAGTGGCCCTGGCACAAGCTGTCAAATGGTGGTTCCACGGACGGATTACCCTGCATTGTCCGAGTGGTCGGGAGGCTGCATCCCGATGTCCGGCTATCTTGACCGTGGATATCCGGTCGTCCGAGGTTTCACGCGGGGGACCATTTTCCTCCGATTTTACCCCAACAGCGGATTTCATCCCTCATTAAGCTTGACTGGGCTGATACTCTCTGACTAGCTCAGAATTGGGGTCAGAATGAGGGGATCGTGCTGTTTCATCCATACTCATAGTCTCTTGTGTATTGAGCACGGACCGACTCGGCAATCATTGGAGTCAGCTCGTCTGTCTCGGTGGTAAGTAGGACCCATACAATTCCAACTCAATGATTTATTTTTACCTGCTATCTTCTGATACAGGTAGATGATTCCCTTTCACATGCTGACTGTTGATATTAGCACTTAGCAGCCGATATCGATAAGCATCTGAGCAGATCTTGGCTCGATGCGAACTAACGGCTATCCCCACATTGCGCCATGTATACCTCCACGTGGATTCTGGCCTCGGCTGCTTTTTCGGGCCGCCGGTGACTTATCACGGGCAACCCCCAGTTTTTCAGGGTCGCATTCAGCTTTTCCTTTTCTGTCACCGGCACACACACACTATGGCGTCCTTGCATGATCCCGTTAAGCTTCCCTGCGGGCTGGTCTTTCCGAACCGCCTAGCCAAGGTGGGTGGCTCAAAATTTCCGGAAGCTTAATCATGATTTGTCTGACTCGCCCAGGCTGCGATGGCCGAGGCACTGGCCGGGTCAGGCAATGAGCCGACTCCCACGTTGTTAAAGGCATACGACCAATGGGGACAAGGAGGTTGGGGGGCTCTCCTTACAGGTAGCAGACCCACTGTCAATACTGTCGTGCGCTTCTGACTGGGTTATGGCACTTAGGAAATGTTCAGGTGGACGTGGACCACCTTGGCAACCCTTGGGATCCTGCCTTGCACTCCGAGTATACAGGCAAAGAAGGCAACGAGGCTCTAGTTGAACGCTGGAGCCAGTATGCCAAGACGTGTCAGCAGCATGGCACTCCGTGCATCGTACAGGCCTGCCATCCCGGCCGGCAAACCCCCCGGGCTGCAGGCCGCAGAGGATTCCTTGCCCCGTCAATTGCACCTAGTGCAATTCCTCTTGACATGGGTGGCGGCTTGGTGCAGCGTCTGCTCACCTGGCTTGTTTTCCCGCCACCCCGAGAAATGACTCAGGTTGATATCGACCGGGTCACTCGCCAATTTGTGGACACGGCCCGTCTGATGGCCGACAGTGGATTTTCCGGAATCGAGCTGCATGGCGCGCACGGTTACTTGATTGGTATGTTGATAATTTTCCTCTCGCTACTGGTCGCAAGCTAATGGACAGACCAATTCTTGAACACCAAGGTAGTTACACCAGTACCCGGAAGAGGCCAAGCTAACTGAAAAGTCCAACAAACGCACCGATGCATACGGCGGTACGGCAGAGAAGAGAGCAAAATTCGTGGTCGATATGATTCACGCGATTCGCGAGGTCGTTCCGCCGACTTTTGCTATTGGCATCAAGCTTAACTCTGCTGACCACAGCTCCTCGACGTTTGAAGACACGATGACACAGATCGGGCTTCTTATTGAAGCAGGCATTGACTTTTTGGAAGTCAGTGGTGGCAGCTACGAGAATCCAACGGTCAGCAGTATTCATACTGTTCGAGCTGATGTTCAGACTGACATGTCTTAGATGATGGGACCCGAGAAACGCCAGAGCACTGTTGCCCGCGAAGCATTCTTCATCGAATTTGCCACTGAAACTCGCAAGCGCTTCCCGGATCTCGTTCTTATGCTGACGGGCGGTTTTCGGACCCGTGCAGGCGCCATGTCTGCTCTACAGCAGAATGCGTGCGACGTGGTGGGAATCGGACGTCCGGCTGCGATTGAGCCGAAATTGCCTTTGGTTCTGATGGATGAGAGCGTCCCGGATGAGGAGGCGCAGTTGGTGCTGAACCGGGTCCCGATGCCGTTCCTTGCACGATTCATTCCGCTGAGGGGTATTGGAGCTGGATTGGAGAGCTCATTTTATGCGAAGCAGATCAAGCGGATTGCGATGGGACTGAAGACATTTCTCCCGTAGCTGGCTGCAGCCAGCGCCACCAGACTTATACATGTATAACAATGGGTATAGAATATAGAATATAGATAGAGTATAGATTTTAGACATAGAAATATCAATCGAAGATGGAGTATAGATATAGCTATCTGATTGAGCTAGATTTGTATCATCGATACCTTCAACCATGCTTCGCATCGTATCAAGATAACCAAACTAATCACATTGCCTTGCACATTAAGTACAACATAATATCAATTTAGAATATGCAGCACATAGCACACTCACATCTAACTTATATTAACTCCAGCATTAATTTGCCACGAATTATCAAATGTAGCACAGTCCATAGTCCCCCATCACCACACCACCACATACACACCGCCGTTTACACCGCCCCACACCCAACCAACCACAACCCACCCTCACCCCCAAACACCCATTCTACCCGACATATCCTCCCTCTCCAAATCCTATACCCGAAATTTTCTTATCAGCCAAACCCATCCCCCATCACCACGACTCCCCCCTCCTCCCTACTCTTCCCCAACCACTCTCACACCCTCCCCTCGGAAACCAAACAAATACATCAAAATGCCCCGCGCCCTCAAGCATCACGAAAAGAAACTCCTCCGCAAAGTCGACTTCCACGTCTACAAATCCGACAACAACCACCGGGAATCTCAAATCCGCACGCGCTACCACCTGCAAGACCCCCTCGACTACCGCAAATACAACCAGCTATGCGGATCCCTGCGCCAACTCGCGCACAAGTTGTCTGAGCTCGACCCCGAGAGTGATCCCGTGCGCAAGAAGCTGGAATCCGAGGTGCTGGATAAGTTGTTCCGCATGGGGATTCTGAAGCAGAGTCGCGAACAGGGGGCGGGACTTTCGAGAGTCGAGAGGGAGGTTACGGTTAGTGCGTTTTGTAGGAGGAGGTTGGCGGTTTGGATGACTAGGAGTGGGATGGTGGAGAATGTTAAGACTGTAAGTCCTTTTTTTATTAACCTTCCTCGCGATGGGGTATTGGGTTGGGATTTATGCTAATGAGGCTGGGTGATGTTAGGCCGTCACGTTCATCGAGCAGGGCCATGTTCGCGTCGGGACAGAGGTCGTTACGGATCCGGCGTACTTGGTTACGAGAAATCTGGAGGATTTCGTGACATGGGTGGATAGCTCCAAGATTAAGAGGAGTATTATGCAGTATCGGGATAATTTGGATGATTTTGATATGTTGTGATACCACTTTATCTATTTCATTATGAGTGTGGGTTGTTTTGGAGTTCATGGAAAAGTGTGTGCGTTATTCATGTTATTGCTATGTTACTTTTGTGTATTGAATAATGCATGTGGTTTACGGTGTCATGTGTTGGGTATACTGAAATCTTGAGATTCGTATATCATAAATTTAAAAGAATGCATCTAGCTGGGTATCAAATGCAATCAATCAATCAATCATCCGCCGGAAATAAAAGCACGCTTGGGACTGATAACAAGGCTATACACCATGGAATTCGGTTAAGCAGTCTTCACTCTTCCTCCCATTCGATGAATAACCATCTTTCGCGTCAACTTGAAGTTCTTTTGGAACGTCGTCGTCCCCGTCCGTTTACTCTCGCATTCTTCTGGTAAATCCATGCGGAACCGCCGTACACTCCCCTCATAGTTCCCCTTTCCGTCCTTGCCCTCTTCGAAGAACGGCGTGCGGTGGTCTCCGAATTGACACCATCGCGGCGCTACACGGCGCCAGAATCCACGCACGCCACTGCTGGCGCGGTCGATTTTCTCATATTCGCGCCTCCGTGTGGATGGTGATGTCCAGTCGATTACTGTTACTGTGGGTTGCACGGGTGAAATGCACGCTGGTTCGTATGCACTAAAGGTGGCTGCGCGTACTGGACCCCGTGGGGATTGATTCTGGTTGCTTTGGTCTTGGTAGGTCGAGATGGATAGTGGAGTTCGTAAAGTGGGTGGGGAACTGGCATTGGAAACAGAGCGGAGAGGCCGTGGAGGCGTACGTGATGTGCTGGAAGATGGGGGTCGAGATGCTGATGCCGATGCCGATGCCGATGCTCGTTGGCTAGGTTTAGATGTAGATAGCCCGTCGTCTTGGAATAGACGGCATGATTCACGGTGTAGAGCAATCAGGTCCTCGCGGCGGGCTGTTCGATCGGATATCGGTGTTATGGAAGCGGTGGTTGCGGAGCGACGGTGTGAGTGTATGGAGCTGTGTTGACTATGAGGACTGGAGCGTCGCGACGTGTGAAGTTGATCTGGAGTTTTGGCGGTTGATGGTGATGGAGGTGAGGTTGTTCTTTTGCGTTTGGAGGTCCGTCGACTGTTGGGTTTGGAGGAAGACGATGGGGTAGTCGTGCTCTCCATACCGTGGGAGAGCTGATCCTCGACTACGGGGATTGACACGATGGGCGGACTGCCTGCACCCACGGTGATATCGGTGACTTCGATGGTAGTGGCGTATACTTCTTTTGTATCGTTCACACCGGGTGAGACGATGGAGAGAGATGGGACTTTTGTCATCAAATAGGATGTAGCTGTAGTATGCTCTGGCGCTGGGCTGAGCGGTGGGGAAGAGATCGTAGGGGAAAGAGGACGATGGTTGGAAGAGCCACCAGGAAGATCGGGGCGCTGGCATGTGAACGTGGCCGCCATAGTTATTGGGTGCCTGTGCCTGTGCCTGTGCCTGCACTCCAGGGCCGAGAACCGCAGCGGGATGGGATGTCTTTGACTGAAGAATGACGCGGTCCAGCCGGGTTCACATGCTCCCCCTGCCAAATGGCACCAGTCAGGAGAGCAGTGAGGAATGCGCGATCAACAGCGGGTGAACATGCTTGCTTTAAAAACGGGAATAGGAGAAAAGCGATCGAAATAAGGATGAAATAGAGAAATAGACAGAAAGAAAGAAAGAAAGGAGGAAGAGGGTGTGTTCTATGGAGTATGTCAGGAGGACAGAGAACCCGATAAGATTAGGGTTCTGAGAGGGGAAAGTTGGCTGCTGGCCAGGGACAAATGATGAGGGTCAGTCGATCTCCAGAACACGAGGATCATCATGGACGAACTGACTTACCGAGCACGTTTTAGGGATAGTCACGATGTACAGTGTAGGGGTTGCTCAGAATAATGAAAGACAGGGGGGGATGAATGAATGCACCTGGCAAGGAAGGGATGAATAGATGGTGGTAATCTAGGCGTGGGTTCGAGACAGGTCTTATTATAAGTAGAACTATCTACTAAAAGAACTAAGAATTCACCGACAAGGCATGCCAACTTCGACTTTAGTCTCTTTGCAAGCGCCTGCAGACCCTCCCCGGCGGCAGACCAAACCGGTTCAGCCTTTCAACACGGGCTACTTTTAGTTTAAGAGTGTGGAACTGCCAGATGATCGTATCCCTGTGTAGCATCGGGATTGACGCCAGTTCAGCAACCCGTCCGTCCTACATAACCCGTCCTCTAATGTCAACATATGGAATCTGAACTATCAGTGCCTCGCAAGTGTGATAGATCTAGGGCTGCAGCGCGATGTTCGGGTATCCCCTTCCCTCGGAATATCGCTACTGGATCAGGAAATGAGAACCCGTATCTTTTGGGTAGTATATACTCTTGATAGAGCGATTTGTACCATGATGGGGCGTCCAATAGGTATCAGAGATGAGGCCTGTGAAATGAGGGTAAGATCAAATCTGTAGCGTATGAGAAGATACTGATCAGGTTACAGTTCCCGCTGGACATGACAGACACAGACCTTCTCCATCCTGACTCCTACCACAATGGAGAACAAGAGCCACCGTCACACATGTCACACTCGATCCATCTTTTCAAACTAGCCAAGATGAACTCAGAGATAAAATATGTCATGCACAGCATTCAACGTGAGGTACCGAGCTATGCCTATCCCCCAGTTCGGGATATCTTCGCATGGCAGCGCGATATGATGTCAACCCTTAAGAACTGGAAATCGACAATTCCACAAGACACAGCTAGTGAAGATACAATGTCCAAGCTATGTACGGCCAGATATCACGAAACAATGGTGTTGCTATTGCGACCAAGCCCAGCAATCCCAAACCCATCGGAAGAGATGCTTGATCTGTGTTTTCATCAGGCGGTAGATCTCCTGCAAATCTTTGGCGACATCTACAGGGCAGGAAGTCTACTCTATAGTCGACTCCTTGTCCACTCGGTATTCCTTGGGGCTCTTGTATTACTCTACTGTATCTGGAAACTACCGAGAACTACCGCCAAGGTGCGTGTCGATGAGCTCATGTCGAGCCTCACTATGGCGCAGAACATACTTAGTAGTATTGGAGAACACTGGAGCGAGGCTACTCGGGCACGGGATTGCATTGACGAGTTGTCCCGTGTGACAATCGAACGGCTCTTGAGGAACCGACCAGCCGTCGAATCACACACAGAAGTCGACAGAACGCAGCCGCGAGCTGGAGGCATGCAGAGTTCATTATCTGCGCAGCACCATCAACTGGCAGGATATAATGGCATTCCCGAGGGGTACGGCAACTCCGAGCAAAACCCTGGATTATTAGCCCTTCCTCAAGAATATCGGGCAGAAGAAATTTCTCATCACTTCAATTTGTTTGATGATCTTCTGCAGGGCGACTTTCAAGGTTGGAGTGGAATGCCCGATATTGATGGGCTGATGTGGGAGGTTTTCAACAGCTCACCACAGTAATGAACATTGGATAGGCCGAACAAGCCTCTTTAGGCGTGCTTCGACAATTCGCTCGTCAGAGCTTCGCACTCGTCCAGGAGATAGACCTCATTTAGAATATTCCCAGTGACTGAAGCCCAAAGATACCAGACGTATCTCTATGGAGTACATTCTCATACTCCCTACTGAGTCATCCGCCAGTCGGAGCCCATCCGTCGTTCATCGGATGTGCCCCGTGTGGGGCGACGGCCATCCCCGATAGTCTCCGAAGCATCTCCCCTCATAAAAACATCCCATCCTCATCCTCAACATCAGCCCCACACCCGGCAACAACAACAGGAACATCCCTACTTACGTTCGATTACCTATCATTAACCTCCAAAATGTCCGACCCCCAACACCAAATTCGCCACATCAACCCCAATTACCTGGAAACATTCATCCAGTCCATCCTCACCAAAAACGGCGTTTCCACCGACCACGCCAAGATCATATCATCGTGCCTCGTGCAAGCCGACCTCCGCGGCGTAGACACGCACGGCTCCAACCGCATCCCCTCATACATGCAACGTATCCGGCAAAAAGTCCTCTCACCCAGTGCCACCCCCACCTTGACTGAGAAAACCCCCGTCGTCGCACAAGTAGACGGCCACAATGCCTTCGGCTTCGTCTCCGCGCACATGGGCATGCAACGCGCCATTGAAATGGCCAAGGTATACGGCATCGGTCTCGTATCCATCAAGCACTCGAACCACTTCGGCATGTCGGCATGGCTAGTCCAACAGGCCCTGGACGCAGGGATGATGTCCCTCGTGTTCACGAATTCCTCGCCCGCCCTACCCGTCTGGGGCGGTAAATCTAAGCTCATGGGCGTGTCTCCGATCGCGTGCGGTGCTCCGGCTGGATCGGCTCCGCCGTTTATTCTGGATATGGCGCCGTCCATCGCCGCCCGGGGAAAGATCTATAAGGCGCTTCGCCGCGGAGAGAAAATCCCGACTGATTGGGCGCTTGATGGGGAGGGCAATATCACAGATGATCCTGCTAAGGCACTTCAGGGTGTGATGCTCCCCATGGGTGGGCCGAAGGGGTCTGCGCTGGCGATCATGATGGATGTGTTTTCTGGGGTGTTGTCCGGGTCTGCGTTTGCTGGGGAAGTGACGGGCCCGTATGATCCGTCTAAGCCGGCGGATGTGGGGCATTTCTTGGTGGCGATTAAGCCGGATTTGTTTATGGGGTTGGAGGAGTTTAAGGAGAGGATGGATTATTTGTATCAGAAGGTCGTGGGGAGTGACAAGATGGCGGGTGTGGAGAGAATTTATTATCCCGGGGAGATTGAGCAGATTACGAGGGAGACGAGGTTGAAGGAGGGCATTCCGTTTACGGAAGCAGAGATTGAGGCGTTGAATAAGGAGGCGGAGATGGTAGGTGCGGAGAAGTTGAGGGTTGATTAGGATTATTGGTGATGTATTGGGAATTGATGGCCAGATGAGTACAGGCCGGGTGTAGGTTTGAAGAATACATGTTTACATGATATCATTGTACAATGGAATCCTACTATATGAAGTATAGTCACACCTTGAGACAATGAGGCCCATATGGCTCGAATTGACAAAGCCAGGGAACCATACTATTTCCACTAGCATCAGAATGCTAATTCTGAAAGAGAGTTCCTCGTGAGGATCTGATACTACCCTGCTAACGACGGCACTGCGGATCTTCCAATAGAGAGCGTGAGCGAAACCTGATCGGCTTGGGTGGCGGTAACGGCTTCGTAGATTTGATCGAACACTCGACTTTGATTCCGCGCATGTCCGAAGCTGCTAGTTCTGCTTTGAAGAAGGTGTCGCCGCTTCCTATTTCCTTTGTGGGTTCCTTTGAAGTCCATTTTGGAGTGGCTATCACTGATCCCTGGAGATTTCTAGTGCGACCAGAGGATAGATCATCGCTATCATCATTGATTCCATTCGCCTGTCCCAGAATGGCTTCAGCTAGGTCCTGACTTTTCTCCATACTTTGCAGTCTCTCCACCAGCCTGTCTATTTTCGTCTCGAGGGTCTTGGCCGACCGCTGCTGAGTATCTAGCAAAGCGAGGCGTTGCTCCATTGCTGCTAGCCTCTCATTCACAGCCATCATAGTTGACAGATAATTTTCGGAGCCAGGAAAACGATCCAAGACGGAATTCATCTCCTCTATCGAAGCCGTCATAACTCTGCTGACTTCATCTATCACCCTAGATTGGCCCTGGGGAACATCACTAACCGGGACCATCTTAAGAAACTCTGCCGCACAAACAGCCGCCGCCATAGCAGCATAACCATGCCAGCTGTCGTTCTTATGTGAGTCGGCATAATTGTCAATTCCACGGATCGTGATCGATCCTCTACTCAACCCCGCAGACTCCATGTCGAAACACAGTGCATTGAACGTATTCCCCCAGTCATCGCGCGTTTGAGCATTTTTGATAAGTTTATCCCCTGACGCGATGGTCCCCGAGTGAACCCTGACCTCACCATCTCCCGGCCGAGGCTCTCGAGCAACAAGAAGGGAAGAGTCATGAACCATTGTTTCCTCACAGTCGCAATGTTCACCATGAACATAGTCCGAATTATACAAACGACCCTCCAACTCCGGACGCCGAAACAGATGCTGTAGCGGAATAGGCAACATTCGCGCCTTATCCTCAACTATACTTCCAATATCAAACTCCAAAAGAGATTTATACTTAAAATGATTCACCCTATTGTGAAGAATAGCCGGCGGCCGGGGACAATGTCCTGTATAATGGAACCCATGGTGGGTCACTTTGCCGAATTCGTACGGGACAATTCTCGTCCCTATGACCACGTCGCCCAGTCGCACATCATCCTTTGACCCAGGCGCAGCTCCAGCGATTCCGACCATAAGTGAATATTGGACCAAAGGGAAGGTAAGTCGCAAGGCTGTTTCGACGGCGGATGCGGATACCACGCCGGGGGATTCTGCGGGTAAGCAGACTATCACGACATTGTGGTTTCCGACCCGCCCCAGAGTGTAAGCACGGCAGTCTCTCTGCCCTAGAAAGACATGCGTGGTGTCTGGGTAGATCTCGTCTAAGACGTGCCGGGCGGCGATGTACTCGATTAAGAGGCTGCAGATCCAGCCAACCGTGAAATTCTTGGCGTCCAGGGATGATGAGCGGGTCATTGCAGGGGCTTGACGGGGAAAAATAATAGATTGAACAAAGTGAACTGAAACAGTATTTATAGAGGGTTCGATAATTGCATTGCTGGGTGTAATGAGCGGGCTTTAAGCACGCCGGCCTGCATGCTTAGCCTTGTGTATTCGGCTGTCGTTGGAGGAAGCGCCGTGCCACATCACAAAGCGATACGCCCGTCTAGCCGCTAATGCAGAATGAGCAGATGCTGATAGGTGGAACTAAACCCGCTGGAAGGTAGCTGCACTGGCTATTGCACATTGAAAGTGATCAACAGATCGGAGGTAGCAGAATGCGTGCGAGTGGTTCTGCGATGCGATCAATAAAGACTTAGAGATTGCCATAGGGCAAGTAATGAAGTATATTAACCTACAACTGGGCTTCAGAATTCAGTTAGAATGTAAGAATAATATTCCATGTCAGAATTTGCCACACATTACAGTAATATAATAAAAAGAAAAACTAACATATAATTACATCTAACATCACAATATGTGCAATCTATAAGTCGGGAATCTTTCCCTTCCTCCCGAGCCGGAAACACCGCCCTCTGGCTCATCCTTCTTTATCCCATCTCCTCAAACGTTTACAAGCCAGATGGGAAAATGATCGATGGATCGTAGACCGCTGGAGTACTGGTATCGAGCGTTCCGTTCCAGCAATAGCGCTGAAAGCACCGGTCGCAAGCAGCAGGCACAGGTGTATTGGTCCTGTCAAACGAACGACTAAGGACAGCGCATCCCACACAAGTAGTCCACTCATTATCCAGCGTGCCATTTGCCTGGGTCGCAACATTATAACCATTGGTTATCATAGCGTCACGGGCTGTGGTATTGAAAGTGGTATCTGTAGTTGTTGTGTTGGACATGTAGGTGACGGGGTGGTTAGGCAAGTAGACAATCAACGGAGCAGGTGTAGTCATGTTCGAGCTGTTGCAACCGAAGAACGTAGGGTGGCTGATAAGACCCAAGTTGACAAAGGTATTTTCATCGGGAATAGAAGGGAAAGAAGTATCGTTGGCGTAACCAGCAAGAGTTCGCTCATAAGTGGCGATAAGCGACTCCCCAGTGGGCCATTTGTAGCCGGCGTTATTGTTGTTGGAATCGATGGCGAAGATGACATCCACGTCACGCTTTCTCTGGATCAGTGGGTTGAGGGGAATGTTCTCTTCGTCTTCACCACCATCGACCACCGTCAATCTTGTGGTCTCTGCAAATGGTGAGGTGTTCGCGTTGTATTTGTAAAATGGGTTTGGTTCATAGGCTGCGGGGCCACTGATGGCGGTGTTGTTGGAGCTGAGGGCGCTGACAACTTCTTCGAGCATGAACGACAGCAGCTCCACTTCCAGAGCACCCTCGGTGGTATTGGTTGAAACCTCCGCAATCGCATCACGTAGGGTAGCAGCAATACCTGTGCCGTTTTCGTTCCAGATGTCGCTGGACGTTCCGGTGATAAATCCAGCGCTATCGAAGCCGCGCACGCAGGTCTCATTTTCGGGCACCTGGCCGTTCACGAATCGGGTGCCCAAGTACTCAAGTGGTGCGAAGCCATACATATTGTCGTCGTAAGTTCCGAATTCCCAGGGTGAGACTTCGTAGATGGGTTTATCTTGACCGGGTTCGTCGTTGGCGTCCGCGAAGGACTGGCCGTCGACAACCACCAGTGGCAGTGGCATGTCTCCGTGTTGGAAGGACGGTGTCTTCGCAATCGAGGACCAATGGATGTCAACGCCACCATGGCTAGCGTTGAGGAAGTAGTAGCCTTCAGCCCGACCCCTGCATTAGTTAGCATCTGCCCGTGCTGTTCATGTTGTGTTGACTCTTATGTGAGTAAGTGGCTTACCAAATATCCGCGTCAGTAGTAGTAAAACCAGCAGCCCTCTTGGCCTTCACTTGAGCTGTAACATTACCCCAAAAGTCGGTAGGCTCCATGGTTGCAGGTCCTTCAAGAATAGATGCTGAACTAAAGTCCCAGAAACTGTCCTGAAGGGCAGAAATGGTTGTAAAGTTGTTCATGAATACGGAGGAAAGCAACCAGGAGCCTCCACTGAGAGCAGCAACATAAGTGGAGGATTGAAGTAGACCGCCCAACTGGCCCTCGGCCGCTGTACCTTCAGTCCGACTGTCGAACGCTTTGAGGGCACCGGCACCATTCAACATTGCGCGCATACCACCGCCGGATATAGCAATTGCAACATTGGGTAAGCTGGAAGAGTCGCTTGTGTCGAGGTAATCCAAGGCGTCGAAACAATCAATCTCAACATGACCGAAAAATTCCTTCAGCCCCGATAGAGACTGTTCACGTCGGGTCTTCAGCCAGGAAACTTCCTCCGGAGAGAGTGTTGCAGCGCCACGAATGCTAGGCCGGTTGGGCGGACAGGAAACATGAACGGGAGCATAAGGGTTTGTGGCAGTTGACAAGTCACGGCGCTCAACGCTGACGTCCGTTCGAGCTCGGCGATTATTTATTTGGGATGGAGCGGCAGTTGTGGCTGAACGGGACGCAATACCAGTTAGTCACTTGAATCGAGTAGCACCGTGATGTTGAAAAATCGTGAGAAATGTGCAAGGGACTTACAGGGCAAAAATCCCAAGGCAACTGAGCCAAGTAGTGCAGTCGTCTTCATAATCAATATTAAAGCGAGACTAACACGTTGATTGAGGAATTGATGGTGTTAATTGAAGATGGAGAACAGCTCTGATTGTCCTTGGGAATGATCGATATTTAAGCTTCCCAGGTGCACCAAATATCACAGCTACCCAAGGCTGAACTGACGATAAAGCTGAGCCCCATCCCACCGATCTGGTACACTCTTTTAGGAATGGTAACATACACCACATGGTGGGGATCCTAATAACCCCAGGCCTAAAAAGCTGAGACTTAAAGTGGACTTTGGGGGCGGAGTGTCCACAGCAGCCGAGCTTCCACGCTTAGAGGGCGAGAGCCGAGCACTTAGGAGTCTTGACTCATGAACGCTAACCCTGATGAGTAACAAGATCGGCAAAGAAGAGCTTGATTGAATGGAGTATCCAGTGCTAGATTCTGACAGATCCATTTATCGACATGCCGAAGGGGCCAAATTGTCGCTTATGCCCACTAAACCTAATCAGGCAACCAGCTCGGAGGCTGAGCGGTGGGCAGCGATCGGCGCGGGCCACGTTTGCTCCATTATCCATCGTTTAACCCTCCCAGTAAGTGCAGCCACCACTTGCAAAGATGCTGGTGCCCACGAGGGTAGTGATATGTTTTCTCTCTGATGAGTGTGTCGCGCAATCTGTTACCGCACCAATCATGACGCCAAGCTCTTACCAACAGTAGACGATTCCGTACAGCACAGCAAACGAGGTGTCTCAGCTCCGCTCTAAAGTGGGCCATAGCCTACAGCGGACTCTATTTGGTCAAACACTATCAACTATCGACCATTCAAATCCGGATACCGCTACGCCGCAGCGTCAGAGGCTTTGACAGAGCTGCCCAACCCGGCTGATGAATGATTACTTTGAGTAGAAATATTGACATAGTTGGTTCAGAGAAGAGTAGGAGCTGCAAAATTGGTATCTAAATTCCAAATACTGACGTGGTCTATTGAAAGGGAGAAGAAGAGAGAGCGGCAAAGAAATAGAGAAGACGCCGTACAAAGAGAAACCAGGATCTATTGACATAAGTAACCGGTGAAAGGCACCCGCTGCTAAGCCGCAATGCCAACCGAAGTAGGCTTGACCACATCAAGCTTTCCATAGTCCGTTTCGTCTTTCAGCTCTCGGAGATGTCTGGTGCGGACACCCACGACCATCATGGTTACGGTCGCAAACAACTCCGGCAGGAACATGAGAACAACACGGACGGACATTAGTCCATACACTGGACTAAGATCTTTACTCTCGGTGCAAACAGCAACAAGTGCGTAGATGACACGGACACCAATGAATGCTAGTGCAACCAGCGCACCCTGAAGGAGCTGTAAACACATGTTAGCCAAGTAATGGTAAGTATCAAGATGAGAGGTACGCAATACTCACCACAGTGCCGCCTTGATATCCCGGACCTTGAATTCCTTTATCGTGGAATTGTAGGGAGTAAACCGACCACCCAATCTGGAAGAGCCAAACCACAACGGTCAGGGATGATCCAGCCTTCCATAATGAATAATCGTCGGACTGTGCTTTGTTCTCGAAAATATCCAGACATGCCTTGATAGAAAGACTTATAGCTACCACCATGGTAACTGATGTTCCAATCACGACGCACCAATTGAGGCGACGGCTGGCATGGGGAAAGCGATACGTTCGGCTGTTGCTAATTTAGTACCGGATCTAGCATATCTTGAGGCGTGAACGTACGCTTCATGAACCAATCCGTCAACGCATAGAATTAAAGGCGTGATTCCCACGCTCTGAATGATATTCGCTGCCATGCTGCTGCTGTCGCGAACTCCTAGAGCACCTCCAATAACTCGAGCGGAGCAGGACATTATTAGGGAGTACCAGGCTAAAAACCCGGTCCATCGGTGAGTTATGAATATGTAGACGACAATCGGCGAGAGGATCAGATAAGCCGCAAGATCAGCCGCAAATATTTCGTTCATTTTATGATGGATGAAGGTTAAGTAGAAGGTAATTCCAGAAGAAATGAATGGAAACAAGGGTTCGTCAACACACGCTTGAGTTGTTTTTATCAGAAAACATCATATTATTGTAGAACACGGGAAGTTATATATCCTTGCGGACTGAGGCTATACAAACCATCGACTTAACCTATAACGGCATATCGATCGGGATGATGCAGTATTCAGCCTTGCGATGGTTTGTGACTACAGGTACCAACGCCATGTATGTTCTATCTTCTGCAACCCGTGGCTGGGTTTCAGGCTGAGCAAACGGGAAGATATAGAGTTTCGGAAACTCGACCCAATGTCATCCAAGCCCCCCACATCCACGGCTACTAGTGCTTACTTCTAGCGTTATGCCCGACTTGCTTGGTCGGACTTAAAGGCAGCCAAGTCCCACTTGCTGGGAGCCAAGCGTCTTCAAACACTGGCATCCGAACTGGTTACCCTTCTGGGAACTGATTATCCACACATATCCCTATTGCCATGGTCTACAGAGGGAAGCCGGGTCTGGGGTGTGCTTTATGCAGGACACGACGGCTAATCGTACGTGGTGCGCCTCGAGGCTCTTTATGATCATGGCGTACTGACTTTACAGTGCGATCGACGTCGCCCGTCGTGTACACAATGCCTGAGGATCAACCAGGAATGCTCAGGGTATCGCGACCCCAACGTCCTGAGAATCTGCGACCAGACCGACGAAATAACCGTGAAAGTCGAAGGTCGAGGGACGATCGTTCGAAAACAACGCAAGTCGCCTTCTACGGGAAAACCCTCCTCACCCGCCTCTATATCCCCTCCGCCTACCACAATTGATGATCAGGTCATGTCGCATATCTTCACTTACTACGTCGGTACCACACGAGTCCAGGGTCTCCTTTCCTATCTTCCCCACCTGCTGAGCACGAACCCCCTCTCCTGCACTCCAAGCCACGATTAAAGCTGCAGGGCTGGAGAGCATGGCGAGAATCAACCGGCGTCCCGAACTAAAGCGTGCGGCAGGGGAAGAGTACGGCAGGGCCCTGATTGCCACTAATAACGCACTACGAGACCCAGTATCGGCGAAATCTGACTCCACTCTTGGGGCTGTTATCTTGCTTGGCATGTACGAGGTAAGATTAGCTCCTTTGATTGCAGGCTCGGCTTTCTAATTGAGGGGTCAGTGGAACGCGTGCTCGGGTCTAATGCAGGGCTGGTCGCAGCATGTCCGAGGAGCGACAAAGCTTGTTGAACTACGCGGCATGGAGCAATTGAACTCGGAAACTGGACTCGAGTTGTTTACATTAGTCCGTTTGCAAAATGTGAGTATTGCTCCACTCAAGTATTGGCTCTCATCCTCATCTATATTTATCAGGCAATTAGTGGCGTCTTTATAAGATCTCGGAGGTACAAATCAGCCAAGATAACGGCCCTTACGAAGCTGGCACAAGCAAAGAAGGACAGGAATTCCCAACCAATTGAGGTATTCTATGATATACTGATGGAACTACATGATCTCTCCGTCGAAGTGGACGACGCAGCCGTGGTCGATGATTCAATTGGCACTCTGAGCATACTTATCAGCAAGGCGCTCCATCTTGACACGGATCTGCGGGCCTGGGCCATGTCACTCGGTCCGCATTGGCAATACTCCGTCGTTGACACACACAGTAATCCTAAATCTCGCCCCCACATTCCCCTTCACAGCGACACCTACCATATGTACAAAGCCGTCGGGGTAGTCTCAATGTGGAATCATTATCGCCAAACGCGTATTATCTTACATGAGATGATCAGATCAATGGGTCTACGCCTCTGGGGCCTACAGGGGACATCTGAATGCCAACAAATCGTGTTTGACTCGATAGATACTATCAAGCAGATGACAGATGACCTCTGCGCTAGCGTTCCATATCACTTTGTATCTGGAGAGGTGACATTCCCGGCCGTGATTCGCCTGCTCTGGCCTTTGTTCGTTGCAGGCGACTGTGCGGGTGCGGAACCTGCCACGAAGGAATGGATCATCCAGACTTTGGAGTTGATTGGGAACACGACGGGAATTCAACAGGGGCTAGGCTTAGCTCACATGCTTAGGAATGGACATACAAGGAATTTTATCCCGGGGACATGAGGACGGAGTGTACTTTGTGATAAATTTTTCTCGTGTTTGTGGTCGATACTATCATTTAGCGTTGCGTTGCTTAGCGGCGGTTGGCGTAATGTACACCCTACCTATCCCCTCTATTATGATCTACACATCTTCTAAAGGCAATAAATAATAAATGCAAAAAGAAAAACATACAACAGAAGGGATTCGCTGGTGGTCACCCACCCAACTACTAACCTCCCGGCGTGTGGCTTAAGTACGGCTGAGCGGACGGGAGGCCCTGTTTTCCACACCCTGTGGTCGTATGTGCTTGGGGTAAGTAATTGCCTTCCTAAGTAGGCAGAAATCTAATTAATGACACTGGCATCACTAAGTGGGTTTAATGGATTTCTGTCGAGAATAAATTTGTGAAGAAGTCGATGTTCTTCCTGATTGTCTCCTTCCTTACTATGTGTCCCATATAACCCGAACCCCCCTTAAGAATAAACAGACCACAGGAACTCATATGTACATTCAGAGTATAGTTGGTTCTACGAAGGGAGGCAGGCAGGGTGGATACTCATGAGATAAGGGCATAGCTTTGAAATAGAACTCAGTTTCGATAAGTGATAGATAAGAGAATATAATAGACAATCAACGAGAGACACATATGATAAGCGACATAGTAGACAACAACGAGAGAACAGATATATATAGACACAAGGAAAAGTGGTACAGTAGTCAGTCTGTCAGGTGATGCTCATCAAGGATCGACCTTGTGCAACATCCAGATTTCTTCACACAAAAGGAAAAAACAGGTCCCGCCTGTTAACATCAACGAGTGAGCAATTCAAATTGCTATCCATCAACATCCATCAAGCATCTTCTTCACAGAAGCTTCAAACAAATCCTTCACATCTCCTGCCCTTTCATCCGTGAGCACATCAGACCAATAGCCAAGCTCTGCATCTACCTCAGTAACACCGTCTCCCCGACTATGGATCTGCACACCGATCGACACGTCCCACGCAGTGGGATCTTCTGCCGAACGCAGCTCAACCTCCAGTTCAGTCCGCTCCGTGGCCTTCTGACCCACTCGCGAGTCCATGTACTGTAGACTCATCAGAGAATTCCACGCTGGGGTCTGCCACACGTCTTCCATCTGGGCCAGTCCGTACTGATGCTCCAGCGACTCGAGGAAGTCATCTCGTGCTTGCCTCAACACGTCGCCAATCTCCTTGTTGCTGAGATCGATCCGACACAGAAGCATTTGGATGAGCGGACCGACGGTCTCTGCTGCGCCGGCGAACGGCGCATCTCTGTTGGCGGTCATGAAGGAGAAGAGAGTTTTGTCAGATCCCGTGAGGTGCTGTAACACCATTCCCCAGGCCGTCTGAAGGAACGCCGCCATTGTCACACCGTGCTGAACACAGAAGGCGGGGAGTCGGCTGGTGGTTTCCGAATCCAGGTTGATGGTCTTTGTTTTGTGGACCCGGGGTTGGGATAGTACAAGGGTGGAGGCATCGGTATGAGGAATAAGTGATGGCCCGGAGCTCCGCGCGAACTCTAGCCAGTATTCCTTGTCCTTAACTAGTGTCTCGCCTTGGCTCATCCCGTTCAGCCAGACAGAATAGCTACCGAATGACGGGGCTGGGGTGGCGGGAAGCTTGCCCTCATACGCCAGCATCAGGTCGCGGAGGATCAGAGCGACAGAAACGCCGTCGGTAAGGGTGTGGTCTGTTTCGGTTTTGAAGGCAATCTTTTGCACGCCATTGACTGTTGTACTGAACAAGGTGAGCTGATGGTGTGGCTTTCTGTTCGAGAGGCTGTAGTTGACCGATCGGTAGGCGTCCATGCGCGCCGTCATCTCCTCCTCACTGGCGCACTCGATCATGGGGACCTCGGGGTGCCAGTTCCGAATGATAACTTGATCGTAGGAGCCGGGTGAAGACATGCTGGGAAGGAAGACAGTTCGAAGTGCGGGATGGCGTTGTATAACCTGGTGCCATGCTTCGCGGATTCTATCCACGTCGACGACACCATTGAGTGCATGAGCTTGGTAAGTAAAATCCATTTCGTACAAGCGGCGGTTGGGGTGCTTTTCGCGCTCTGCGAGCATGTGACGCTGTACTGGGGCACAGGGGTAAATTCCTTCAATGCTGTCGAGGGTGATGCTTTGATCCTTGGGCTGGTGCTGCACGGGTGAGGGTTTGGGAGTTGGCGGAGTGAGCGGCAGGCTTTTCACCCCACTGAGAACCTCAATGGCAAGGCTAAGCGTGGACTTTGTCTTGGCTGCCCACTCAACGATTCTATCCTGGTGTTGCATGTGCTTGTTGTAGGCCATGGTAACGTGGGTTCTGCCGCCAACAACAAGGGCAACGATGTCGAAGAGAGACCAGCGGGGAAGCTTTTCATCTTGGACCAATTGGTCGAAGGTCGCGCCGTCTGGTAGTTCGGCATGCGAGAGAAGGGCGTTCTCACTTCCAACTTCAGAGGACCGGCCAAGGTAGTTGAACATGATCTCCATATCGAAATGAGAACCAAAGGCTTTGCGCCCTTTGTCGGAGAGATACCTGGAGCTGAAGTATGACATGCCGTTAGCCGGTAGCCGGCGGCGGAGATCCTTTACGGTCTGCACGGTCTTGATAATATCCAATTGCAGATCAGATACATGCAGTGGGCTCATAGTTGTAAACCAACCCACTGTGCCGGAAGGATCGACCTGGTTGTTCCATGACTCGCGACCATGGCCCTCAGAGAAGACTGGTGGTGCGGCACGGTCAGGGAAGACAGCCGCAAAGGAGTGGAGAAGAGAAGCCAGAATGATGTCGACAGGGGCGGCGTTTGAAGTCCCCTTGCTGACACTCATTAACTGGGTCGTTAGGGACTCATCGAGCCAAAAGTCAGTAACAACGGCGTCGCAGTATCTGTTCGACTTGTTGCCTCCCATTCCCCAATATTCAAAGTTGGCCACAGGCATGCTTGTGTTTGAGAAGGGTAGCAGGTCTCGTGGTTCAAGAGACTGCGCCATGTCCTTTTGAGATCGCAACCAACTCTGGAAAGAGAGCGGAGCTGGGCCGGCCAAGCTGCCAGTGGCAATGGCAAGCTCCAGATCGCCGAGCAGAACGTGCCACGAAACCACATCCACCACCAAATGATGAGCATGAACAAACATCAACTGTTTGCGCTCTGATCGAAGATTATATACGCGGGCAGCGAAGACTGGGCCCTTTTCGATGTCAAACACACCACCCATGTTCCTCAGTATTCTGGACACTTGATAACCATCTTCCACATCTTCGACGCTGAAATGGAATGAATTTGCTGAATCTTCAGCAAGGTACTGATACCACTGGCCGGCATCGTTTCGAGCGTATCGGGCGCGGAGCATCGAGTGCCGCCGAACAACCTGTGCGAGGGCCTGTCGCAATGTTTGAGGCGCCACGTCGCTGTTGACTTCCAGAAGAATGCTCTGGTCGAAATGACCAATGTTTGCGTCGGCAGCAGATCCCACCAGATCGAAGTACATCTGCTGGATTGGCGAGAGATCAAAGGACCCGTCCTGGACCTTCTTCACAGTTGGTTCGGTATATTCCGCCTTCGACGCAAGCTCGACGAGACTCTTGCTCCTGATAATGTCCAGCATGGAGACCGTAACCCCCTCAGCGCGAGACTTGCTACGCAACTGCATGGCAGCGACGGAGTCGCCACCAAGGGCCAGGAACGAAGAGTTGAGGTTGAGTGTCTCCGAGCTCAAGCCAAGGATCTTGCTGATGAGGTTGCACAGAATTTGCTCCACCGGGGTGGATGGGCGGCGAATTTCTTCTTCTTTCTTATCACTACCTCCATCGCGCAGCAACGAGGCATAGGTTTCCTGATCCATCTCTTCCATCCAAGCATCAACGGATTTCCGATCAACCTTGGAATTGGCGCTCAGCGGAACAGCCTCAACACCAATCCAAATTGTTGGTACCATGTAGCTTGGTAGGTTCTTTTGCAGCAACTCACGCACGGAGGCAAGTTCCTGTCCAACCTTAATACCATGGCAGTCTTCATCAAGCACAATAATTGTGTTTGCAACGGGGGAGTTGGTCGATGAGACATCATGGAGACTCAACATCGCCACCAGCTTGTCTTTGAGTGGTCCGTGCCGAGGGATACGCGCGACAGCCTGGCGCACTCTTTCGTGTCTTAACATGGCGTGTTCCACTTCGTCCAGCTCCATTCTTTGTCCGTGGAGCTTCACCTGATTGTCTTTACGACCGGAGAATAACATATATCCGTTGGCGTCGTAGCGTGCCAAATCTCCAGTTTTGTACATCCGGCGAGGTGAGGCACTCTTGTCCAGCTTCTTAGCCCAGACTGGATCCTCGATGTACGCAGCTGCTGTCTTTGCCTCGTCCTTCAGATAGCCACGCGAGACGAGCGGGCCCTCGACAACAATCTCACCCACGCAACCAAGGGGCACCAGCCTATTGTGGTTGTCTGGATCGCACAGCCACATTACACTACCCATTGGGTTTCCGAGGCCTTGTGCACTTGTTTGCCGAGTCGTGGGCGGGGTAGCCGATGCGTAGATGGTGGTTTCGGCTGGTCCCCAAATGATAACTAGGTTCAACTTATCGGACCAGGTTTGCACGTTGTCCTGAGTGGGTGCTTCACCACCGAGGACAAGGGTGCGCAGTGTTGGAACGGCCTCTGGGCGGAGAAGTTTGGCCACCGATGGGGTGACCGACATGAAGTTTGCCTTATATTTGGTGATGGCTCCAGAAAGCTCGTTCAACCTCTCCCACTCAGATGGCGTGCAGATGGTGGCTCCGCGTTGGAGGGAAATGAATATGTCACCGAGACCGATATCGAAAGTATAAGCCGAGAACTGGAACACCCTGGTGCCAGGGTTGACCTTGAATTGAGCACCATGTGCCTGGGCGCTCATGCGCAGATTGCCGTGTTCGACCACAATTCCCTTCGGCCGACCCGTGCTTCCTGAAGTGAAGCAAACATAGACTGCGTTGGAGGGCTTGACCTTGGGCAGTTCCACGTAGTCAACATCGGGCAGCCGATCCAAATACTCTCGGTCAATTGGGATGGTTGTGACAGCCGCATCATCAAAGATGCCAGTGTGTTGCGGCGAGACCAATACAAACTCGGCTCCGATCGTTTTCAAGATCTCCTTTCTGCGGTTCGCCGGGTGAGTAGGCCCAAGATGCACAACGACGCCTCCGGCTTTGATGATAGCTATGGTAGACACGATCGCCCAGGTGGACTTGTCAAAGCAGAGTGGAACCATGACTTCGAGTCCAACACCCTTTAGAACAAGTGCCTTGGCTAACTTTGTCGCGTAGTGCTCTAGCTGGGCGTAGGTCATTTCGCCATCCCAGCCTGAGAGGGCGAGGTTCTGGGGATGAAGTCGGCATTGCTCGGCAATGGCCTCGTGAACTGCCTTGCCGTCGATGGAACCCACAGGCCATCTAGCATTCCAGGCCTCGATTTGGGTAAAGTCACTTGGGCCGAAGAGGTCGAGCTCACCAACCTTTCTAGCCTCGAGCCCATCAGATGCCATACGGTAGAGCTGGTCGACGACGTGTTCGAACTGCTTGCAGATCCAATCCATCTGGTGTGTGGGAATGACCGTCGGGTCATGTCGTGCCAAAACGTTGACAGTCTCCCCGCTCTGAGCCAGATGGCACTCGAAGACAATAGGATAGGACCAGAAACCGTCCAGCAGCTCAGGCATTTCTATCTCAGTGATGAAGCCACTCTGGTTGGAATCCTCTCCGAACTCGAACAAAGTGGTGAAGTCGAGCGCGGGTTGGACGTCTTTGCCCAGCTGTCGAAGTGTTTGCACACCGGCATGCTGGTGCGGGATCATGCTGACAGATTGCTCTTGAACCCGCTGGAGGAAGTTGACGATGGTCTCGTCGTCATTGATCTGGATGCGAACCGGTACCGTCGTAACAGTTGGGCCGACAACTTCCACGATGCCAGGGACAGCGCAGTCGCGACCTGATTGGGCTGCACCAAAGGTGATATCATTGGACCCGGCATGCCTGGAACTCACGATAGCCCATGCTGCTCGGAGCAAGGTTGACTTGAGTATTCCAGTGGGTTGATGCTCGGGCGCTGGTAGACGGATGGTGTGAGAGACGTTGGCGCTGTTCTTGGCCTCGTATGTTTTGGAGGGCAACTTGGGGAAATGTGCGGGTGTACCACTGAGCTGACCTTTCCAGAAATTGTCCGACTCGGATTGATCAACTTGAGAGAGATGCCGAATGAAGACATTATATCCTGGACCCACCTGGTATTGCTCACCCGCGTAGAACTTTTCCACAGCCCCAAGCAGTACCGTGGCACTCCAGCCATCATAAAGAGCGTGATGGAGGGCCAAGACAAATTTGCGTGCCTCGACGTCGATCGCAAAGGAGCACAGACGGCCTCCGTACTCAATGACGGGAAGGCTAAAGGATGTCTCATCGGTGATGGTCTGCCATGCTAGCTTTTCCTTGAGCACGACCTGGAGAGACTCGGAGGCACGACCGAGGATAATGCGCGTCCGCAAGATCGGGAAGACGTCGGCGGCCTTTTGCCATGCTTCCTTGAAGCGATCAATGTCGAGATCAGCTGGCAAGTCGAAGATTCTTGTCGAGATGTAGGAGCCCTGCTTCCGAGTGGAGACTGCCATGAGACCTTCCTGCAGTGCCGAACAGAGATAAATGTCTTCGATGTCGCTCGCATCGACATTGCATTGGCGAACGGCCTCCTGAATAGCGTCGTCAACGATCTCTGGCTGGAGCAGCGAGAAAGGCGCAATGGTTGCGTCTTGGCTTTGCACACTGCTCTCCCAGAGCTCGGCCATTTGGTACAGCCGCGGCATGCGGAACAAGTCGCTCACTGCCAGCGCTTTGCCAGCGCGACGAGCCGCGGCCGCAAGTCGCATGGCTTGAATTGAATCACCTCCTCTGTGGAAGAAATTATCGCTGGCCGAGATTGACTCCTCTGGGAAGATTCCGAGGACTTCAGACCACAATGCTCGGAGCCGCTTCTCAGCTTCGCTAGTGCATGCGCGACCTCCGTTGGTGTTTGATGAATCGGCTTCATCGTCGAGAGTGTACTGTTGTCTTTGCTCGGACGACAAAGATGCACCGAGTGTTCTGAGCGCCTTGCGGTTCTTCTTTCCCGTCTGTGTCACAGGCATGGATCGTAGAGGAATAAAGAAAGAGGGGACCATGTGAGGAGGAATGGTGTCCAATAAGTGGTTCTTGAGGGCGACGAGCTGGTCTCGAACGACGTCCATGCTTTCGACATCCCCAGATGCACCAGTCGACTCAGAGGATGCATTGAGTCTTAGGAAGGCCGCCAGAGCCACGCGGTCTTTGTTCCCATTCAAGAAGACCTTTTCGACAACGACAGCGTCTGCATCAATGCCGTGGGCCACGATGTTTTGTTCCACCTCGCTCAGTTCAATGCGCTGTCCACGGACCTTGACTTGGCTATCCTTACGGCCGACATAGAGGATATTGCCGTCTGCATCATACTTTACCAAGTCACCTGTCTTATAGATGCGCATGGCTTGGATGCCTAGAGTCCGCGCAAATGCTGGGTTCTCGATGTAAGCAGCAGCGGTCTGTTCGGGATTGGCTTTATAACCTCGTGTGACGATTGGGCCTTCCACACAGAGTTCACCCACGCACCCAATCGCCACCAAACGATTGTGGTCATTTGCTTCGGTGATCCATGTCCGGCAGCCAAGTCCACGACCGATGTTGTTCGGAGATGAAGTCCCTGGCTGCAGATGCGAGACACTGGTCCAGATACTGCACTCTGAGGGTCCATATGACTGTTATGGGTTAGCACTGAGGTCAAATGAAACCGAAATAGAGAGATGTAGAGAAAACGCACATTGAGTAGTGTCACACGAGATGCCCAGCGGTCACATAGGCCTTGACTGATGGCTTCACCGCCCAAAGCCAGATGCTTCAAGCCTGGCATCTGCTCCGGATCGAGCGTCTCTGCAGTTGTTGGAACGTGGAAGGACCAGTTTACTCTGTACTTGTTAACTGCGCCAGCGAGGTCGCTAAGTCGCTCGGTCTCGGACGGCACACACACACAGCCACCCCGCATCAAGGTGGTAAAAACCTCCGAGTTGGACACGTCAAAGACATGAGAGGCGAATTGTAGTGTGCGAGTATCCGGTCCCATTTGTACATGAGGTCCTTCATAGTGCTGCATGGAACACAAACCACGATGTTCAATGATTGCGCCCTTGGGCTTACCGGTACTGCCGGAGGTGAAAACGATCAGTGCTGCATTGGATGGTTGCACTGCGGAGGTGACGCGATGGGTTGTTGTTTGCTTGGGTAGATATTCGAAACTGGCATCGTCGATTGGCAGAACCTTGGGCGCCATGCCAGAGAACTTATCTGCATGATGGGGTGAGCACAGTACCAGGGGTGCTTGGACATCCTGGAGGATATCCTGCATGCGAGCGGCTGGGTATGCCGGACTCAAGGCCGTGTAGCAACCGCCAGCCTTCAGGATGGATAGCATAGAGACGACATTCCATTTGGACTTGTCAAAGCAAAGAGCGACCGTCACTTCTGGGCCGACGCCGAGGTTCTGAAGATGGGCTGCGAGGCGTTCGGTCACCCCATCCAATTCCCCGAAGGTGTAACTTCCGTCCCAGGCACACACGGCCTCAGCGTCTGGACGCTCCTTCGCTCGCTCTGCGACAAGTTGATGCACGCACCCTTGAACCGTTTCAGGTAGATCACCATTCCATGACATGATCTCACTGATGTCGTCGGGGCTAAGCACTTGGATATCACGAATGCACGTCTCCGGTTGACTGGTCAGTTGCTGGACCACATGATTGTATTGGCTAAGCAGTCTCTGCATATCGCGGTCAGAGATCAAGGTGTGATCATAGCGAGCTTCCACGACGATTGCTCCATCACTGTGGTCATAGTTGCGAATGACCAAGGCATCGGTGTAAAAGCCCTCTGGAAGATCGGCGGATACAATTTCCATGCCGTCAAGGGCCTCACTGACGTCGCTGATGCTAGGCTCCACCGCAAAACGATGTCCCATATTGTCCACAGCCGCACGGGCCAGCTCATTGAGACGACGAATATTCTGCAGACCGGTGTGTTCAAACGGCATCATTGTAATGGCCTGTTGGTGGAGGGCGTCAAGATACTGAGCTACCGTTGTATCGCTATCCAACGGGACGGTCATACGGAACGGGGCGGTTGTCATCGTGGGCCCGTTCATGGTAGAGATACCTGCAACCGGGGCGTTTCGGCCAGAAAGGGTCACGCCGAACAGGACGTCCGAGCTGTCCTGGTGTCGAGCCACGACGAGACCCCATGCGGCGCGCAGATAGTTCGTCACTGAGATCTTGGTACCAGCCGGGCGATTCAGCTGGAATTGTAGGCGACAAGCACGATGAGGGACAACCTGGTGGCCTTGTGGCCTGGGTGGAAATTGGGGCGGTGCCTCGCCGTCAGCAGGGAACTGCTTCTGCCAGTACTCCCTGGCAGAGCTGTCTCGATCCTGATCCTGCAAGAAGCGGATGAATCCCTTGAAGGAGACCGGCTTGGAGACCACGGAACCCTCGTGTGCCATCGCGTGGGCAATCTGTTCGAATGTGATGTCCATGCTGAAGCCGTCGCAAAGTGCATGGTGTCCTGACCACACAATGTAACGTTCTCCGTTCTCCTCTACCATGGCGAGACGGATGAGCGCACTTCCATACGTCACCGGAGCGTTCAAATCCTCCTCGAGATACGCGGCCAGATTGTCGCGCTTGATCCAGTCAACCGGGACATTCAGTACCGCCTGGAGGAGTCCGGCGCCACTGACGCTCACAAAGCGCGTTCGGAAAATAGGTTCGGCGGAGACAACGGCATCGAACGCACGGCGGAATCTGGACACGTCGTAATTTGGGTCTGTGAGGCGCAGGATGCGCTGATCCTTGTACGCTCCGGTTTGTCGCATCGAAAGAGCGACCAGACCCTCCTGTAGTGGGGTGGATGGGTACATATCAACGATGGCATCAGGCCTGACACCACACTGTGTTGCCGCTTCGGCGCGAATCGTCTGCAGTGATGACGTGGATGACAGTGGGACAAGGTCAAATGCTTTCTCATCTGTCTCCTGTTCTCCAGATTCATCGCCCATTCGTACAACTTGAGCCATGTCGGACAAGACGGGATTCGCGAAGATGTCCGCGAAAGTCAAGGACATGCCTGCCACTCGTGCAGCGCCTGCAAGCCGCATGGCCACAACTGAGTCGCCTCCAAGTTGGAAGAAGTCATCAGAAGCGCCCACCTTCTCCAAGGGCAAGTTCAGGACTTTACTCCAGGCGGCTTGAAGCTTCTGCTCACGGGGTGTCGTCGGGGCTTTCTTCGCGGTCTCACCCTGCAGCATGTAACGAGAAACGTCGGCCTCGGAAAGACCAGCGATTATCTCCCGCAGGACATTACGAGCCAGCTTGCCGTTCGCGGTTCGTGGAATCTGCGTGATTGGGACGAACATGGCCGGGACCATGTATTGAGGTAGGCTTGACTTGAGGGCTCGCTGCAGGTCGGAGAACAGGCGGGCGAGCCTCTCAGTCATGGGAATGGACAAAGTGTCCAGGGGCTTCGCAGGCGCCTCGTCGAGAAACTGAACGAATGCTACCAAAGTTCGGTCCTGGATTTGGGCCTTTGGAAGCATCACAGCATCAACGGAAACCAGACTCGATTGATCAAGCTGGGCGAGCTGGGCCTGAACTTCGTACTTGATGTGGTCAAGCTCAACGCGCTGGCCGTGAATCTTGATCTGGCTATCACGGCGGCCGATGATGGTCAGACTGCCGTCACGGTTGAAGCGACACAGATCGCCGGTTCGGTAGAATCGCCGGTTCTGGTCCGGACTCATACTCTTCGCCCATCGGGGGTTCTGGACAAAGGCTGCTGCTGTCTGTTCTGGGTTGTTCAGGTAGTGACGCGCGAGCAGCGGACCCTCAAGAAGGAGCTCTCCCACGGCACCCAGAGGCATCAGCTTGTGGTAGTCGGTGGGATCCGCGATCCATGCGTGGCAACCAAAGGCCTGACCGATGTTTGCTGGGCTGCCACTCGGGCTCAGACGGGTGGGAGTACAAGTGACGGCGACAGATGACTCGGCCGGGCCATAACTGTTGTAAAGCTCGACTGCTGGCGCCCAGATCTCCACGTTCTCCCGGGTAAGGGGCTCGCCAGCGCTAAACAGCCATCGGAGCTGGGGGACCTGCTCCGGGCGCATGAGACTAATAACAGTGCTGGTCAAGTGGGCGTGGTTAGCGCGAAGGCGGTTCAATGCTCCAGGGATATCGTTGACACGGTCCTCATCTGACGGCACGCAAACGCAGCCACCGCGCTGGAGGGTGGTGAAAATGTCCTGATTCGATGTATCAAAGGTGTAACTGGCGAACTGGAAGACGCGAGCCTCTGGACCGATACGAACCGCCGGACCCATGAGATCTGACAGGGTCGCCATCGAGGCATGTTCCACCACTACAGCCTTGGGCCGACCGGTCGTACCAGACGTGAAAACGACGCAAGCCGCATTGTTTGGCTGGATGTAGCCGCATGCCGGGCCAGACTTTGAAGGGAGCTTAGCAACGAACTCTGGCGTGATCTCCACAATGCTCAAGTTGTCGCACCCTTCGAACAAGTCCCGATTCTGCGGTGCCACACACACCACCTTGGCTCCGGCTTCTTGGACCAAACCCTCCAGTCGCTTTTTTGGATGGGTCGGATCCAGCCCGACGAAGGCACCACCGGCTTTCAGAATCGCAAGGCACGTCACGATGGTCCAACCCGACTTCGGGAAACAGTGTGGCACAACGGCCTCGGGACCTACCCCTAAGGTACGCAGGTAGTGAGCGAGGCGGTTGGATACCTCATCGAGCTGGCTGTATGTCCACTCGCCATCCCAAGCACACACCGCCGGAGCGTGAGGCTGCACGCGGGCGAGCTTCTCGAAATTCGTGAAGATCAATCGGTTTGCCCGTGGCAGTTGGTGGGTGTTGAAGGACAACAGTTGATCCGTATGGGCGACGCCCACAAGTTCAACCTCGCTGATAGGGGTATCCGGGCGGGTTATAATTGCTTGAACGGCATTTCCGAGCGCACTCGCAATATTGCCTGCTTGCTTGGCCGTCAAGTGATCGGTCCAGTGACGGAGTGAAGCACGCGCCGTGTTAGAGCCGTTGAGCTGCACGTCTAGGACGATGGCGTACTCATCGGGTTCGTGATCCCCGATGTTCTTGAAGATGAGTGACGAATCAGCTGGGCTGTCAACATCACGGTTTACTGCAATGATGGTATTGAAGAGTGGACTGCCTCCTGTCTGGAGTGCGTGCTGGATGTTGGAGAGACCAACGTGCTGGTGAGGCAGGGCGTTGACGTAGTCTTCGGCAACAATGTGCACTGCGTCCAGCAATGTAGTAACGGTGGCAGTCTTATCACCTTCGTTCTCCTTCTCCTCGGTTGCAAAAGACAGACGGCTCACCAGCATAGTGAGGAAAGCACCGACTCCTTCTTGGATGCCTGGGAGGGGAGCGTCGCGTCCTGCTGAGAGGTAACCGAAGCAGACTTGCTCGGGCGACTCGGCATAAGCCCGGAGTACCAGTGCCCAGGCAGCCTGAAACACATTGGCAGGGGTGACGGAGGCCCTCCGGCAGAAGTCGAGAAGCGCCTCATTTGAGACGCCCTCCTCTTTCAGGGGAACTGACACCACGTTCAACTGTCTCTCACCTTGGTTCTCTGTCTCTAGGCTGGCCAGCCTGGGAACCATGGTCGCACTCTGACCCCTGAGGTAATCTGCCCAAAAGTCGATTGATGATTCCAGAGGCGTCTCGCGGATGTGGGAGATGTAGTGGCGGAACGGCATTGCAGGCTCCAATTGCGCCGCATGCCCATCATACGCCTGCAGTAGATCACGGACAATCACAGCCGCAGAGACGCCATCCACGATGACATGGTTCATCTCTAGTTTGATGACAACGTGACTGGCTCCTGCAATGCGGCAGATAGACAACCGATGCGCAGGCTCGGGTCCTCTGATCGAGATGGGGTCTTGGTTGGCAAGGACGGACGCGAAATCTTCGTCAGGGCTATTGCAGTCCACGATGGAGATGCTAGGCTGGGTACGGGCCAGCACGACCTGGTTGAACTGTGCCTCACTGTCGGAGCTTTCAACGAAGATTGTCCGGAGAGACGTGTGTCGCTGCACGACCTCTGTCCACGACTTCACAAGTCGCTCAACAGACACCGACTCCCTGGGATCGCGTGGCCTCAGTTCCGCGATATGGTAGACATCATACATGTCATCCGCGGACCGGTGCTGGCTAAGCAACAGGTCCTGCTGCATGGGTGAGCATGGATAAATGTCTTCGATCAACGAAGACTCAGGCCCAGGAATAAGGCCGATCTGGGGCAGTTGTTCGTTGATGAGCTTGTCCAGGGTGTTGTAGCTGATTCCGTGCAATAACGGGAAGTCTGATGGGGTGTATTCAACCGGGGCGTTGACCATCTTGACAACAAGGGAAGCAAGCGTTTCCTGCGCGGTCGCAATCCACGCCTTGACCTGGTTCTCTTGAACAACCTTCTTGTTAAAAGAGAAGGCAAGCTGAATATTCTCATCGATGACTTCCGCCACAATGGAGATGTTGCTAACCAAAGGAGCTGCTCCGGGCGCAGGGAGAAAGACGGGACGCGGTTTGATTTGCACAAGGCTGCGAGGACCGTCAATAATGTTCGACAGATCACGGTAGCGAAACGAGATCTCCGGGTTCTGAATACTGCTTGGCTCCATTGTCGTTTTCCGGGCGTCCTTGATCCCCTTCAACATGCGCACTTGCGCGTCGTTGGTGCTCATATCGGCCGTGTCGAGATTCAATGCACGCAGAGTCTCGAATCGACCAACGGTTTGCGAGAGGTCAATGCCAAAATCTTCAGACGCGCGTCCACGCTCATCCTCCCACAAAGCAAGTGTAGGTAGGGTCTCCCGGCCGCCAAATGTTTGCCTAAATGAAAGCATCAGACTTGCCATCATGAAGTCGACGACGTGAGTCCGCAGTGGCTTGTGTACTTCCTCGCTCAAGAGCAGGGTAGTTGTTGCCTGGTCAAGCTCCACTGCCTGGTAGTCCATGTCAACCTCCGATGCTAGCAGAATGCGTGGCGCGACTGCAATCTCGTCACCCGTTGTCTCTCTCTCGACGCTGACCCAGTTCTGGAAAGAGACTGGCTCCTGGGCCTCTTCGCCCAGAAGAGGCCCATCTGGGAGACTCAAGCAGGTCTGGAGCTGCCGGATGATGATGCTCCAGGAGGCACCGTCGACCACAGCACTGTGGGCTCTCAAGACCAATAGTTGCTTTTCCGCTCCTGTAACTAGACCAGCGGAGAAAATTGGCCCAGAGAGGGACACGGCGTCTGCTGTGGCTGCGATGGTGGTGATATCTTCAGGACGTTCTATGCGGTGATGCTGAAAGCTGTAAGAACCCTCGATCTCAGAGGTGACCGTCTGTCTGAGAGACAGGGCGCCATTTCCTTCTGATTCACCAAAGCGCGCCCGCAACATGGAGTGGCGGGTGACAATGGCTTCCAACGCAGCCTTGACACGAGCGGCCGAAACAGTGCTATCCAGTTTCAGAAGAATGCTCTGCGTGAGATGGTTTGCCGCTCTCCCGTCACCCAGACAGAACTGCTGAGCCCGCGAAAGTGGAAATGAGACATCCAAAAGATCTGGCTTTGTTTTCATCCCAGGGGTCTTCTCCACACGGGCAGCCAGGTCCTTGATGCATTTACTCTTCATCATGTCCGGGACTGTCACATTCAACCCGGCACGCTGGCATTGTGAGATCACACGCATGGCAGCGAGACTGTCGCCACCAAGCGCAATGAAAGATTTGTCCAGCGGCAAACCGTGAGCGGGAGTGTTCAAGGCATGAGCAAAGATGTCGCGAAGGGTTCGTTCAACCTCGGACAGATGGGCGTCAGACTTCTCATCCGAAGAGCCGTTTTCTGACACGTCAGTACCGAGCAAACCCAAAAGGTGATTGTACAGGCCCTCATCCATATCCAACAACCAGTTAAAGACCCGCTTGCGATCGAGCTTGGCCGACACCAATAGCGGCCATGCCTCGATCACGATCCAGACGGCGGGAACCATGTATTCCGGCACACATTCGCGCAGGTGGTTCCGAACGGCATCGGCCTGATCCTTAACATCTGGCCTCTCATCTTCAAACAGCACGTTGATGGGCGCATCAGATCGACCAGATTTGGAGTCCTGAGCGAAGTCTTTGAGACATACAACGGCGACAATTTTCTCCTTACACCGCCCAGTCTTGGGGAGGAACGCCGCAGCATGTTTGATGTGGGGGTGGCGAGCGATGTTGTGCTCAATTTCGCCCAACTCCACACGTAATCCACGAAGTTTGACTTGGGTATCTTTGCGCCCAAGGATCTGGATGGTGCCGTCAAGGTTGAACCGGGCCAAGTCGCCGGTCTTGTAGAAGCGCATGGATGCGCTTTCACTTGAGACGGTCGCGTCTGATGGTGTCAGCGACCAGCCTTCGGTCCAGGTCGGGTTCTCAATGAAGGAGGCGGCCGTCTTTTCCGCATCATTCAAATATCCCCGTGCGAGAATGGGGCCGGAGATCAATAGCTCGCCGACGGCGCCAAGGGGGACGAGCCGGTCGTGATTTTCGGCATCCACGATCCAGCAAAGGCCGCCAACGGCGCGGCCGATATTTGATGGATCACTCGTCGGTTTTAGATGTGGATCGCCCGCCGCGGCGACGGAACACTCGGATGGACCGTATCCGTTGATTAGTTGCAAGTGTGGTGCCCATGTCTCGATGTCGACTTTGCTGAGTGGCTCACCACCTAGGGCGAGCGTCTTGAGGTTGGGAACCATCTCAGGTCGCAGCAGCTTGACTAGCGACGGCGTCAAGAAGGCCCATGTGATGTCGAATTTGTCGAAGATGGGCTGGAGACCCTGGGCCATGCTCGCCATGTCTGGGGTGCATACACATGCACCCGAGATAAGGGAAGTCATGATCTCCAACATGCTCACATCGAAACTGTACGAGGCGAGCTGCAAGACACGACTACCGCGGGAGAGATTGGATAGAGAGGCGTGTACAAGGGCACCTGAGATGAATGCCTTGTGCGGGATGAGGCAGCCTTTCGGCTTACCTGTGCTTCCTGAAGTAAAAATAAGGTAGAGGAGGTTGTTAGGGGTAACGCCGGACTCGAGGATATGATCCTCGACCGGCAGGGAGGCGGCAAATTGCTCGTCTAAGACGATGGTTCGCACGCCCATTTCGTTTTCCCATGTTTCGGCCTGGCTTTTCGAGCTCAGTACCCACTTACCTTCGATCTGATCCATGATATCTTGCCTGCGGCTGACTGGGTTAGCTGGGTCAATAAACACAATAGCACCACCTGCTTTGATCACACCCAACAGGGCGGCGATGGCCCAGCGGCTCTTCTCAAAGCACAGGGGTACAATGGATTCCGGTCGGATGCCCTCTTCTCGGGCTAGCCAGACTGCGATGCGATCGGAAATATCGTCCAGCTCGCCATACGTGAAGCGGCCGTCCCAGGCGTCCACAGCGAGCATGTCCGGTTCCTCCTGCGCGCGCTGGCGGAAGAGGAAATGGACGCATGATTCGACCGTCTCCGGCAGCTGGACGCTATTCCAGGTCCAAAGCTTTGCCTTATCGTAGTTACTGACTAGATCGATGGCATCTAGGCGGTCGTGTCGCCGGTCGGGGTCATTGATCAAATTAAGAACGTGCGCAAAAGCAGCCGCGAGGTGATCGGCTCGTTCTTGGTCGATGGTAGATGGCGCAAAACGCACCACAAATTCGAGCTTGCCAAATGGCAGAGGAATAGCCACGAGCTCGATTAGTGCGCCCGTAGCATCCAGATGGCTGGGAGAGGAGGAGTTGAGATAGGTCTTGTTGGAGGTGAGGGTCGTAATCGATTGCAGGAATGGCGAGGTAGCGGCCTCATTTCGTGAGGGGGCCAAAGGGACCTGGTCGGAGGCCAGCTCCTTTGTCGCTTGGGGTGTTTGTTGGATGAAGTCGGAGATTGTTGTTGCGCCGTCGAGCTGTGCGTTGCATACTTGGTAGGTGGATTCAAGATCGTCGGCCTCTCCCGATGTAGTGGCGGTGATGAAGCGAGTGTCTTCCTGTCCGGTATACTGCCAGACCACGATGCTCCAGGCAGCGTTGATCAGAGCGGCAATCTCGGTGTCGGGGTTCTCGCGATGGGAGACGCCGACGTTCTCGACAAGGGTAGTAGAAGTGGCTTGAGTAAACATGGTGATAGAGATTATGGGTCTAGGCGTTAGGGCAAAAAGCGGTCGGTCGATTAACGATAGTAGGATTCAGGCAGCAACAATATGGCAGCAATAGAGTGAAAGATGTATGGAAAAATCTAAAGTTAGGATACTTGAAGCTACTCCGCCTCTGGGTTATATCGTAGCCTAGGGCTCTATACTCGACTCCAGCTGTATTCACACCACGTGGGGCTTAGCAGTAAGGCTTATTATCATTGTTTAATCAGGCTAGTCTCCGGCCCCCGCAGTGAAGGGACTGAGGCTGTGGCTTACTATTTGTTATGAATTCCGATGCCTATTTTTGAATTTCGATGCCTGTTTTCTTTGTTGGGGTTTAGACGCGCAAGAGTGGCTGTGGTAACACATCCCTGTCGCAGGATTGCTTACTATACAGTTTCAGACTATATAGTAAGCAGTTACGGCCCCAGCACCAGATCAACCTCTCACACTGTTTTCAGACTCCTCTGTCCACTGTTTCTTACTCTTAATTCTTACTTCTTACTTCTATTAAGCTTATCTGGTTGTCTTTTAGCTCACTTTTCTTCCTTCCTGCTCTCTTTCTCCCCCCATCTCCACAACGAATTTTCTTTTCCCTTCTCATATCCACAGACCCCATTGCCCACCATGACGAACTGCACTACCGATTGGAGCAATGTCACGCTCGCTACTTTCAACCAGACTCTACTCAATGATACCTCATTGTGTACGAAATGCACCTGTCCTCTCGTCCTGGACGGCGAGCAGCTGTCATGGGTGCGATACTACCCGAATCTGGCGGGCAACGTCCTCTACGCAGTCCTCTTCGGCCTCTTTCTCGTGCTGCAGCTCTTCTTCGGCATCTCGCGCAAGACCCGGGGATACATGATTGGCATGACACTTGGTTTGATTCTTGAAGTCTTGGGCTACGTCGGACGGATTCTCCTCCGCTACTCGATGTTCGAATTCTCATGGTTCCTGATGTGAGTTTCCCTCTAAAATAAAACCTAAGGTGTGAAAATTAACAACCATGACAGGTATCTCGTTCCTCTCACCATCGCCCCGGCCTTCATCTCCGCAGCCATCTATCTGACCCTATCGCGGATCATCACGATCTATGGCGCCGAGCACGCTCGCTTCCGCCCCCAGGTCTACACCTACATCTTCATCACCTTCGACATCATCGCCCTTCTTCTGCAAGCCGTGGGCGGCGCCGTCGCCTCCGTCGCTGACGCCTACTCATCCATGCAGGACCAGGGTGTGCACGTCATGGTCGGCGGCCTTGCGTGGCAGGTGGTGTCGCTGTTCATCTTCTCGTGCCTGGGTCTGGACTTCTATCTGCGCGTGAGCCGGGCTAGCCGCAAAGGAGTCCCTCTCAACCCGGCGTTCGATTCGCTGCGCGCACAGCGGTCCTTCGAGCCGTGGTTCATTGTTTCCCTGTCTCTGGCCGTCTTGTTTATCTTTGTGCGGAGCGTGTTCCGGTGTGCTGAGCTACAGGGTGGATTTGGCGGCAAGTTGGCCAATGAGGAGATTACGTTCATGGTGCTGGAGGGAGCGATGATGGTGCTGGCTTGTGGGTTGTTGACTTTGTTCCACCCCGGGTTGATTTTGGGGGCTAGGGAGTGGGCGTTGGCTAAGTGGAGTCGCGGCGGTAAGGGTGTCTAGATTAGATTCATTTTCTTTGGAGAATGAGGCTGAGTGCAGGGGATTGAGGGGTGATGTGACTGGGGTGATGTGACTGGGGTGATGTGTATGAGGTGGTTACGTGGAAGAGTTTGTTTGCTTGCTTGCTTTCTTTCCTTACGGGTATTAGGCTTAGGCTTGGCTGGTCTTGGCTTCGGGTTCTTTGTTTTTTGCTCTTCAGCCTTGCGGGTTGTTTGTGGGCAGGGGATGAGTGAATGACAGCTCAGACGCGAGTGTTATCAAGGGCTAGACCCGCTCATCGGAAGAGATACCTTTTTATTTTGCCTGTATTCACTAATAGACTGGACATTTCATGGAAAATTGCTTTGAGACATATTCTGATAATGAGATAAGAAATGATTAACATCTCTTGGACGAACTGCTTCGGATAATTAGAGGTCGATCACGTATCGGAGAGTAGAAATTCAACGGAATGAAAGTGTTAGGTAAGATAGCTTGGGGACGGGATCTCCTGTCAGCAATCTGACACCAGCTAATGCACGGTCCAAGCCGCTCCGGGCATAAAAGAACGTCGATCAACGCATCTATACGAGTTGTTGGCAATCAATCGACCTAGCTTCCAAGGTATCCAAGCCCTTAGCAAAGGCTCGGACCTTCTCTGAGGCTCTTTTCCAACATGTTTGCCCAGCACGCCTGCTTCGCCCGCTTGAAAGAGCGCTGAAATTAGATTTTCTTCCGTTCTGTGTGGGAATACGAATGACAAGACCGCCCCCATGTTACAAGTAGTCCAATCCCCGCAGCAGACGGGTGATTTCCATATCTTAACGGATGCTAACGTGTGGGCGGGTGGTACCGTTGGCCCGTAAATTTTTGGGGGTGGTAAGGCTGACCGTCGGGTGTTGATTGACTTGGAGGCTGAGGCGCCTCCTTTGTTCCGCCCGACGGAATGTTGATCTTCGAACGTGGTCAACACATTAACTTCTCTGGATATGTTGCTGCTTAACTATTATTATTGCTTTGTTTAATGGCGTCAGTATGTAGTACTTGGAATTTAGATGAATAGAGGCAGTCCTTGTCACTAAATTTATTAGAAGTACTGCTTTGCTGTGAGTTGTTGATGCCTGGGGTAGTTATTAGGGCAACGCGTACAATATATATATTCTCCGTCACACTGTCGCCTTCAACATTCCCCCATACAACGGCGAACTTTCAGTCCCAGAATTATCAGTAGTCTCAGACTTGAACATAGCAATAACACGAGAACTGAATTGGCTGACCTTACATAATTACTCTAGATCAAGCAAACAACTTTGCTGTGCGGAGAGCGAGATAATGTGAGGGTCCGTGCACTTGTACTAGGCGGTGTAAACTATTAGTCGTATACTATTATTAACTAACGTTCACTAGTTAATCTTGGAAGTGACAAGTAACCGCCAATCAGAATTGAACTTCATTGTTGGAACCAAGCCAGCCGCAGTTGGGTATTTGTAGTCTAATCAATCAGATCTGCCGCTAGAAATCAAACCGGAGGACGCCTTCGCCAATTGACCCCAAAGATGACACCAAGACAAGTGATGTGTACAAAGAACACAAAAGAAAGGAAAAGAAATATAGACATATGGAATCATAGCGATCAGTGGGGAACTTGGCGGTCGGCCGGTTCCTGTCACAGCCCAGGAATTCGGCCCCTTCTTGAGGTAACCAACCAAGCCCCTCTGCAATAATTGGTTCGGGTTTTGTGTTTTCGTTCGGATTTTAATGCACGCGTCCATGTAGATACGTCATAGCCCCGCGTCGGCACCATGTTCAATGAGCAGTTTCATCATGTCTGTCCTTCCAGTGATGACAGCTCGTTGGAGCGGCGTGTAGCCCGCCCGGTCACGGACATTCACCGAGATGGGGTAGGTCATGAGCAACAATTGAAGAGTGTCAATTGTGCCGCGCGAAATGGCGATGTGGATCAAGGGTTCGTCCGCCTCGGGATCACGGCTGGACAAGGAACACCCTGAGGCGATCCGTTGATGTGTGTCGGAGATGGTGCTCGGCACGGAGCGCAGCATGGGGTCGACGTTGGGCGGCGACGGCGGAAAAGGATAGTAGACATCAGACTCCAGCCATCGCATCGCGTTCTGGGCGCTCGCTGTTGCGGCCATCGCCGAAGGTGACACGGAGGTCGGCATGCTCGTGACAGCCGCTGTAACGTCTTTCGTTTTATCGAAGCAGTTGCTGAAGTCGTGGTCCAGGTCCGTCGGCCAGCTCAGTCCATTGCCTAGCATCTCCTGGTCTGGGGATGGGAAATATGTGCTCGGAGCTTCGCGGGGTCCAGGAGAGACACTGCTAGTACTGACTTGCGACGAGGCTCGCGTGGGACGGTCGTCCACGTCGCTGGTACTCGCGCTCGCGCTGATGCTGCCGCTGTTGCTGTCGTTGGGGGTGGAGCTGTTGCTGTTGATGGCTTCTTGAAGGTTTTTGACTTGACTTTTGAGGAGCTCGACCTCTTTGGTGCGGTCGCGCATGTTTCGGCCTTGTAGACAGCGTCAGCGATGCTATTCGCGAACCACGAGTAGAGGATGTACTCACGGTATGCCCGTTGTGCTAGACGGTTCTGAATTCTCCTCCGCTCTGCGGCATCCGGGAGATCCTCCCAGCTCTCGCCTGGCTTCATCAAGTCGGTGTATGAATTATGTTTGGGACGTCCAGACGGCCGTCGAGTGTCAACGACGACGGGCAAAGTAGTAGTCCCGTTTGACCCTACCAGAGGGTGTTGCTGTTGCTGTTGCTGCTGCTGTATTTGATTCATTTTTTCCTCCTAGTTGTCTATCCAGACCTGATATGAATGAAAGAATTGGATGTAGATATACATACTGAAGAGAGGTACAGACGGTAGGTACCCGGCCCACTTTTAAACTTTGTCCTGCCCCGGAATCCCAGACCACATGGCGATTTTCAAAACTAGCCAAGACGGGCGGCGGCATGGCACGCCTCCAAGTCACCCCGGCAAGGCTGGCTTGTGGTTGGGGGCTTCAGTCTGGTAGGACCACGTTACGGAAAAAGCCCTGCACTGATCCCACCCTCACTCGCTTGCGTGCGAGACAAACCGTCGTGTCACAGCCCCCTCCCCTTTATTTTACCATTTTTCATTACCGAACCACTTGTCCCCCGCACTTCCTCCACCCAAAGTCAACGGCAGGAAATCCGTATTACCACTCTAAATCTGACACGAAGTTTCACCGTGGCTTGAGTTAGGAGGACCAAGCAAACCGGGATCTTCGTCAGCAATGCAATATCGCAGTTCGAAACAGGTGTTAGTTCAAACCTTGCAACGCTAACCCATGATTGATGCGATCTAAGCCATGTTCTACCGTCGTCTGGTTTGTTTCAGAATAGGTTTTCGCCCCAAAAAGGTTGGAAATCCTTTGGGTGGGATGGAACATATCAATAACGTTTTTGGGGCGATAAGTGCGATGACAACATTTACTACTACTCTGATTACTACTCAAATGACGATACTTCCCCGGGCATAATCCAAGCATCCTATGGTGATGGGTTGCGTTCCTGATCTTTGTTAGTATTACTATTAGAGTCGTTCCTCAGATCTTCTTTGCTTATTGTGTGAGACGTTCCACCCACGTGGCTTCCTTCTCTTGTCGCATATGTGCAGGGATCAGACAACGTGGCTGTGGAATACGGGGATCGTATTGGGTGTCGTGTTGCATCTTGGATGGATTTGCTTCAGCTGGAAAGGAAAGTCTATACACACAGTTGGATGGCTGGGCAAGTTTGGGGGCCACGATGTTTGATGGGCAATTAGAGTGGTTGGTGCTTCAGCTGGGAATGATGCCATGAAGGACGCGTGATGCGTAAACACTACCGTACTGACATCTTCTTGAACATGGTTTCACTGGAGACCAGCAGAATGTAAAGGAAGGGGATAGACTACATCTTGTGATATCATACTGACGGCTTAGACCTGCATACTTCCCTGCGTACTAAATACAAGATAAGAAGAAAAAAGCAATAGCAACATGGTGTACAGAACTGCTGAACCCCGCACCCTGTATTCTCTTCACAAAAGCAAAAAAGGTGTTCCTTTCCCTTGTAACCCATCGCCATGTGGCGCCATGTGCCTAGAGCATGCATTCTCCGATGAACGCCATCGCAGACCCAATCACCTCCTCCACACGGTCTGCAGGCCAGATTTCTTCATCCTTCGGGTGGATCTCGGTCTTCATGCTAGTACTCCCAATCTTACTTCCCGTTCGCACAAGCGAATCCTCCTCTTTCTCCTTCTCAACACCGCTAGCAAAGATACCCCAATTAGAATGACTAAAGTCATCACACTTCTCCTCATCATCATAATCACCACCAATTAACAACCCCGCCCGCTTGAACACCTCCACAGGAGGCACCGTCACTCGTCCAGCCTTAACCACATACCGACTCACCAGCACAGCCAACACCCCCTTGCGAAGCTTCTCATCCCTTAGCACCGCTGCGGGCCCTCCACCAAGTAGATCCACCTCCATCATGCCCCTGTACTCATCTCCCCGCAAGAAATACGTAACCGTCCACAACGACCGCTGATCCCACGCCAGGATCCGAGATGTAACGCGATACCGCTGAAAGGGGCGGATCTCGCGCAAGAACCGCGCCTGCACGGCAGCCAGCATGGGCATTCCGCCGGTTGCTGCCAAGGCTGGCCCCAGGAGACGACTGAGGAGGCGGGCGCGGCTGAGGTCCGCATCTGTGAAGAAAGTGCTGTTGCTTTTGTGTAGGTTCAGGTCGATTTCCGGCAGGGGGCAGTGGGTTTGAGTTGTGTGGGGGCGGAAAAGGCTGGGTAGGGCTGGATAGAAGAGCTTTGGGTTGCTGATTGGTTGCGGGGATACGAGCTCTTTGGGTCGTGGAGCGTTGCGCGAGAGGCGGGGTTGCAGGATTCGGTAGAGGGATGGGAGGAGTTGGAGAGAGTATGTGAGTGGGAGGGATTTGGCGTTGGTTAGGAGGAGGAGGACGGGGACTGCAAAGAGGAAGAGAAGCATGGTGATTGCGTAGAGTTGCTCGTGTGGCTGGACTTGCGATGGGCCGGGATGGTATGAGGTAACATGAATGAATGAATTTAGAGACTGAGTTTGGAGGGATGAATATGTAGGTTGGACTGGTTAAGTTGTGAAAATTCTAGAGAGTTGACTACTGGGGTGATTACTACGCTGGTGGTAGTCAGCGAGTTAGTAGGCGTTCTCAGGGCTTATTCACGATTTCTGACGGGAACTGTTTACTGGGTGGTGAGTAAGAACTAAGAAGTGGGAATGATGAAGGACGAAGGCGGACGATGTGAAAGATGCTAATTTTGGATTATAATCTGCAGCTAGTGGTAAGCGATGAAACAATGCAAGACAAACACGAACCAACACTGGATGCTTATCGGGAAAAACGCCATGTGCTTGGAACTCTCTGATCATGTCGATCCCCCGTGGAGACGGTTTGGTCGATGTTGGTGTTTCATCGTCTGCCCATCTGGTAAATTATAAACAGCTTACTGTCGATCTCTATATCCAAGCCATGTTCAACCAACATCTTGTTGTTTATAATTAACTTTACATAATCTTTACTAACAATTTCTATGTCTAACCCTTAATCTGATACACTCAAAATCCCGTCACCTCGAAACACCAGTCCTCACTGTCTGGCTGCTGTCCCTTCTGGATGCCGCGCATGATGCGGGCGAGATCAAGCAGCTTTCCCTCCCCGGTCGCCTTGAAGGCATACTTTTCGCCTGTTGACAGTCGATCGATGGAAGCAACCGGTACCGCGGCGGCGGCAGTGCCAACGGCAATGACTTCATCCAACTCGCCCAGTGAGGAGAATGGGAGCTGATGTGAGATCTGTCAGCCCACCGGATCCACAGAGAAAAGAAAAAAAAAAAAAAAAAAAAAAAAAATTAAACTCAAGACAAACTTGAAGAAACTTACAGGCGCCTTGTCCACCTTCCAGCCCTCTCTCTTGGCAAGGAACTCGAGACTCGAGCCGGTGACGCTCTCGATCGCGTTCTCTGACTCCGGCACGACCAGCACATCCTGCCCATCCACGACCTTGTGACCCAGGAATCCACTCGTGGCAAATTCCTCCACGAGGGAATGGGTCTCACTGTCGAGGTGTAGCGTGATATGATAACCCATCTTCATCGCCTTCCCCGCATGGCGCCACACCGGGGCGTAATTCCCTCCGACCTTAAACCGACCCATCCCCCTGGGCGCCGCCCGATCAAACTCTTCGCATACCAAGCCCTTGATCCCCTGCATCCCATGGTACGCCCGCGCCGGGTGGCAGTAGACCGCGAAAATGGTCTCCTCACACGGACCCAAGGGTAAGCCATCCGACGCGCCGAACAAGACTGGCCGGATGTACAAGAACCCCTCCGCGTCGACGGGGGGTACATACTCAGCGTTGGCAGCCACCGCGAGGCGGATGCACTCGAGAAAGAGATGCTCCGGGACCTGTGGCAGACAGACAGCGGCAGCAGAGCGGGCCATGCGCGCGGCGTGGAAGGTGGGTCGGAAGACAGCGATAGACTCTTCTTCCTGCAGGGAGTCACGACGGCGGTGGCGGCGGCGCACAGCCTTCAGTCCCTCGTAGCATTGTTGGCCGTAGTTGAGGCCCGGGCAAAGGCCGGAGATGGAGATCTGGTTTCCTGTCACCAGTGACGGGGAGGTCCAGGATTGGGTGGATTGGTGGAAGCGGAGCTCAACGTGGCCGTTGACAGGAAGATGTTTAGTCATGTCCAAGTTGGCCCAGTCTAAGATGTTTGTCATTAGTCTAGGGATTTTGATTGCGTGCATATTGGAGGCTGTGGTTGGAGGAGGGGAATGTGGGGGATTCTCTTAGTGCTCACCAAGGCCCGCTTTGGGCGCGGGAGGGAATGGCGAAAGGGATCCCATTGTTTCTGGTTGGGTGTATTAAATTGGGAGGGTGTGAGATTGGTAAAGTTAATTTGGGAGAAGGATGATGATGAATATTGGATCCTGTTTCCCGTTCTTCTTTTCTTATATATTTAAGATCCTTTAGAAACGTCTTAGTCGGGTAGAAGTCATCAATCTTGGGGGATGTAGGATGATGTTGGGTTACTGTGGCCGTAGTAAGCAAGCACCCAGTAAAGCTGCCGGTGGCTGTGGGTACAAGCAGTCAAATCCTTCATCAAGGTTTCATGATGATTGCACGTGTCTAGTAAGCTAATGAATCGGGGTGCAGATGTATTACTTCGTGTTCTGGAATTAGTGGTTGAACGTTCGCGATCCTTCTCAGCAAACATATTAACCATAACACTGCCCCAGCCCAGCTTTTGGGTACTCTACCGTGCAATAGCCTGACTAAGAGCTAGTCCTTTTAGTAACTAGTAAACTATAATCCAATTTCGTCAAAATCAGCAGTCCTGTGTTTCAGGTTCAGTGATCCAGAACAGTGAGCGCATGATTCTAGAGGATTACTGCAGAAGGTTAGGCTCATCGCCACCCACTCTATCTTACGCTTATTTCTTACTTTCCGAGTCTCACCACCACGTTTTTTGCATAGTTTATTTCCCGGCATATAATGCTTACTACGCACTAAACGCACTGCATAGTAAGTTGAACCCCTTCCAGAACGTCACGAGATGTTTCCAGTGCGTAGGCTCCCACCCACAGCCTCTGTGGCAAGCAAGCAAATTGCGAAACAATCGAAGCTAGATCATGTAGGAAAAGACCTGTATCTCTCCACTTCATGCACATAGAATTTTCTACAGGGGTAGCTCAACACCATGGGCGCTCAAGCATCCAAATGTCGGTTCGACGTCGAGACGGGGTTTGGCCCCGCCGCCGACTGCTACGACGGCTTCGACTTTACTTTGCTGTTCGAGGAGTCTATCCTCACTCTTGTGCCTGCGGGCGTCACATTGTTTCTGCTGCCATTGTTTCTGTTGCGGTTGCGTAAAGAAGAGAGAAAGGTGGTGGAGTCGTGGCTTCATGTGGTTAAACTGGTACGTGAATCATCCCCTACCATTAAGAAATGACAATGGGAATAATAACATCGTGTATCATGACAACTAGGCTGGCTGGTTTGCCCTATCCACAGTGACTCTCGTGCTGGTAGCCCTAACCGCTAGCAAGGGTCCCACGACACGGACCTCAATCGCAGCGAATGTTATTGTTTTATTACTGGATATTGGACTCGCGTTTCTCTCGCATTGGCAACATGTTCGCAGTGTACGGCCATCAGGGCTGCTGGTGCAGTACCTGGCTCTGACACTTGTATTCGATATCGCGCGTTGTCGCACGCTTTGGGGGGTGCAATCGGCTGACAAGCTGGCCATTGTGCTCAGCATCGCCATCGGGATTAAAGCCGTCCTGTTCGTCCTAGAGGCGGCTGAAAAGCGCGGCATCCTGCTACCCAAGTTTGTGACTCTGCCTTTCGAAGCTACCGCTGGCGAGTTGAATCTATGGTTCTCATGGTGGTTGAATCCGATTTTCCTGCGGGGTTTCAAGAAGCAGCTGTCTATGGACACATTGTTCGATGTCGACCCCAGCTTGAAAGCGAATGACAAAGAGGAGGGTGATATCTTGGCTGAAATGTGGAAGTACTGTAAGTGTTTCCTCTGTCCACACTGACTAGACCTATTCTGACCTCCTTCAAGGGAAATCCAAGCTCCGCAATCCTCCCCTGCTGGTAATTTGTCTCGTGCATGCCCGCGTGCCGCTGTTGAAGTCCATCCTGCCACGTCTCGCCCAGATCGCCTTCACCGTCGCCCAACCGTTCATCCTGCAACGCACGCTAAGTTACATTCAAAACGACGGGTACGAGAACAGATCGTCGGTCGGCACAGGGCTTATCGTCGTCTACGTGATCGTCTACATCGGTATCGCGGTGACGACTGCCCTAGCGCAGCACTGGACCTTCCGGATGATTACGCGTATGCGCGCAGGGCTAGTCGACCTGATCTACCGACACACGCTGGAAATGATTCCTACAGCGCTTGATGGCGCCGACGCAGTGACGCTCATGAGCACTGACGTGGAGCGCATTACCAGCGGGCTTCGCACGTTCCCAGAGCTCTGGGCCAGCCTTATCCAGATGGGCATTGCCATCTGGCTTCTGGCGGGCATGCTTAACCTGGCTGTGCTCGGCGCCTCCGCCGTCGCCGTCGTCTCCACTGGCCTGGCCATCTGGGTGGCCACCGGCGCGGGTATCGCCCAGAAGGCCTGGCTGGACCAGATTCAGTCGCGCGTCGCCGCGACAGCCAGTATGCTGGGAGTGATGAAGGCGGTCAAAATGACAGGGCTGACGCAGGTGCTGGGCGACAAGATTCGGCAGCTGCGCGAGGAGGAAGTCAAAGCCTCATCTACGTTCCGGTTGATCTTGGTGAAGCTCGTCACCCTATCTAATGTTTCCGAGGCCATGAACCCGGTTGCCGCGTTTGGATTATATATCCTCTTACAGCGGTTCCAAGGCTACGCGATCATGGATACGGAGCTGGTGTTGACTTCCTTAGTGCTCCTGCAGTTGTTGCTCGTGCCGCTGGCGATGCTGATTGACAGTCTCGCTGGATTCGTGGGCGCACTGGGATGTTTTCGCCGCATCCAGGATTATCTGGGCCAGGAGACCAAGGTCGACGGGGAGAGTGCTCGGGCTGCTACTGGCGGGTCTAGTAGCAGTAGTGAGGTGGAGAGTCTTGCGCGTCGGGACAGACGGCGAACGATTCCTAGCTTGGTCTTGCCGACTATCGAGGTGGCCGAGTTTCGGTTTAGTTGGCTTTTGGCTGATTATTCTGGGGAACAGGGACGAGCATCCAGGTTTTTGGGGGAGGAAAGAGGCGTTGGTGGAGGAGGGAATGGGCCGGGCAATGCGGGTCGTGTCGTTTCAGGTGTTGGTTCGATGAGATCCGCGCGGAGTCGACGCCGACGCATTGTCCCTGCGCCGGTGATTGAGTTTAAGAAGGTATCCGCCGGGTGGAAGGACGGGATGGTCGTACTTCAGGACATGTCATTCAAGGTGCCCCGAGGTCAACTAACGATGATTGTTGGGTCCGTGGGATCCGGCAAGTCGACGCTGTTGTATACCCTCTTGCGCGAAACCAAGGTTTATGCAGGCTCGATCATCGGCTCTCTGGACGAAGCGGCGTTCTGTTCTCAGTCACCCTGGGTGATCAATACCACGGTCCAGCAGAACATCACGGGCGACTTCGCGTTGGATCCCCGGTGGTATGCGACTGTGGTGCAAGCGTGCGCGTTGACCTTGGACTTGGCGCAGCTTCCCCAGGGAGACCAAACCATTGTGGGGAGTTCGGGCATCGGCCTAAGTGGTGGCCAGCAGGTGCGCATCTCCCTCGCCCGTGCCATCTATTCGCGTAAGCGTACGATTGTGCTTGACGATATCCTGAGCGGCCTGGACGCCACCACGGCGAAGTACATCTTCTCCTCGCTCTTCGGACGTCATGGACTTCTCGCTCGGCACGGGGTCACGGTCATCCTCGCCAGCCATGCCGTCCACTTCCTCCCCGAAGCCGACTACATCCTCGCCTTGGGGCCCAAGGGCACCATCGTCGAGCAAGGCACCTTCACCGATCTGGCCAGACGCTCCCACGGTGGGTATATCCGTGGCCTGGAAGTCCGCGAGCGTCAAGCAGCCCACCACAAGCCCCAAGAAAGCAGCGTCACCCTCGAAACCATCCCCGACAACGAATCCCAAGCTGTGCTCCCAACCATGGACTCAACTGAAATCCCCGCCCGCGATTGGTCAGTGTATGCCTACTACGTGCAGTGTTTCGGCTGGCCACGTATGGCCTTCTTCATCTTCATCAGTGCGATATTCGGGTTTGTGATCGTCTTCTCGCAAGTATGGGCCGAATGGTGGGGAAACCACAATACCCAGCACCCCAACGACAAGGCCGGATATTACTGGGGCATCTACTTTGTACTCGGCCTCATGGCCACTCTCTCCCTCGTCACCGGGTGTACCTTCTTCGTCATGGCCCTGGCGCCACGCGTGGCCCGGACCATCCACACGAGACTTCTTCAGACGGTCCTACAAGCCCCGATGGCCCTCTTCTACACGACGGACAAAGGCTCCCTAACGAATCGCTTCAGCCAGGACCTCGAACTCATCGACCTCGAACTGCCCGTCTCGGTAGTGCAAACAACCATGATCCTCTGCATCATCCTCGCCCAAACCATACTCATGGCCGTCACTTCCAAGTATTTAGGAGCCGCTCTACCCTTCATCTTGGCCACCGTGGCCGCCCTCCAGGTCTTCTACCTTCGCACCTCGCGCATCCTCCGTCTCCTCGACGTCGAGGCCAAAGCCCCGCTGTTCTCCCACTTCCTGGAAACCCTGTCCGGGCTCGTCACCATTCGAGCCTACGGCTGGCAGGATTCGTATACGCGGCGGAATTTGCATAAGATCAATGAATCGCAGAAACCGTTTTATGCGTTGCTGTCGGTGCAACAGTGGCTCGGGTTGATGCTGGATCTTGTGGCGGCGGGGATTGCGGTAGTACTTGCCACGATCGCAGTCATGACGAAAGGGTCGACAGATTCCGGGTTGATCGGGCTGGCACTGATCAATATCGTGGGGTTTGGTAGTGCCATTAAGAAGCTCATTGTGTTCTGGGCGCAGTTGGAGACGAGTGTTGGTGCGGTGAGTCGCGTGAGGTCCTTTGTTGGCCGGGTGGGGAGCGAGCATAAAGATGGTGAAAGGAATGAAGGGAGTGTTGGGCCGAACTGGCCTGAAAGGGGGGAGTTGGTGTTTGATGCGGTAGTTGCCTCATATTCTTCTTCTGGTGATGGCGAGGATGGGGAAGGGGAGGGTGCGGGCGAAGTGGAGCCGGTGTTGAAGGGAATTTCGCTGCGGATTGAACCGGGTCAGCGAGTTGGAGTTTGTGGACGAAGTGGCAGTGGAAAGAGTAGTCTCGTTGCTACGCTATTCCGAATGCTGGAAATGGACGCTGGTCGGATTCTGGTCGATGGGGTGGATTTGGCATCGGTCAGTCGCGATCTCGTGCGGGAGAGGATTATTGCTCTCCCTCAGGATGCGTGTCTCTTGCCTGGGTCGGTGAGGTTCAATCTGGACCCGAGGGAGGAGAGGGGCGAGGAAGAAATCGTGGATGTTTTGCGTGAGGTAGGACTTTGGGAGGTGCTTTTGGAGATGGTTGAGGCGGAGGAGAAGAAGGATGAGGTTCAGGAGAAGATTGCTGCACCTGGTGATACTCCCCCTCCTGTTCCTATCAAAAACAGCGATGTCCTCAACGCCCCCATGCCCACTACTGCTATCTCCCACGGCCAACGCCAGCTCATCTGTCTCGCCCGTGCTGCCCTCCGGCGCTCGACCATCCTCGTCCTCGATGAACCCACCGCCGCCGTGGACGTCGAAACCGATGCCATGATGCAGCGGATCATTCGGTCGCGCTTCGCCAGCCATACCATTATTACCGTCGCGCATCGACTAGACACGATCATGGACTTTGACCGTATCGCCGTGATTGATGCAGGCCGGTTGGCCGAGTGGGGCACTCCCAAGCAGTTGGTGACCGGAGACACCTTGTTTCGGAGGCTGTATCGGGATATGCATGGGGAGGAGGATGAGGATGAGGCTTGTCCCGCCTATGAAGATCACTACGATCACAACGAGGTGGATGAGGAAGATGGCGACTACAGCTCTGCGATGGAGACAAGTCCTTCGGCGGAGAGTCAGGCGGGGACGGTGGTTGTCGATGAGCAGCAGAATACTTGGATTTGATCGTTGTACTCGTGTTTGCCAGTTAGTTAGAGCGTGGTTATGATTCTTGTAATCCTATTAGAGTAGTGTATATTTTTATAGCGAATTTCGTTTTCATTATGGCTATATAGACACCCAAGACTTCAGTTGTATAGTATGGGCGCATTCTACCTAAGCTCTCCATGTCTGTACGCAGACACCGCATAGTTAAACTGTCGACACTCTTACATCTGGACCAAAGACAATATACAACGTCTGCCCAGCCCCGCAACGAGGAGATATGTGTCCCAACAGAATACATGATAGTGCGCCTACAATACACTCTAGTCAAAAGAGATAATTTTCTCCTTCTTTATCGTGATGCAATGCTCAGTTCGGAGGGAGTCTGTCCCCAACTAATTCTGCGATCAAACTTCCCCTCAAGTCACAAGAAGCCTATGACTGAGAGTACAGAGATCGAGTTGCCAAGTCACGCTCGATAGAATGAGACTGGTTATTCCCATTGCAACGTATCGAAGTTTATCGCCCCCAAACTGCCTTGTCTAAAAATTCCCCGTCTGAAACGTTCCTACCCAGCAGCACAGCCTCTAACATTGGGGGCCGAAGTCTCTGTCATGCACCAAGAATAAGAGTATAGTCAGGAAGTAGTCATTACCATCATCATCACACTAAGGTTTATCATAAGCTCATAATATACTTCATGAATCAGCAAAGTAGTAATCAAAAAAGTAAACATCAATGCTTACCCCACCCCCTGTCGATCTTTGGTTCCAGGATCTCGTCCACGTGGATGCCACGCGAGATGGGTTCAACCTTGGGGATCTGATTACTATTGCTTACTAGAAATCTTAAGTTCTCGATCTAAGGAGTAAATTGTCGTTAGGGGGTTACGAGGATAGCATAGTCAGTTGTTTCATGTTGATTGCATGGAACTTCTAGAAGTTTCTGGGCTGATTTGGGGTGTAGCATTGGGAACTGAGGATTAGTGCTTTTCTCTAGATGTTAGAATTAGTTGTGCAGCAGTGACTAGATTGTGTTCACATATGGAATAGCTTCTTGGAATGATGACGTGTAGAACGTGGTGCGGCTCCAGCAGGTGACGGAGTCTACGTAGTAATATAATCTGAATCCAGAATGTGCACGCAGTCTTGGCTGCTCAGAGGGTTCCGACTTGGTACAATGTTGGGTCTTCAATTCAAGTTTATAGAAGTAAAAAAAGAACTATATTCAAGGTATAATGTATGATCACAGGTAGTATAGACAGGTATAATCAAGGACACATTAAAGAACTCCGCGAATCTCCGAACGCACAAAAGACACTCCTTCCGGCTTGGGTTAAGCCAAGACCACTTCCCTCATTTTGAAGTAGGATTACAGACCCTCATTGCTAAACAAAAAAAGAGAAAAGAAAAACAAGGAAGTAAGGTAGGATCAACTAGCCAGAAATTTCGCGTCTGGAAAACCGCAGCCATGGGCCATCCTTCTGACCCGTGATATGCTCGCGCAACTGGTATTCGTTCTCTCGGTGTCGCCCGTACACCGCCCCCGGCACTCCCCTGCCGACCTTGCTCATGGGGCCCTCGGCGAACTCGAAATCGCTCAAGTACAACACAGTGGCTACCGTGGTCATGAGCTCGTGGTAGGCCAAGCTGCGACCAAGACAGCCGCGCATACCCAGCGAGAAGGGGTTGAAGACAAGTCTCGCCCGCTTGATGCTGCCAGTTCCATCATCCTCGAGCCACCGCTCGGGCCGGTAGGTGAATGGATCCACGTAGTAGCGCTCATCGTGGTGGATGGCATACAGTGGCACCGCAACCGTCACACCTCCCGGAATATGAATGTCGCCGACAGTCAACCCACCCGGCAGAACTTCTCTCGTCAAGGCGGCCCCGTTGGGCGGACTCATGCGTAAGGCTTCATCAATACACGCCCGGAGATAGGTACATTGTGAGAGTTCCGGGCCTGAGAGAGCCTCCTCAGACCCCAGTGACTTGCCCGCGAACACAGTGCGTACCTCCTGCGCTGCCTTTTCATATGCAAAGCGGTTGTCCGCCAAGTAGAACAACGTCGCCGCGATCGCCGTCGAGGTGGTGTCGGACCCGGCCACCACCAGCGTTGTGCTCTCGCTGACCATCTCTGACGGCTTGAATCCCTCGCCCGTGTCCGGGTCCTTGGCTGTAGCCAACGCGCTGTAGATATCATCGCGGGGCTTGCAGGGGTCCAAGGCGTCGGGCGCCCACTTACCCAAGGCGCGATTAGCGCGTTCGCGGACAGCGCGCACAACGAACCGGAGGAAGCGGTTGCGGGCAATGAGGGCATCGCGGAAGAAGATGCCGTCGACGGCGCGCCACGCGGCGAGAATAGGCATGTACGCGAGCACAGACATCCGTACGTTCGACTTGTCGATGACCTCAGGCATGTAGCGGAACTTCTCGCGGCCGAGCAAGTTGTAACTTGCGCTGAACACAAGGTCGGACATCAGGTCGAAGGTGAGGTAGCCGCACCACTCGGCCATGTTCATCGGCTCCCCCAGCTCGCCCTGACGTGCCGGGAGCACGGCCTCGCAGAACTTGCGTACATGCACCGCAATGCGCGGGTCCATTCCACGCTGTGCCTTTTCGGATAGCGCAGTTGAGACAATGCGTCGCCGCCGGAGGTGTTCGTGTCCTCCGCGCAAGCTGAACGTGCTCCCTACGCTGCCGGCTTGGAGGACTTCGTAGTGTGGGCTTTTCACGACCGAGGCGTATGCTTTCGTCGAGTAGATGGCGTGCAGCGCATCTGCGTTGCGAATGAAGACCGAGTTGGGCATGTAGCGTACGAAGTCGCCGTGTTTCTCGTGCAGCCGCCACATGTCAAGGTGGGCGTCGCCTTTCCAGGAGTGATAAGCGCCGTAGCCATGGGTGAGGCTAGCGAAAATTGGGCCAGGGAATTTGGCCAATGGGTGGAGGAAGAGGAGGTAAATGACTCTTCCAAGGATCTGCTGGGGTGTTAATGATGGACTTGAAAGAGGGTAATAAACTGGGCCAAGAGGGAGATCATGCTCGTACCAGGAGTGTTGCGCCGCCTGCGGCTGCAAGTAGGATGGTTTGAACCGACATGGCTTGTTTTTTAGTATGAAGGCAGTCAGGTTTGAGATGAAAAGAGTGGTGAATGACTGTGAAGCCGGCGGATTTCAGTTTCAGAGCTGGGCTTTTTCAAATGCCATGCATTTCCCACGTGGGAGTACAGTGCCCCTGCATAAGGATCAGCCAGGACACTGCCTTATAAGGAACCAGTTCGCGCAGTATCAGGTTGCTTACGATCAATTAGTCTGGTGTTTGGGAGAAGTTGGTGTCAGAGGTGGTGTAGTAATAGAATAGTAAGCATATCCGAGACACGAGATGAGATGATGAGATGGCTGCGCATCAAGATGTCTGTTTCAGTCAGGACCTAAACTCCGGTTCAGAGTCAGTGGAACATTGTGGTCTGACCGTTCGTCCATGTGGTTTCTGAAACTTGATCCTCGAGGCTTCCTTTGCGTTCCTGGTTGATCGTATTGTCCCCACTCTGCGTACCCAACACTCAGCCTGTCCGCGTACCTCATCGCTGTTGGTTCCGAAGGCTTAGGTCTATCACATGATGGTTCACCTCTACAGTAAGTCGCTGTTGCTCAGTATCAGCTACTCATAATCAGCTGATGTATGCGGATCTGCCTGTCGTTCCCTAGCAGAATATGTCGTGGGCCGAGGGCATCCAGGTGTACCTGTCTGAGCGGCAAGCTCCTTCAGGATAGACCCGCGGGCTGTGTATTTCCGAGTAATTCCTTTTAATAGAATAATGCTGGAGTTGACTGTAACTTCGGTGTCACAGATCTGGTCCTGCTTCAAGCCATCTGTTCATTGTTGGCCCGACTGGGCGGTATGAAGCACTCCGTATCCGTGACATTATCGAAGGGATGTTTACCGCCCAGACTTGATTTTCTTGGCTGCAGGAAACTACCACAGACAGAAAGCGAATTTGAAGTGTCCTTTCCTTAGATCTAATTTTAGCTTTGAAGAAAAATTATAAAGATTAGTGCAAAAAGAAAAAAGAACAAAAACATACAACAGAAGGGATTCGCTGGTGGTCACCCACCCAACTACTAACCTCCCGGCGTGTGGCTTAAGTACGGCTGAGCGGACGGGAAGCCCTGTTTTCCACACCCTGTGGTCGTATGTACCGGACACTACTCAGAAGAAAATTATATAGTACTGTACATAATTACAGAAGGATTTCGTTTTTGTCCCAATTCAGAGTTGACATGCTAATGATGTGCATTGTAGCTCTTGATTTTTTGCTTATTTGAGGATCTTTTGTGGTTTCATGATTTGAATGTAGATCTAAAAGCATCAAGGCTCCCAATAGAGTACTATCAGACACCGACGCACAACCACAGGGGATATTTCTTTTGGTTTGTATGATTTCCGTAGCAGTCGATACTATGCCGTGTGACTACGTGTCACTATATAATAGAGGATGAAGTTCATTGGAACTTATAAAATTAAATAACTCTCACTGATTAATATGGTAAGCAACAGCAATCTTTTCATATGTAAAATGTACTACATGTGGTCCCATCTTATACGACGACCTGTGTATATCGCACATCAGGAAATCGCTAGGCGAACAACCAGAGATGGTTCCCACGACGATCACCCTAATCATTTCATATCCCACTTAGAACAGAGGTCGGTTCAAATATGCATCGTCATCATCGTCATCCTCGTCGTCAGGACATGTAACCTCATGAAACTTGAGGGTGACATAGGGTGAATTTTTGGGGTCGGCTCGGTACAGCTTCTTGTCACTTCTTATTTCCAAACCCGTGAGCGGGCTGCTTTCTTCGGTCGCATACCCAATTGACAAACGAATGGTGGGGGCGTTACTCTCTGCACCGACTGCATCTTCATCATCGTCGCTATTTTGGTTGGCCTTGAAGCTGATCGTGTTACAGTACCCCCCGCCGGCGGCAAAGAACCAGTTCCAGCCAGAGGTAGCCAGGTAGCCCGGTCCAACTTTGGTGTTCTTATTCCACCCCTGGTAATCCCAAAGCCAGAAGGCATGGCTGCTGCTCACAGATTGACCTCCTCCACTCTTGGGCTGCTCGTTGAAACATGAGTTCCGACGATAGCAAAGTTTGAAAATTCTCTTCTCGTCCGAGTTCCCAAAGGTTAAGATATTCCAAGTGTTGGGATCGCCTCCTACCTTTCCATAGCCTTCTTTGCTGAGCCAATAGCATTTGCCATACTGTATGTCCAAGAGCTTAGCCTCGGAGACAGGCTCGTCGGCCGTAGCTGGTACTTGATGACTATTTTGACTCATGCTATGATCGAAGTCACCATGAGTTGCATCTTGACCCATGATATTTATCTGCACAGCTGGCGAGTAGTAAGGCGAAGCATCTGCCTTGAAAATGTAGGCTGCAAGCAGCAAGAGAGTACTAAAAGTCTTCATACTTAGGGCAGTTTTTAGGGCACGATGACTTGAGGATTTGAGAAATAATAATTCGATGATCATTGAATGTGCAATTGGGGTTAAACCAGGTTTGCTACAGTGCCGAGCACGTTATATAACTTTGACACAGCCATTGTAATTACCTTTGTACCGATGAAATCATCATGACCATCTCATTTGTTTTAGATATAAGACCAAAAGTCGGATCACATAGACTTTATCCCATCGTGCGATTGAACTTGCGATTTAAGTTTGTTGATTTGGAACTTGCCTGCTTGCGTCGACGACCCGGCAGATCTCAATTATCGGTTGATCCGCATTCGGTGTCCGTCCGGGGAACGTACCAGAGGGAAAGCTTCCGTAGCCAATGAATTGCCATGAATGGAGGAAAATACCTCAGACAACAATCGGCTTCGTAGCTGAGTTTGCTGATCGGTGCAAAATAGCCATTTTGTGATATAAGATTTACGGTAACTTCAGGCCGACAAGCGTTAGGTGTAACTAGCGACAAATGCCCCAAAGCTAGTAGTACCATGGTATATGTGAACGCTTATATCTACAACTACCAAGTAAAGGCGCCGGCCGAAAGTCTACTATATGTTCTGCGTGGCTGGCCTTGCTTGGTAGTAACGCTATTGCATAGCCAGTTCGAGTCCTTCTGTTTTATATCATACTCGGAATCGTGAATATTCGTTGACCGATCTGCCGCAAGATGCCTGGCATGCTTTGGTACCTCACCTTTGACCAAAAGTTCTCCTGCCACGCCGTACAGTATTTGCGTAGATCTAACTACCTCTATCTCACGAAAACCATGAGTATCCCTAACTGCAGCCCGAGATTTCTGCTGCCACATGTGGCACCTACCTAAAATACTCCTATCACCCACTCCATAGGGCGCCTCATCCGGGGTTACCTGCTATCCTTCCCAGTGGGTGGATAAGTGGTATGACCGGATGGACGATCTGCTGGTTGCCCTGCTTTTGCCGGAAGGAGTAGAATCACACCGCACACCGTCGAATCTGAGTTCACTCGAAGCGCGAAGGGATGGCGTCAATGACCATCATCGGCCCGCCCAGACATGCCGTGATGCCCTCCATCGACGATGCCGCTTTCATGCCGCCAACGGGGATGGGGTAGATCCGGTACGTGGTTCTAGTGACTCCCAAGAACGCAAACATGGGCCCCGACCGCGTGGTCGATGTAGACATTCCTGTTAAGGTAATCCGCGGGAAGATAGCGGATCGGATCACGCAGGAGAAGACATGAGGAATTAGAGGCGAAGTTATGTGGTCGGGTTGTGCCCTAATATAGCATCGAAGCATCCATGGCCCAGGTGACAAGGCATAACTCCCTTGTATATGAACAGATTCATGGGTGAGGCTAGCTAGGTCAACAAAGCCATGAAGATAAGGACATTCCAAGCATTGAGCTAGAGGCCTCTACTGGGCTAAGAACAACTGAGGTCGGCGCGTCGATGGGGATCAGGACGCGGTTTCTTAGCATGTTGGCCAAGGTTGTTGACAGTGTTTCGCGACTCATAACACTATGACATAAAGACCCGCCTCTACACGCAGAAACCAACGCCAATCACGTCATCCTATCGCATAAAGAAATGATTACCTTAACTGTATATCGCATTATGGAGCCTGTTATTCTACGATGTGACACTTGAATAATCCTTGGCCAAAAAGAGCGGAGATGGTCGTGAATTGTTAACTCTGATTATATACTTTCTGAAGTGCATGCTCGAAGAATAGCAGTTCAACTCAAAGAAGCAGGGCCATCAATAGCTTCCCACCTCCTGGGCAAGCCCATTCCGCTCGTCTAATCCATCGTCACATAATTTCAGCGAGAACCTCGAACAAGACCTGATTATCAACTCTGCAGCCCTCCCATTGGAAACGCGCGCTCCGATAGCCGCATCGAAGACGCAAATCAAGCTCCATTATACTTAGGTTCTTCGTATTGCAATTCATGGCCAGCTCCAAAGCCACAGCGCACACCGTCGTGTCTTCGTAGTTATTTTTGGACATTTCAGGTTCTATATTGGCTTCTAGTACATGTGTCTCTCGGAGAGATAAGGACCCAGAATTTGGCCCCACCTTTGGTGGTATCGGGAGGCAGTTGGAATACGTGAAGGTGTCTTCAAATCCCTCGACAGAAGAAGACTTGATTGGAGAGAGACAAAGCTCGAAGGCATTTCCTGCAGGTGTGTCTTCTGTTTGCCCTATAAATATCCAGAAGCATCAGATATAATGCCGAGGGGGTGATTTGTGGGGGAAGCTGTGTGCTGAACAATGATAAAAGAAGGAGGTGAAGCCGGCGCACCCAAGCCACATCCGTCCGCTGAAGGGACCGGATACTTATAAATATCGCCCAAGACGGTATTCTCATACTCTGATGGCCTGCTAGGCCTGGAACCTGAGCCTTTGGGGCCGACGCCCCAAAGCTCAAGTACAGCCGTTAGCCTTTCGTTCTCTTGACGAAGGCCATCCGTGATAGACTGCAGCCTCAGAATCTCACGAGAACTAGCATCCTTGTTGGATGCAAGTTCTCGCTCCAGCTCAGCTACGTAGTCGCGTTTTCGCTGTCTGCAGCGCCGCTGATTGTTGCGGACGCGGGTCAAGTCCTCTGCCTAGCTGAAGTTAGATGTCACATACTATGATGATGCAGAAACGGGATCATCATGCTTTGGTCTTTTTTTTAATGCGGGGCATGGTGGAGTGTAGTGCAGAATCAATGCCTCCAACTTTCCCTTCGTTCAAATACTCACAGAGGCACTGCTAGCCACTGAATGTCGCTAACCACCTTACGTTGGGTATTGTAGAAGGTGCGCTGGTCTAAAATCTGATGCCCGAGGTTGGGAGGGGGAAAGAAACGGTGGGAATGGCTCTCCAGTAATGCGCTCCTATTGGCCAGGGTTCTTGAGGTGAGGTGCGGGGAACTCAAACTGGTGACATACCACTTACCTTGTTGGAACTGATGACATACCAGGTATAAACACACCACTAATTATATCCAAGAGCAAACCTGTCACATGAATCATGACAGGCCAAACGTTAGGATTGATAGCTACTGGGTGCTGCCTTCTTGTGCGGTTATAAATACAATTGGAGTAACCCCGGTCTGCGTCCAGACATCCTACCTATCTTACTCCCCAAATCCTCCCTTCAACAATTTATATTATTATAGTTTTCGCATTATATCCTATATGGCTAGAGATACCTACAATCTTGTTCAGTCCCGCTATGGTGATATTGCCAAATACAGTCTCAATACTCAGCAGAGTAAAGTTGAAGATAATATCGCCAGAGCGTTCGGCTACACTGCAGAGGACCTTAAGGTGCTACCAGAGAAGGCTAATCTCGCCTTAAGCTGTGGAAATCCCGTCGGTTTCGCAAACTTGAAAGAGGTTTGGCTTTCCAGCCTGGTGCCCCGACGCCATAAACTAAGTCCTAACCTTCTAGTAGGGCGAAACGATTCTGGACCTTGGCAGCGGCAGTGGCATTGATGTCCTTCTCGCGGCTCATAAAGTTGGCCGCAATGGACAGGCTATCGGCGTTGACATGACAGATGTGAGTGCTACAAGGCCTTCTCCCTGTAGAGACAGGGCTGATGGTAAATAAAGAAGATGATCGAGCTCGCCAAGAAGAATATTCAAAAGGCAGGCTTGTCCAATGCAAGGGTCATCGAAGCCAATATCAACTGCATACCGCTGCCTGACTCCAGCGTTGACTGCATTATTAGTAACTGTGTTATCAACCTGGTGCCGGCTGCAGACAAAGAGCGCGTTTTTAAAGAGATCGCTCGACTACTGAAGCCCGGTGGAAGAGTAGCGATCAGTGATATCTTGGCTAGGCAACCGCTCCCGAATACCATCACCCAAAGCATGGCGCTTTATGTTGGGTGTGTCGCTGGTGCTAGTCAGATCGGAACGTATGATGAATATCTCAGACAGGCCGGATTCGAAGGTACATCTGTTAGAAACATGAGAGTCCCATGTACTAACTTAACGGCAGGCGTGTTTATTGTGGATACCAAGTCGGACCTTAACCTCTATAAGCAGTCTTCATATTTACACCAGAGCTCGTGCTGCAGCGGTGCATGCGGCTTTGATACTACGAGTGCGATAGAGGAGTTGGATTTCAATGAGTGGGTTGGTCAGTTATTGCCTTCCATCCCGGGGTAAACAAGTCATTGACCTCTTGTTCAGGTTCTTTTCAAATCTATGCAGTTAAGGCCAAGATAGCCTAGCCTGATTGAAGTGGTCATCAATCTCAGAGCTGGAGTTCCTTGATGCTTATGAGATGGATAAGCTTGTAGCCTTGCCTGGACTTTGTTGCTAATAATTAGGTGTTATTTATAGGTAATATGAACAGGAGAGGAATAAGAGTAAGCTGCTTTCTGTCACCGATCTGGTCCTCTGACAAAGCCTCTGGTGATCAAAGGCTTGGCTCAGTGGCGATCAGGGACTGTCCGTAGCCTCTATCTTATTGGGTTTATGCAGTCCAGATCTCATCAACATGGCTGCAGGATAGCTGTATTTGGACTTGGACTTAGCGATTCCGTTTGGGAAAATGATATTTCTAGAATAGCTCCTGACCGAAACGTCGAGATAGAAATGTTCGATGACAGGTTGCTGTCAGCTGTAGCCGGAGCAGCGACCGGAGGTCATTAATTTCCCCTCGTCACCCTTCGTCAGCCTTCATCAGTACTCCATAGTTAGGATTATTATTATTACCACTATCAAACGGATACAAGTTATGGCATATTGGGATTTCGCCCAGCCAGCTGAGCACTAATCTTTGAACCCGTCGCGTGTGAGACCACTCTAGCCGGGGACTTGAATCCACTTCTGCTGCTAGTGCAGACTCGCTTATAAAGGCGCTGTCCAATCAGGGTACGCCAGTGACATGCCGTCGAGTGCCCTGGGCGTTTACATGTTCGGGTCTCGGGAAACAAACTACCACCACACCAGTAGCATTTCTTGATCGGAGAAGGGAGAGTGCTATACTAAATCCTCAATGGTCGGCCGTATTGGAATCAACTCGTTACGTGGGTTCACTCCATCTATTCATTCAGTGATACTATCAATTCCCAGGAGATACCACACAATGGCGTGTTCTGCTGCTGCCCAACCTGCGGCTACTATCCCCTCCTTCGTCAATAAACTATCATCTCTCGCTATACCCGAAAGCGAGGATAACGCCGATATTCGCCAGAAATATCGCCCCTTTCTTCTCGCAGATGAAGCAGCTGAGGACTGGGTCAATAAGTTAGAGCTTACAACCGCCATGGAAATGGCAGCGCAGGAACTGCGAAAGTCAAACAACAGAATTAAAGTGCTAGTCTTGTACGGCAGTCTCCGTCGGAGATCCTATTCACGCCTGGTGGCTTTGGAAGCCAGCAGAATTCTCTTCCGCTTGGGGTGCGATGTCCGCGTGTTCAATCCCGAGGGTTTACCGGTAAAGAATGATACCGACCACGACCATCCTAAGGTACAGGAGCTCCGCGAGCTCAGCAAGTGGAGTGACGGGCATATTTGGGTATCGCCTGAACAGCATGGGAATCTGGTTAGTGTCACCTTTCCTCAAGTCCTGGTGTTTCAATCACTGATAATTCCCCAGACGGCCGCATTCAAGAATCAGATCGACTGGATCCCGCTGTCCACAGGCAGCGTACGTCCCACGCAGGGCCGGACGCTTGCTATCGCGCAAGTATGCGGCGGTTCACAATCGTTCAATGCTGTGAATTCCCTACGTATTCTCGGCAGGTGGATGCGCATGTTTACAATTCCAAATCAGTCATCTATCCCCAAGGCATATACGCATTTCCCAGATGAAGGTCAACCGGGGGACCAGAGACTTCTGCCTAGTGGTAACCGCGACCGGCTGGTTGATTGCATGGAGGAGTTTGTGAAATACACTATCGTCATGCGACCTCACCTGGAGCTTTTTGGTGATCGGTTCAGTGAGAGGGAAGAGAAGCGGATTAAGGAGATGAAGGAATGCGCCAACCAAGTTTAGCCCGGCCGGTGCTCCTTTGTAAATAATGTGTCGGACTCTCATCTTGCCGAATGACTATAGAAAGTCTAGAACAGCAACTCAATTCTCTTTGCTGCCCTTAACCGGCAGAACCCATCAAAGTAGTATATTTACTCAGCCCATGCGGATGCGTCGTACTCATCCATTAAATCCGTGTATTCTTTCCCTGCTGTTGCCCATCCTTTAATCCCCCCTTCCAGTACGAGACTTCTCAACCGAGTCTCTCCTTGTAGCTCAATGTAGTCGGCAAACCAACTCGCGGCCCGCACTCCACGGCCCTTCGATGAACCTGATGCCAGTGAGCATGTTTACCGGTCTTTACGGAAGGAAGTGATGGTAGATAACAGACCACAGTACCAGACAACCTCCTTAACCGGGCTTTGGCTGAGAAGAGAATAGATTGTTGGGATCATAGGGTATAGAGTCTGGGCGGGAAGGTTGATAGACCCTCGGATGGTGCCTCCCTGAAAATAAATGTCAATTACCTCCACCTTTCATCCTAGCCAACTAATGTACCTCGAAATCCGCCCGACGTAGGTCTACTAATATGAAATCACGCCCGGCCTGTCTACCCGAGCGAAACCAGTGCAGTACCTCCTCGCGACGGATACCGATCGCTGCGCTCCGAGGTGTGGGATAGACTGCATGCCAAGGAAGAGGATGTGTGTGCATTCTGACTTAATAACAGTCATTTAAACAGAGAATATCAAGGATTGATGATTTTATTGGGAAAAATTCTCAGAGGATCGTTCATACTTCACTTGTTCTGGTTGGGTGAAGCCAAGATCGCTAAACCACGACAAGAATTCTCTGTTGGCCAATCAGCATCGACCAGTGACATTCAAGGGCAACATCGGCTCTGAATAACCTCGGTTTGCTGGACCAATTCTCCCATTTCCATGTATAGAGCTTCCGAATCATTGTAAATGGCATTATTCTGGGGAACTATGTTTTCGGGAAGCCCTACAAGTGGATGGGGTAATTCACTTAACTTGAAAAGCTACTGACAGTCTTGTTGCCGCATGATGTTTCTACCAATGTCACTTTGTCAGATGTGGAAATGCTTCGCGAGCCGCAGTCACGGTATATATACGTGCATCTACTGTCCTTCGCAATATTAGGATCGAATAGAGCGTCTCGATAATGCGAATGAGTGAATCAGACACTATTGAATGATTGCGATCGTACCAGGTCAATACCCGCGGCCTCCTCATGGTTGCCAGGCAGTTCGATCAAGATGAAACATTGAATTGGTGTTTATAATTGATCATGATTCGCCTTGTGATGACTTAACATCACGACCGAAGTAGACCCTCGCTGTTTCTGATACCCGGAAGACAACCCCGCCTCTCCACGCCACAACTAACGCCAATCACGCAATTCCACAGTAAGATTGATAATAACAATCCCCTGCCTGCCACCTTATCGAACCTATCATTGTCTCCGATGTCACGAAGTAATATAAACGAGGAGGACTACTTAAGTGCGGGCGTTATCCGTGGGATTGTCAAACGACATTCCGATGTGAATCTCGCCTTCTGCAATCAAACTCTTGTAATCAGCCACACAAAATGACCATCGACTCGGTACTTCCACCTAAACTGCGGGTTGCCATAATTGGTGCTGGTCCTGCAGGTCTTGGAGCAGCCATTGAATTTGCCAAACTGCCCTTTGTGGAACTACGTGTCTATGAGCAGGCTCGGGAGCTTCGGGAAGTTGGTGCAGGGATCAGCATCCAGCAAAATACTTGGCGTATGCTCGATGTGTTTGGTGTATATGACAACATCGACCCGAAAGATCTGTTCCGTCCGGCAGATGGGCACTCAGTTCAGCATCGGTGAATATTCATTCTCTATCCTATGGACTTGATGGACTTAACTGAGCCGTTGGTATATAGAAACGGGAGGACTGGAGAGCTATTGTTGTCGAAGGCACAGGAAGGTTTGGACCCTGAAACTGCAATTGCCTAGCTTCTGACCATATCAGGCACACCTCCTCGCTATCTTCACGCCCGCACGCTGCGCTCCGTGCTGCAACAGGCTCTCTTAAAAGGTGTCGACAAATCGAAGCTCCGACTGTCAAGTCGACTCGCCGAAATTGTCCAGCTCGCCTCCGGCGCATTCTTCTTACGCTTTGAGGATGGCCACACTGATGAAGTTGACCTTCTTGTTGGGGCTGATGGTGTCCGATCAGTTAGTGACCGAACCTTCTACTACAATCGACCAATCACTCACACTTTAGGTCGTCCGACAATTCGCCCACCCCGATCACCGTCTCAAGTACATCGGAACTACAGCATACCGCGCACTTGCAGATGCCCGTGACATCCTGAGTATCCCTGGAATCCCAGACTCCGTGACCTTCTGGCATGGACCAGCCGATCGTCTGTACACCTGCAACTTGAAAAACAATGTTTATGAAATTGCAGCGCGAGTTCCTCAAACTGCGGAGACTGCTCCAGTTAGTTGGGGGCAGGATGCGAGCGTGGAGGAGTTCAGCTGGAGATACAAAGTATGTAGCTTGAATTTCACCCCAACATAACCTCACTGACCATACCGACTAGGACTTCTCACCAGCTCTTCAGAGCGTACTGGATAAGATCAAGGTAGTCAAGAAATTTGCACTTTTCTCCGGTCCACGGTTGTCGAGTGTTATCTCGCATGGATCGATCGCGCTTATCGGGGACGCGTCGCATCGTATGTTCTCATCGGTCTATGATTTGTCCAGATGCTAACTATATGCAGCTCTATCCGGTGCATTCGGTAATTCAAGTAGTTTCCATCAGGAAAGACAAAGTACTGACCGGTCTAGGCGCCGGCGCCGCGTTTGCCCTTGAGGATGTTTACGTACTCACCCGCGCCGTGAAGTGGGCCCACGAGCGAGGACTTCCGATACAAGACGGATTGGAACTCTTCGATAGAGTTCGAGCACCACATTATGCGGCCATGGTCAGTACCGTTGTACATATGCTCATCCCTGCATCTACTAATGACATTGCAGTATGACATTCTGGATGGTTATGGAAAATCAGACGTTTCGGTTAAAGCAACGGACGACTTCGATGAAGCTGTATCGATGATTGTTGCCAACAAGTGGGATGATGACCATGGGTGGTTGTATAGCTATAATGTATGTTACCATCGGAAATACTGGTTTAGAATACTAATCTGTGTCTTAGGTCGAGGAGGCGTGGAGGGAAACCTACGAGGCAGAGGATGCTCGGCGCGCCGCGGTGGAGCAGTCAGCTCGTGGAGAAGAGTTGAACTCGCGGCTGTAGACACAGAGGTAGGGTAACTTAGGCGATTTAGGGCAAGGGTCTCAGATAGGCGACGGATAGAATACAGGCATCAAGGGGGAGGACGCCCTGAATAGTCTTGCAAAGAAATGCTTCTCGCTCAGGCACTCACTGTTGATTAGTCGTATAGTATACATGCATCCGCAAAGCATCTTGACTCCAAGTCACCGGTAGCATGAGATAGTATCTGTGAAACCAATGCGCACACAGTAAAACTCGATCTCGGTGCTCGTCGCATCAACCCAATTTGTCAAATCCACTCCGGTGATTTGTCATCATATCCTACACTAATCAGCAAGAATTCACTCAGTGCCAGCAACATATATACGTACCAAAATCCACGTCGGCATAAACGACGTCAAAAACCACCCAATGGAGGCCATCTTCCCCCTCCAAATAAGCCCAGTCTTCCCACCAACCAGGTCATCAACCACCCGACGCGCATAATCCGAACAAGGCATCGTGCCGCCTGTGGTCGCCCCAGTCGCAATATCCATCATCTCCTTTGTCGCAGGCGCATATCTAGATCCCTCGAGGTTGAACTCCGGCGCGCGAGTCCAGAGATTCGACCCCACGACACCAGTCATGATGGTCACGACTCTGACTCCGAATGGTGCGAGCTCATGGCGAAGACCCTCGCTATAGGATTTCAATGCTGCTTTTGAAGAGGTGTAAAACGCTATCTCTCAAATTAGTATTGTCAGTCCGAGCAACTCCTGCTCACGCCGTAATAAATTCGAGCACGGACCATTCCACGGAACCGTCATAACCCCACCCATGGAGCAATGATTTGCGATAACGCCTTTTGAGGCAATCACCATCTCGGAGAACGCATTCACCATTCTCACGACTCCCCAGAAGTTCACCTCGAAGACCTCTCTGGCTTTCTCGATGTCTGTTTCCAATACCGGAAACGTAAGCGGGAGACCGGAGTTGTTCACAAGGTAGTCTAACGTCCCGCCGGTGAGTGATTTAACCGCTTCCACAGCGGCAGCGATATCATCGGGAGAAGTTACATCTAACTTGAGCAGAGTCATGTTGGGGTACTTGGACAGATGCGACATTTTGTCCACGGAACGGGCAGTCGCAATGACGTGGTGGTTCCGCTCGTGGAATGCTTCGGCTAGGGCGGAGCCGATACCGCCTGCGCTGCAGCCGGTGATGAGGACGGTGGGGAGGGACATGGTTGATTATTTCGATGGAAAGTGGTCTGTGTTACAAGTATTTAATGGCAAGCATTGGGGATGATGTGGTTTATAAAGCTAGAGGAAGGAGGTAAGCTTACGGGTTGTGGGGATTCTCGTATCCAGGCAGAAACCGGATCCGTGGATTACGGGACTCGTGGGTTCTATTAATAATAACGTTATCGTATCAGCCTCAATAGGGAATAGTCTGGTTTGTTGCGGTGAGAGGGTTCGTTGGGAACTTATAAAGAATTATAAATATACGGCGCAAGGGGTTGTGATGTGATACCTACTTGAACTACTATATTGCAGTAGCTGGTTGAGGTGGATTTTATTTTGTTTCTTTTTTTCAGAGGATCTGTCCGCATCCACAAATAGCGGGCTGGGGGCAGACAACCCGACTAGCATTTAACGATACAAGCAAGGCCACGCTAGATCATTAGCCAGATTCTAGTCAAATTCTATATTTTTTGGAATCTCCAGAAACTCTCCAGAATCTCGGTCAAGCTATCTTGGTTCGAGTAATAACATGATAATCTGAAGCCTGCGACACTAGACGTTAGGATGTGACCGGCGCTAGCATATCCACGATAACGATAACTGCTGTGATTGGACACCATGATGTATTTCATTATACAATAGGTTCGTCAATTATGGCTTGTACCCAAATCAGTATCACGGAATGCTGTTTACCTCGTTATAATCTAGCTTCTCACCAAAAGTATCAAATAGACCCGCTCTGGCAAACACGGACGAAATTCGAAACCAGACAGAACAACAGTATCACAAACTCTTACAAACTGGCTTGTTGCAACCCAGCTTCACTAAGGAAACATTTTCAGAGTCCAAGGCTGCCCTAAAGCTGTCATGGCCGCCTGGTGCGACCCTGTGCCCAGTTCCATCCATTCTCTCGAATATAGTTCAGACACAGTTCAGCTTCACAACTAGCAGGACCATCAACGAGATCATGAATTTCATCGTCTTGGAACAAAGGCGTAAGATTAGGTCTGTCGTATCTCCAGAATCTGACTCTCGTTCCGATTGCTGTAGCTGCAAAGATTCGCGTTGTTCCATTGATGTTCCTCATGCAGTAATCCAGTAGCTGATCCTCTGCTAATTTCCACTCGGCTGGAGTATCCTTTTCTGGACTTTGACACTGCACAACGATTACTGGCTGCTCAGATAGAACAGCTTCCTTGGAAAGAATTTCAGGGGACGAGTCAAGCATGCAGATTTGAAGCACGACGCAATCAGGCCGTTTCTCATCTCCCCGGACTACCTCTTTGTTGGCAATTTTGAATCCCGAAAGTAGTGGAAAGAAGGCGATGCATGCGTTCGTCCAGAAGATGCTGACAGGGGATACGGTCGAGCCCGGTTTGATAGCCTTCAGGGCACTGAACAGAGTGACGTGACGGGAAAAGACTGAGACAGGCTGGGATGTCATAACTATCGTATTATGCATACGAACTCGCAAAATAACCCATTGAATACTGCGAAAGAGGGTGCGATGGTGCACTATGAACAATGTAAGACGCAATAGGTTCAACCATAAAGGTCCTCAAGTATATATGGACGGGTGCCAACACCCACCTGTCGGGCTGCGCTGGCGGCTCAGTGCATTGGGGCTGTGCACGCGGCTGCGCACACGGTTATGTACATGGATCCACATGTTGTTGCGCGCACAGCTGCGCCTGTTTGAAGTCGGGGCTGCTCATTACCCGAGCACCATATTCCAGATGGCAAAGTAGTGGGTCTTTGTGTTTCCGATGCTGAAAGGGAGTTGGACGTAGGAATAGTTCTGTTGCAGGAGAATTTCGACCAGGATCACGGTTGTAATAGCTACATACTGTTGCCCCACAATAAAGAAACACACGAATCAGAATCTACTTCCTTGGTCTCTTGGAAAACTATATTCTATGAACACCAACCAATACTAGCCCAACCGCAGAATTATTGATTGCTTTATTGATTATGTTAAGTTTCACCCGAATTCAGCACGGCCAGAATGATCCTGCCGAGATGCCTTTAGTCAGTAGAGCCATTGGGCTGTAAGATTTCCTCTGTTATATATTCAGCTATGATATTCAGCTATATCAATCAAATCCTGAGATGTATTTATAAAATTGGTCCTGACTTTTTCCTAATATAAGATTTCCTATAAGAACATCTCTCCATGGGAATTACCTTTTCTGGTATTATATACTTCTTTGCGCACTCCTTTCTGATAAGTTTTTATGAGAGCCCGCTCGCACCTGTTTCCAGAAAGGCTATCTATGGCTCTACTATACCTTCGTGGAACCTGATGTAGCTGACCTTTAATCCCGTAGTTCCTAGCTTGATGATATCTTGTCAATACAGTAGTTTAGGTCCTGTTTATCCTTGTTTCGTAACGCTTCCACCCCCGAGCATCCACGGTAAACTATTCCCCGTCAGCCCTGTCTCAGATCAGAGGAATAATGATGATTAATGACACATTTAGTCAATTTTTTAGCGTGCTATACCTGGTTTCCTTCTGCGAAATCCACTTCGGAGGTGCCTCGTTTGCCGAAGGCGTACCCCAACCCCCAACTATAGCCCACGAAGATTTGGGCCCCCTCCCATTATTCATAGCCTTCCACTTCCCAAACTTGACATCATCCAAAAGCTGCTTCAACAAAACTCTCCCATTCCGAAACCCCACATCAAACATCCAACTCCCCGTCCTAAACATCTCAAGCCCTTCAAACTTCTGTGCACACCTATACATGCACACCAACTTGCACCCATACGCCACAGCGCACCAAGGCTGTCCTGGAATGTTACTCAGCTGCGATAATTGATTTGAAGTCCGATCCCATGTATCCTTGCGATGGTACTCATCAGCCCCCTTGCACAAGATGACGGCCATTGGAGAAGAAACAGGCTCACTCCCAGGTCTAGGCCAGGTGATCTGTTTAACAAGACAGCAAATGATACGTGCACCGTTGATCTCAGCGGTGCGGAGGTCGTGGGTGAATCCCCCATTTGGTGGGTAGATCTTGACTAGGATTTTGTGCCAGAGCTTCAAGGTTTGTTCTTCGTTGAGGGCGTGTTGATCGGGTGTGGACCTGAGAATGTCTGCCAGAGGGTCTGAAGTTGCAGAAGAGGAGGGAGATGGAAAGGAGGTGGAAGGGCTTGTCGTAGTGGTGAAGGGTTCGAGGGTTGAGAGACGCGGAGACGCGCCGGGAAGCATGAGTGGAGGTAGGCGAATGTGCATGGTGCGAGGAGATGAGCTGTTGCTTCCTGTTTGGCGAGTGGAAGAGTGATGGTGATGGTGGTGGGGAACTATGTTGGGTATGGTAGTTTGGGGAATGCTTCTGGGGACGAGTGGGCTGAGGGGCTGCTGGTCAGGCATTTTGGATGTCTTTTGGACGCTTAGTGGTATGAAGAAGGGAAGTTGGTGTTTGGCAGTCGAGTGTAGTTATGTCTTCTTAATTCTGTGAGTATTTACCACAGTCAAGGTCACAGATTGCACCTGTGGCGGTGTGGGGGTCGTTGATTTGTGTACTTCGAGTGGGAAGATCCATATTGTGTTGGCTGAACTTTGTCTATACCCGTCTAACAAGGATTCAGATTCTGTTTCCCGATGCTGTTGTTTATCGTCATGCAAAACAAGTAGAAGTGGCGCCTGCTGGTTATAGAAACTTTGTTCTCGATGTGTGGAAGATCCCGTGTTCAATGTATTATTTGGTGTTGAACCATACCACTTACTTTCTTTGAGCGTGGTTCTGCATGAAAAAAGATTACAAAACATGCTGAGTGTTTAGCAGGCACATTCCTGTTTATCATATTGCCTCACACATGTATAGAGAGCATGTAACGAACAAGTTCATTTGTGGATTGAGCCTTTATCTATGTTGCTCTGTCTGTATTCTCAGTCCAATCCAACCAGAGGCTGGGGTAAGTAGAGTTGGTTGGAAATTTGCCTCCCTTTCTTGTCCATGGCTTTCGGAATCATTCACTCCCCATAATGAAATAGTATTAATCCTCTCGTAGAAGGCCATTCTACAGATATTCTTCGACGTTCTGTGCGGGAATATGTATTTTCAGATCCTCCATTTTAATGAGATCTTCCAGGGCTGGTCTACCGGTCTTGACGCCCCATAAATTTGGTGTCATTCCATAAGTATCGGCATGCCCGTAAATGGTAAGGTCCCAGGAGCATTTGTCCCCATTACGGTCGCGGTACGCACTCGGCAGATTATTTTCTAAGTGCCAGCGCGGAATTTTGAAGCGGCAACTAAACGCTACCGAGTAGTCGACGAATTCTCCCATTGCCATCCGGTTCTTGTTGTTACTGCTGGAGGTCTCCTGACCACTGGTCTTCTTACTCTTCCAAGTGTAGGATGCACGCTTGGCTGGACCTGTGAGTTTGACAGATAACACACACGGGATATTTGCGAGGAGCATTCTGTCTCCAGGATGCTCGCGGATGAAACATGGCCGTTCGACGCCGTTTATCGATGAACCATTCTTTCAGGGAGATCTGATGGGCAGAAGGTACTCGCGTTGGATGCGGAGGTCCTTTCCAGTTGCAAAATTGAGTCACAAAGAAAGGATTAATACGTGGCTCTTCATGCTCCCTGGGAACTAGCCATAGGACTTGTAGAATTTTATGGGACTGCATGATAACGGCTTGCCATTGCGAACACACGCGTTGAGCAAGGAAGAGAAACCGGTAATCCTTCAGATAGAGCAGAATTGCCTCCAGCAACTCGGGGAGGAGGAGCACCTTAGTTGCAGCGTTCATTGCGGCCGGTCCTATACTTTCGTGAAGAAGTCAGTCATTTATCGTTCTAGGCTGATCATAAATATTGAGTCTACGTAGGACATTCCACTCTTACCCAAGCAGTGTCCGAAATCATTCAAATAAACCTTGGTGTGTTCCGAGATGGAAACATACTATTATTTTCGAGGAGGAAAGAGAAAGGGGATCAGTTGTCTACTTTGTGCACAAGCCAAATAGAACCGTCAGCAGTACCTCTAAATGAGCCGCGCGTCTTCATTCACTAGTGTCGGTATTTTTGGTAATAGCTAATGAGGTGGCTTCCACAGAGAGGTCATGATAGATTCACTCTTTGGTTGACTGTGTCGGCCTTCCATAATCTGAACCTTTCGGCTAAACAGTAAGCCGCAGAAGATATTATCACATGACCTGTTTTTTAGAGCCGAGCACTCTTTATTGAATTATGGTAAAACATACCATGTGCATTTGAGACAAATTTTCAATTTGTTATTTCAAGGACATGGGGACGATCTTCAATTGTACACCAAGCGAGTTTGTACGCCAATAGCCGAGTTCGGTAGCCTTCTGAGGTGGCCCTTCTTTTATCAGTGGATATCAGTGGCAGACTTCAGCAAAGTGTACTGTTTATTTTAGGATCTATCTAATATCCTATCAAGCGAATAATCATCTCTAGAGCAACATCCGCAGCAAACATCTCGACTTCCTCGTTATATGTTGACCGCCATATACTGATATAAGTAGCAACAGACCTGCTGAGCATTCATCAGTAGTCTATTACCAGTCAACATGAGTGTTATAGTATTCATCCACCCTTCTGGTCCAGTCGAGAAACTTGCTCTTCTCAGCCTCATCAAGGAGGTCAACAAACCTCGTCTTCGAGATCTCGGGATAAATTGGATTGGTGCCGAAACGCGGTGACATCAGCTGGCTCGGACTCAAGACAGCAACTAGTTGCCAACGTGGCCTGCTAGTATTACTTTCTGCCGTCTTCTTCCAGAACAGCGTGAATTGCGGTGACTTCGAATGGTTCATAAGTGATACCATTGCTTCCAAGAATCCGCAAAGAGTCATGCCATTGGTATCACTTCCTAGGAGACTGTGCTCCCTGTTCAAATCGACATGTTCACTGATTCCCGGCCCCGGGTCCTGCCTACTAGTGTGCAAGCTGACGGCTTCGAGGACGACAGGCACATTCGATGGCCACATCCGTCGCCACGATGCCTGCTCGTGGAGGACAATTGCTTTCAGCTTGGCATCCTCAAACCAGGCAAACTTTCCGCTGGGCCCGTTCTGAACAAGATAGTCCCCGGTGTACTTGCAGCAGTGTGGGGGACAGAACCACTTTTCAAAAAAAGGATTTAACGCCGGCTCCTCGCTAGAAGAGGCCAATGACTGTTCGAAAAAGAGAGCCCGTTGGATCACGATGGACTCCCGCATTATGTGTTGCCAGGACCGACAGACGCGCTCCATTATCAATAGATCCGCAAAGGCGAGCCGGATCAGTATCATCTCCAATATCTCTGGTATTGCTAGCGCCCTCTGCGCTGCCGAGTGCCGTTTGTCGCCATCACCGTCGTCTCCGAGGAATTTTGGCCTTTCCATTGGGTTTCCGGGGGCTGGGGAAGCATCATCACATGCCACGCATGATGGATTTTGGTGTTCGTCGAGGGCGTTCATCGGCGTCATGCGTGGCATGTCTTGACGGTATATGAGACACTCTAGAAGAGCTTGGAGTATGGAGCAGATCTGAAGAAATGGGGAACAGACGGCCATATTTATGCTTTTCTGAAATGCTGCCAGCTTATTGTCACGTCGCTGGAGAATCTTTCCTCGGAAATACCGTTCGGACTATCAACGTACTCCGATGCAATCTTCCATCATTCCTTCAGTGTATCACTGTCTGGTTCCGGCCCTTGCAATGCTGTTGCATGCGCCACACACGCATTCATATACCTTCTACGCAATGACTGCGGATATTGGAGTTTCTAGACTGGAATTGCTCCTTACACGATGTTGCACAAACAGCTGTCATCTCATGATAGGCTGGACTGGAAGTGGTGGCGCTGCCAAAATTTTGACTCACGTATTTGATAGAGGGTAATGCATCGATATAGCAATGGAGCAATCCGGAGAGAAGCATTCCTCTTCGATTTGTTTACCCTATGCTATTTCAGTGAAGCAATGGGATCATGCGAGTGGTCTTTGACGAGATCCAATACTCTATTGGTCAGAGTTATACTATTCAGTGTGCAGGACAAGTTACGTCTACATTTCGGCAAGTGCAAAAACGAGGTCTAAGGACAATATTGCTCTACAGGCCACATCACTATTACAACCATTCCATGATTAAGCCAGGCAATCCGCTTCGAATCTCTAATAAGTCATTATCGCACAGTCCCAAAGAATACTCCAACAACCCAGTATTATCAGCATATTCAGCACCGCCAGTAGAAGAAAGTGGTCTAACAAGATAATATACACCAACATCCCAACCATCTCAAGCCGTCCTATAATAAGGCACCCAATAGCAATCCGGCCTATCAAAGTACTCCTTAACCTCATCCCAAGACCACTCCGTACCGCTATCATTCTCATCCTCAACAGGCCGTATTCCATCATCGTCATTTTGCTGTCCGCCCTCTCCTTGATCCCACAGCACACCATCAGTCCCATCATCATTAACCCACTTCCAGTCCCCTCTATGCGCAAACTTCGGAGGCAAATCCGGACCCCAAACCTTCGAATCAAACTTATCCAACGCATACTGATTCTTCATACCCAGATACTCCCTCGCCGTAGTCTTCATCCTAACCGGTGGCTTCACCCTCACAAACGTGAACTTCTCCCAATCACACTTCCCAAACAGGGGATCCGGAGTCGAAGAAACAAACGAGCACTCATACGGCGCCCTCAGCCTCTCCTTCTCCCCATCACTCACCCCGTCCGTCCAATTATTATCCCACTCCCCGCTCCCCTCCCTAACAGGCCTCCACTCCACCGCCATCCCATTCGTCGGCCACCTCCCCAGAACATGCAACAGCACATCCCACACGAGATCCATCGTCGCCCCGAGCACCGGATCCTGCCCGGCCTCTTTATCATACACCATCAAGTTCTTCGCTGGATCCTGATCACCCTCAACGGTCAAACTGACTACTTTGCGCACCCGGCACGGGATATTCATGGGTCTCATGCGTCGCCAGGAGGCTTCGGGGCGGAAGACGGCCTTGTGGTAGGCTGTGTCGTTGCCGAGGCGCATAGTCTGGATGTCTTCAGGCATGAAGATTGGGGATGTGTGCTTGGTTGTGTCTGGGGCGGGGTATATCACTGGGAGGAGGTATCGGATGAGTGGGTTGAAGGCTGGTTCGGTGGGGTACGGGTGGGGGAATTCGTAGAATAGGGCTGTTCGGAGCGGGCCGCGCGTGGTGATTAGCGTGCGCCATTGCCGGCAGACCAGCTGGGCGCGCATCAGGTCGAATATGTCGAAGCGGAGAAGGATGTATTCGACTAGTTCGGTGATGCTGAAGACGGTGTCCATTTTGGGGGTTGGGGTGGGTTCTGTGGTTGGTTTTGGAGCTGTCATTGTGGTTTGCTCTGTTGTGGTCATTCTGGATGTAGTGCTTGGTGACATTACTTAGGGTTGGGTTTGTGTAACGGGGCTGGGTCTTTTTTTGGACATTGAAAGGTCGTGGCTCTGTTTGGATGGGCTTGCAGGAATGGGGTATATATGCTTGTGACACAGCATAAAGGGTCTGGAGAAAGCCCTTGTGGGTATGGATATAACATAGAGGATCCTATTGAAAGAAAGACTAATTGTAAACATATTTCGTGCTCTTTGTATTCAAGGTTTTTCAGTTTCTTGCGCTTTGTGTGTATATCAAACAATCAATCTTT